CAACAGAGAGCCCACAAATTAGAGAAGCAGGAAACCTCAAATGATGTGCAAAAAAAATGGTTAATGTTCAAGAGAATTTTTCCATAACTTTTGCTTCATAACTCAGCATCTCTGATCTTAATAAATTATGAGACAGAGCCCCTGCAAGATCAATGAGCCCTTTGGATTCGAGTCCTGAAGCTGTTCAGCAGAAAGCAGATGAGGCTGCAGAGCGAGCCCTGGGCCATGACAACCATTTCCTCTTGGCTGGCTCGAGATGAGCCTGAACCACAGCCGCGGCCAGCGGTCGGCTCTGGGTCCAAGCTTCGTGTCTCTGCCGCGGGCCAGGCTGAAAACTTGTCATCCAAACCAGCATGAAGGTGCATTTGTTTGAAGCAGATCGACTGCAGAGGAGAGGGATGGGGGCTTCGGGGTGGGAAAAGAGACGGTGCTCCCTGGAAGGATAGCGAATGTCTCAGCAAAACGTCCTCGTGGCACCGCCACCAGCCGGGACGTGGAGCTGGGAATTCTTGGATGAAGACAAAAGAGCAGGGAGGTGCCTGGGTTAATAAATCCAGAGCACGCCCTGAGCTTGCCATCTGCAGCAGAGGGAAGGGGAAAAAGATGAACTTGGTTTGACACGGTCAATGAAAATAAAAAAAAAGGCGAGGAGAAACCCACAGCAAGGTGCGGGATGGCTGGGACGGGATGGATGGATCAGGCTGAGCAGAGGGCAGCGAGGCACTGGAGGTGCTCCCGCACTGATGGAGCTGATGAGAGTGCCCACGGGCTGCAGTCCAGATGAAAGCTGAGTTTTCCAGCAGATCGACGAGTGCATGTGTCTGTCTGTCCCAGACGGCCTGGAGATTAGCTCAGGGAAAAGGTGAGGCAGCCACATGTGCTCCTGCCCCGAGTGCGGCTCTGGGGCCGAGATGCCGCAGTGCAGGCTGTGGATGAGCACGATGGTAACGTGTGCTGTCCCCAAAGTGACCACAACACCGAGAGATAATGGGTTTGGGCATTAAAAATATTACCAATTGCTAATTTTAAATTTATTTTCCCTACCCTTTCCTCATTCTCCTCCCTTTTTCTCTTTTTCCTCTTCTCTGATAATGTCTTTTAATGTCTGAGCCAAATTATCCCCCCGAGCTGCCTCGGTACAACCTCGCTGATGTCAGAGCTGGGCTGAGCAAGCAGAAGTACAACCAACGCTTCAATGCCACCAGCTCCAACTCCTGCAAATTCCACGTGTGATTTTCTGGCTTTGTTTTGGTTTTCTGTAGCTTTTTTTTTCTATCCCTTTTCCTTTTGCAATTGGACTTCTTTGGAGCATGGGTTACCTCTCAGTGCTGCCGTGCTTCTAAACACCCACAAATGAGTCACCCTCGTGCATTCCAAACACAAGCCCTCAACAGAAAATCTTTTTTTTTGTTACTGTCAGTGACTTGCAAACAGCTGGTTTGAAGAATTTCGGCAGAGGAAATTTCTGATTTTCTTCTGGTCTAAACTGGAAGAAGATGTGGTAAAAGGTTTCGGTTTGTTTTTCTGGAGGTTTTTAAGGGCAGGGGAAAGAGGAGCTTAGGAAATTCTTTGTGTGGACACGTGTTTGACAGAGGTAAAATGACGTCATGGATAATAACTTGCAATTACTGTTGTTTTTTTTTAGTATTTTTAAAATTATGATGTACATTTTATATAGAACATCAAAAAAGTGTGTGCATGTGATCTTTATCTCGCTCGAGGTGTCAACCACAAAGAGCCGGACCGGCAGCGCTCGGAGCAGGTGCTTCCACCGCACCTGAGACAAAGCGTCCTTTTCTGCCAGCTTGACATTTTGTTGGACAGATACTGAAACATCCTGGAAAACTAACATGTAAGGGGTCGTGCAGGATCATGGGTACACAGGAAAAAATAAAAAAATAAAAAAAAAAGGTTTAATCAGGCAGAAAAAGTTCCTTGAAAATTAGAAAGCTGGATAAAGCTGGATGTGGAAGACTGCCATGGTGTAAGGCTGTCTGCTGTTTTAGTTGCAATTGCAAAGTAAAGATGTGTTAGCATAAGTCCTAGGAAATTCACATGGAAAAAAAGAAAGCCTTTTCCTTCTGTACCTAAGGGGAGAGGAAAGCTTTTCTACCTATTGCACTGCGGTCAGCCAGCAAGTGGTAACTGACTGCTGGCAATGATCTGCCTCTTCTGCCTCTCCAACAGCCCTTTTGTTTTCCAGTTTTTGTTTTTCCATTTGTTTTTTACCCAAAGCAAGGAAGGCATGCCGCAGTGTCAGGGACGGCATCGTGCAAATTGCCTTCCAGTGACACCGCCGGGCCTCGGCTCGTGAGACTTTGTTTTATTTCCAGAGTGCAGTGAGTGTGTGAGAAAAACAGGGGCTCGAGTTCTCAGGGTTTGTACGGACTCGTTCTTTCTCATTCTGATCTGTGAGATCTCACACCCCCAGTTTGGGTGCTAAAGCTCCACTCAGATGAAACCACAGAGTTTCAGGTGATTTTTAGCTAAGACAGGACCTCGCTCAGGCAGTGCTGGCAAGCCTTGTGCGGGGGCCTGCAAAGCAGCTGGTGAATGGGAGCTGAATTCTGCTTTCTTCCAGAGCTATCTGGAGTATCTGCCCCTAAATAACTCCAGAATATGGAAGAGGGCACCTGAAACACATGGCTACAAACCAAAAGGGGATTTGCCATCTTGCTGACTGCTGCTGTACAGACTGATGGTGCCGGGGGTTATCTGGGTGCTGCCTGTCCCACTGGTCAAACCCAGAGGCCCTACACCCACGCTGGTTGATGGCTTCCAACCAGTGTCCGAACATGGACAGTTGGTCCTGGTTTTGCTGTCCAAACAATGTTTTCCAGCTTTCCCTGGGAGCTGTCACCCCTTCCCGGTGAGCTGTGTCCCCGCAGGTGCCCCCGGCTGCCCACCACCCGTCGCTAATTTGGGGTCAGCAGGGCCAGGGCCAGGGCTTTAATCCTAGCAGCAGTCAGCAGCGTCAGCCAGCCTCCGTGTTCCTAGAGGGTCCCTGAGATAAAACAGAAGTTACTGTTATTGTAGCTTGAGTAAACTCGGTAGAGTTGTTCAACCCACGTTAGGAACGCTTTTCTTTTTTTCATTTTTTCTTACAAAGTCCAAACTGCCCTCACCAGCTTCCTCTGACGGTGCTGCCTTGTATCAGAGAGGAGAGCTACAAAGAACCAGGTACTGAGAGCCTCGCTAGGGCAGAGCAGGGGCTGTCCTGTGCCCTCGCTTCCCCTCGGAGTCAAGAGAGAGTAAATTCAGCACGTGCAGGTGGCTCTCCTGGAAAGCGGAGGTCCCCGAACAAATGCAGGCAGTTTTGAGGAAAGCACCTACGTGAAAATAAAAGACAAACAGCAACGAAACACAGCTGTGAGAGCCCTCTGCACGGGGTGCGCCCTCAGTTTGGATTTCTGTATGTTTAACATTGGACAGAAATTCCAAACCTGGAACAAACCCATGGCACCGGGTGACATTTGGGGAAATGGTGAAAGATTTGTGCTTGCTGTCCGGGAGGTGTCCCTGACCCCTTCCTCTGCCCCAAAACCACCGAGGGAGCTGCAGGAGCAGCGGCTGCGTGTGTGCCATGCACGGGCACGAGGAGGGGCTGGCAGCCGCTGCCTGCCCTGACGGCAAAGCGGAACGAGGTGAAAGTGAAACCAGCAACTGAGAATTTGCTCACATAAACCCGAATTTGCTCATATAACTTTTACACGGCTGCCAGCAGGAAGCGTCTCGCGATGCAGCCGCTGCTTTCAGCGGGGAGCGCGCTTCCATCTGCAGCAGCTCCGCTCCAGCAGCGAGCCGGGGCACTGTGGCAAAGGACGTTGCCTCTGCAACTCCTCTTTTATTTATCCTGGAAGCTGGAATGTGAGGAATGAGCAAGGCAGGGCTTTCTGGAAGGGGAAAGATGATGTTTTGTGGCCAAGACAGTTGAATTAAAGCTAAACTCAATCGCCGCTTCTGCTGCCGTGTCCTGAGGAGGTCATCGAAGGCAAATTTGCCTGAAATGGCCACTGCTGGGGTGCACCCCAGAGAAACCTGTGCCAGGACTGAGGTGTTAAGTGAAGCACGGTATCACCCCCGAGCAGTCCGGAGGCAGACCTCATAAGCGTGGGCTGAACGCGAGGGATCGAAGCCTGCGAGGCTCCGTGTGCGAGCCCAGCTCTGCAGCCTGAGCACAGTGTGCACACAGGGAGCTGGGCTGAAGAGCATGGGCAGCGTGGTGCTGAAACCCCTCACACGGGGATAAAATAACCCTGGGCATTTTCTTCACTGTTAGCAAAGACAGGGGCCATCAACTCACCTGAATCTGCCAGGCCTGGCTGGTGAGCAGCAGCCTGAGTGTTCCCAGGCAGGGTAGGAATGAGGCTGAACACAGGGCTGTTCCTCCTACCAGTTCTGCCCCATCCAAACACTAATTCTGGGGGGAAATGCAGGATTTCCCTGAAGATTCAGTGCCATGGTCTGAATTGGAAGCAATAAACCAAGAACCGAGGATGTGATTTTCCCTTTGTGCATTTTAATGCAAGTAGCTTGAGATCAGAGGTTGGTGCTGGAGGAGGCAGGGTGGGACCTCCAGGAGGGCTCAGGGACCTCCAGGAGGGCTCAGAGCCACAGGTGCTGGCAGCACGGAGCAGTTTGATGGCCTTGGCATTACAGTGAATGCATTCAGAGAAGTCGATCTGTTTGGCTTTAAGCTGATGTGAATACTGGAAGAGTGCTTTTGTCTCCATATCAGTTGTAGTCCTGAGCTGGTTACTCATGGAGAGCTCTGGTCGAGGTCCTTGGAGGTTCTTCTAACCGGGAACTTGTGATCATGGCTGAAGAGCTGCTTTAGCCCTGCCAGACGTGTCTATCAGTGTCACCTGCCATCCAGCTCGTGCCTTGCTATTTCTTGTTGCGAAATCTGCACTGCAAATAATTCTCCTTTCTTTCTTCTTTCTGCATCTGCTGTTTGATATCAGATGACCCATGTGTTCCTTCCTCTTGTTCTTCTGCAGATTGCTGATGACCTGGGAAATGAGAAATTCTGCATTGATGCCAGCCAGAGCGGAGCTGGGAACTGGCTGAAGTACATCCGCGTGGCCTGTTCCTGTGACGAGCAGAACCTCGCCGTGTGCCACATTAACGACCAGGTAATGACTTCGGCAATTAGCCAAATTAACTGCTGCGTTCACCCATGTGGGCTGTGCAGTGGCAGCACCCGTGTCATCTTCCAGGCCTTGGCTCCTCTTGCGGTGGGGAAGGTTGTGTGAAATGTTGGCACCTGCTGGGAGGTGTAGGTTATGGGACTGAAGCACAAAGGAGGCAAATGGAAACCACTGCTGGTATTTCATTGCCATCAAACCCGTAAAAAGTTCATGCCACAAGTTGTCAGTGCTGGGCACGTGGCTGCAGGCTGTGAACGCAGGTTTTGTCTGTATTTTAGAGGGGATGAGTGGGGGATGGATTGGGAGTCTGCAGAGCAAAGAGTAAAAACCCAATGGGCACATTGGGGAAAGGCTGGTGGAGCAGGCGGGGCAAGGGACATCACGGGGGTGGAATGGTTTTGATAATGGTAGTCCCAAAGACGCAGGAACCTTTCCTCTCCGCGCAGATGACAGGGTATTCCAGGGATTAAAGAGCTATTGTTTCTAACGTTGTTTGAAACATAAAACCAAAACTGGATTCAAGACCAGCAATCCAAGTTGGGAATTTCACAAACCTCAAATTGAGTACAATTCAAATATAAGTTACTGGTTCAGACCTAGCTTAAATGAGAAATGCAGTCATGTTATTGCCAGCTTGCAAACAGGAGGCATATTTGGATGCACACAAAAAAAGACTTGAGGATGGAAAACCAAACTTCTAAAAAGCCCAGTAAGAAAGCTGTACTGCGAGGGATGCTGGAGGGAATCTGGAGTGAGCCAGCTCTTGTCAAATGAGAGCAGCTCGGGCTGTGCCGAAGTGTCAGCCCACTTTGTGACCTTAGTTCCTGTTGTAAAATGCTTTTACATCATTTAACTTTGGACGCAGAAAGAAAAATACAAAAATACCGCAAATGTTCCCAACTCAGGCAACCTAGAGGAGATGGAGGCACAAAGCTCTGAATTTCAGCCCGCCTCGTTGAAACGAGCTGCTGATTGCTTCAGTGCCCACTCACCACTGCTCACAAGTGCTCTTACGGCAAGGAGCCCTCCAAGCAAGAGCCAACATTTATCATCAGCTCCTCGTCTTACACCGCGAGGGGCTCTCCGTGGCACGCGGGGCTGGCTCCTGCCTCTCGGCTTCAGGGAATGACAGGGTCGGTGTCTCAGCAGCCCTCCCGCTTCCCCTCGCCGATTAGCGAGGTCTGGGGCCGTGCTGGACGCTGCGGGGCCTCTTGCAGGTCCCCGGGACAGCAGTCTGGGTCTGCACAGTCCCCTTGGGGTTGCTGTGTCGGCAGCATCGCTGTGCTGCCTGCGTTATCTCGCGCTTTCCAGCAGTTATCGGTTGTGTCCAGTCAGATACGGGCACTTCTTTTCTGCTCAGTCTGAGTTCCGAGCACTTTTTGCCCAGCGTTCATCCTGGAGAAAGGGCGATGAAGCTGTTAGGGGAATTTTTTACCAGCAGCAGTAGGAAGGCGCAAATATTAAAGGGCAGAGGAAAAAAATCTTTTTAATTGGTGTTTCTTAAAACAATTTAGAGTGAGGAAAGAAAAGAAGTAGATATATTTTTTTGACATGAATTAACATTTCTTTTTAAAACGTTAATTTGGCTGCTGGCTTCTCCCAGGTTCTTATAAATTAAGGGTTGCACACATACATAAATTTTGCCAGCAACCTGAAGGCTGTATCACGTTTTATTCTCAGCCCAGTCCCCTGCATGTCCTTCTGTCCTTGTCCCTCATCTGGAGATGTTTGGTGCTGCATACTTTTAGTGCATGCAGCAAGCTGACTGGGAAGAACAGCTGTTTATCATCCACACTCATCTTCTGTCCTTTGCTTTTTCTTTGTACTGACCATTCTTTCATGTCCTCTCAAAAAATAAACCCACTAAAACTTCAACAAAAGGGGGTGCATAGCAGGCAAACGGCTTTTCAGAAGGAATAAAAAGGTGCAGAATATAAAGAAATGGTAGCAAAGCAAAATGTTTTCTCCCCCTCAGCTTTCTTCCCTGGAAGACTGGGGAGTCTTAGGTCAGGCCAGTGGGATTGAGAGAATCCAGGGTAAGAAACACGGTGGGTGGTGGTAGTGATAACTGGAGGCACTGGGAGCTCAGCTGGGTGAGGAGGAAAGGCCAAGTCAGGACGTACTTCTTCCTAAGCAATTGATTTTGAGAGCCTATGGACTCAACTGAATGGCAGCAGTACTTGGAGCAAGCAGCAGCATGTTAAGCTCAGGGCAGATTTTTCTATTTTATTTATGGAGGAGATGATTTAGCCGCGTTGGTTCTGGAATTTCCTATTCATTCCTCGTTTCCCTCACTGCTACACAAAACCAAGGCTCTTGACTTCGCAGGAAACCTTCTGGTGTCAGCTGATGGTTGCTTCTGGTAGTGAAACTGAGAACGATTCTTCTGCGTGATGCTCCAAAGGCTAAGGATGGCCGGGGGTGTTCCTGGTTGTCGCAAAACCCAGGAGTGTCAGGTGCCAGCACAGCTGGAGAAGGGACATGCCAAACACTGCCGAGTCTGTGTGGCTGTGAGCTGAGCCCTACTTTCATCAAATTCTGTCACAATTTGCAAGTAGCCCTTGGTGCCTTTTGGATACCGGGCCCTGTATTTGAAACTTCAGACACTTTAAATAAAATTAATGGATTGTAAAAGCAAATTCTTCATCCTGGCCGTAAGAAGCATACATTTTCAAAGGCACTGTAGCTGGTAGAACCGCTGTGGCCGGACCTAGCTGGAGATACAAAACGTTTTCACACAGCATCACTTCTTAGTTAGCTGATACCAACGTGAGTTTCCTCCTGACAAACAAGGGGGAGAGCTCTGCTTGTGGCCAGGGCTGCTGTGTGCTTTAAAAATGAATGCCCACGTTCTGCTGTGTGATATATTTAGAGCACCGGCCTCAGCCCTGCTCCCCCGTGCACCAGCACCCAGGGCAGCGCGGGGCGGCTGCGAGCATCCCGCGGGTGCGAGAGCAGAGCTGCGGCCCTGCACCAGGGGCTCCCGAAGCAGGAAACCTGCTGCGAGCGGCGTGAGCAAGCACTGCAGGGTCCTACCCGGTGCTACTGCCTGCTGCTGTTCCTTCCAACCCTCCTTAATTTCACCTTGTTAGCAGGGTGCCTTTTTTTTTTTTTTTTTTTTTCCCCCCCTGTAACAGGGACTCAAAAAAATAGGGAGAAAGGGTTTATCTTCGCTGGTCAGGAAGCATAAAGATTTATTTTCTGTTTGTACATGTGCAAAGGAAAGAAAAGCCTTGCAATAAAAGATTACCCACAAAATAACTAAGCAGCATTGTGTTGATGAGAGCCAGGACAAGCTTTTAATCAAAACCATTTGCTTTTCAGGAAAAAAATAAACATGTTTACATGGGGAGAAGGTCCTCTGCGCCTTCTTCTTCTTCTTCTTCTTTTTTTTTTTTTTTTTTCTTTTCACAAATAGACCACATTCTGTTCTTCTTTACATTCCTGTAACTCGGGAACAATCCCAGGAATATCCAGAGATTTTTTTCTGGATTTTTTAATGAAGTAATTGGCAACAGAATCTGCACCTCAGAATGTTTTTTTTTGTTTGTTTGTTTTTTGTTTTTTTTAAATTAATAGATTAAAATGCTGAGAGGTTAGGGACATTTCATTAACTATTTTTCAGTAATGAAATAATTTTCAAATGCAAAATAATGTTAGCCAGTTTCCTTTATATTTAGTCTCATTTGATAGGTATTTGAAAAGAACAGAAGATCCTTGTTTGCCTGAGATGCCTGTGTTTCTAAAGGAGGGCTGGAAAAGGATGGTAGAAAAATGAAACGATTTGGTGAATGCATCTGGAAAATGATACATGACTTCTGTTTTATTTTTTCGTGTCGCTACTGCTGCCTTCATAGGGCAAATACTTCAGCAGTTTAGCTGTACTTTTTCAGGAGACTGTAATATTAAACAGAGTATATGTAATAAATATAATAGCCATGAGCTTGCTTTCAGTATGATAGCTGCTGCTTTTGTTTGTGTTACATATATTTTTTAAAAGGGCTAGCAGGAGTTACGGTGCTGGAAAAAAAATAGGCCTCTGTTTAATAAATCAATCTCGTGTGTGTGTATATAATACAGATTTTTTAAAATATATTTTTACATACATAACCTCATACTGTGAGTCTGTGTTCAGGATTCCTTGCTATGTAATACAATGCCTTAAAAAGAGGAAATAAAAAGCAATGTGGTGTAGTGGAGACAAAGGGAAGGCTACTCCAAAGGAGGAAAACGGCTGAACAAAAGCAAAATGTGCAGTCCCGTCCTGGCCAGAAATGCACGAGGCCAAACTTTTTACATATTTACTCCTCCTTGAGCTAGGCAGCCGCAGAGATAGGTCTGAGCGTGGCCTCAGACGAACAGTAGGTAGAAACATTTGCCTTGTTGTTTTATTGAATTTTCGGATAGTTAACTACTTGCCAGGCCAGCAAAGCAGCAGCTTTTTAGCTCGTTTTAAATTGTCTTTGTGCATCCCTTCCATGGCACGCTGATGCAATTAGTGGGTGTGTTTTTTGATCTTTAGGTAAACACTGCAGCTGTTCTCTCAGTTCTCTAATGCTCTTTTTGCCTGAAGTACAAACGTGTTACCGCGCTGAAGCTAAGATAAATAGTAGACATAACTCATGCAGCAGGTAAACAGTGCTGTTTCTTATGAAAGATACTTAAATAATGAGATAATAACGCGGGCGTACTTTTCTCACTTTATGTGTTTCATCTCCATCTCTTGCCCTGGTACTGGAACCAGTTAAACAATTACCACGTCGCTTCTGAGCCGTGGCCGCCTGTCTCGGGAACACTTTTTCTCAGAGAAAAGATGTTCAGCTTGGGTTCCTCTGTGCTCCGCTCCGAGGAGATCTGCGTGCTGCGGTTCTGCGTTATCAATACTTTCAGTAATTGTTCCAAATTGCTTTGTTTTGCGCTGCGAGATGTTGGAGCCAGAGCCAGCTTTCTGTGACACCAAGTTTACATCCGCAGGAGTAGTTACAGGGCAGAGCTGTGGATCGAGCCCAGACTAGGAAAAAGATTCCCCTGTTCTTTCCTTTCCTTTTTTTCTTCTGTCTTTAATTCTCTGTGCATAGAAAGCAGGATAATTTTTCTAAAAATAAAAATGTAGTATTTTCAAACTTCTGTTAGAGCATTACCCAAAACTGAGTTATATTATTAACTGTTTTATGTTTAACTAAAACTTACTGATAATTATGAGAGATTGCTGATTTAATATTTATTTGGTGCCCTTTTGTGGTGAGAGAAAGAAATGATAATGTGTGGAATTTTTATCTAAATGATGGATATAAATGATATGAATGTAAATGTTCTGTTGGATTAGTAAATCTGATCTTTTTCAGTGCACAACAAATAAAAAAAGGAAAGGAAGCACAGCAGTAGTTTTAATTAATTCAGAGCATCAGTAACATGATTGCAAGATGAAGTTAATTATTATAATGAAATGTTTGATGAAATTAATGTGACTCCAGCAGAATTCAACTTTTTCCTGATAATTAATGAAGCTTGCAGTGTATTTCTTGACAGACTGTTTGCAGCAATGTGTTTATATACAATAAGGTACTTTGTTCTAAAAACAAACAGGAGGTAAAAGAAGTTAAGGTTATGATATAGAGGTTATTAACCATTAATATTAACCATTTAATATTATCATTCTGACGGATTTTTCCCAGGTAAAATTCATGAATGTATTTGTGAAGAACTAGGTAGACCTTTTAGATTGTTGTTTGTATTTCAGTGCTGATTAGGTTTGGGATTACAAGCTGAAAGAGAAATGATCGTTAATAGCTATATTGAGTTATTTTCTTACTTCTCTTAGGTAGCTCCAAGTGCTAGTGTGTTATGAGTTCTGTTTTACTGAGCCAAGCTCTAAGGTCAGTGTTTGTTCCGAGTCTTTTTTTGTTTTGTTTTGTTTTTCTTTTTTTCTTTTATTTTTCTTTTATTTATTTATTTTTTTCCCAGGCATATTTACCATTAAGCTCAGTGTGGTTTGGTCCTGATTGAACTTGTCTTGCTGAACAAGCGGGCAAGGAAAAGTGCGAATGAAAAAAGGAATGAGAGGAGGGAGAATGTTATCTAATTCCTTGTTTGCAGTGGAATCTGCAGGAGTGCAGCCCCACAGTCGGTGCTGAGAAGTTCAGGGCCATCTTTCAGAGGCGCCCCCAGCTCCTTCCAGCTGCAGCAGGGCACCCGCCTGCCCTCGGGTTTGCTCTGAGGGGTGCTGGTGGCACCTCCAGCGACCCAAGCCCAGGTTTCGTGATCGTGCCTGGCTGAAGCGGGTGTGTGTGTTTGGTGGGTGAGTTAGTTACAGAGCAGGGCAGTGTTGTGCTGAGTTGTGCTGAGGGCTCTGCCAAGTGCAGGGCTGGGTTTCTGCTCGGTTTGGGCCGTGTTGTGGAGCCACCAGCCCGCGGTGTGTTCTCAGACACAGGGTGGCCGTGCCACGGCGTGGCGTGAGGCAGAGATTTTGCATTTTTGTTGGGTGGCTCCGCTCTGCTTGTACCCACGCCGTTAATATTTCGATTAGCCGGCAATTGAAATCGCAGGGCTTTCCGAGCGTGCTTCAGAGAGGATCAGCGCGGGCAGCCGGGGCGATCAAGCGGCGAATTCAGCTTATCAGAAAGGGGCTCTGCCAAGCGCCGTCAGCCAGGGCCGCCTCAGGGCCACCTCGGGGCTGCCTCAGGGCCTCGGGGCCTCGGCTCCGCTCCTCGGGGCCGTGCCGGCCGGCGGAGGGGCCGCGGGGCCGGGCTGAGGGGAGCCGGGGCTGAGGGGAGCCCCGCGGGCCGGGGCCGTGCGCGGGCGGAGCCTGCCCCCTGGCGGGCCGGGCCGGGCCGGGACAGCGGTGCTCGGGCGGCACCGAGGAGGAGCCCGGGGAGCGAGAGCCAGGGGAAAAGGGGCTCGGGGCTCTCCCTCGGGGCTGCCAGGGGATGTCCCCAAAAAGAACTTGATGCGTTGCTACTCAAGGGAGTGCAAATAAAACTTGGCAGTTAGTCACTGCTACCTGCTGAATTCTCGTGGCGGTGTTTGGAAGAGGACAGGGTGCAGCGTGCTCACACGGAAGGCATCCTGCCACTGAGCTCCTGCTGCTGCTGTTTTTCACGTTTTTTTGTGCCGAGGATTCTCAGGAAGGCAGCTCCCGGCTCCAGGCACCCACTGCTCGCACCCTGCTGACCCGCGAGGCGCACCGATGTGGGGGGCCGGCAGCACCAGGAGCTGGCTCAAGCAGGCTGCGGTCAGCAGGCTCCTTCCCGTGTACTTGGCTCTTTTCTCTCAAGGCACAAGGCCGGTGGGGTCTGCTCTCATGTCACCCATCGGTCACTGGCCATGCTGCCCTGCTCCCTCTTTGCTCTGGGTGTAGGACAGCAGAGATGAGGGCATGGTGGGTGTCTGCATGTATCAGACGAGGTGCTATGAAAACACGCACTGACGAGTTGATGCCTGGCAACCTTACACCTTGCTGCACCTTGGATAATGTTGATTTCTCTCCTGTATTTTTTTTCCAAAGAAATGCAGCCTTGGAGTAGAATACACTGGTTCAGGACACCCACATAAGGCCTGGATATCATTTAAACCATGTTCTACGTGCTTTAAATGGGTATTTAAATGGTGCACACAGCTGGCGTGAGGTCTCTGCCCTTGTCTGAGTTCTGTTTCCATTCCGGGTTTGTTCTGCAGTGCAGCAGCAGAGGTGCAGGAGGCCAGCAGCGTGTCCTCGTCACACCTCAGGACACACAGCTCCCCTCGGTAGGCAGTGGATGTGAGCGAGGATAAACTGCTCAGGTGCTGTCATTAGGAGTCAGATCCTCCGGTTGTAGGTGGGAGTAATCCACAAAATAATGGTGTGAGGGCTGCTAATTCCACTCTGTAATCATTAGGCCAGTTTCAGCTTAGAGAAACAGAGATTTAGCTGCGTCAATTCCATCAGCTTGATTTTCCCTTTGCTGTAACAAACACACACGAAGCTTAGAGGAGGTAGGAAAAACAATTGGAAGATTTTTGTGTAATATAAATGAGAGAGGCTGTTACTGTAAATACTACTTTATGGTCCGAACTGCATGAAACTCTGACATGCACAGAGTAAAATAAAGGCAAGAAAAAAAGAGCTCTCAGCAGCAATTATGCAAATCAAGTGACAGCCTCCCCTATTAGCTGGAATAATTTGAGTTATTGGTTAAAAATGTAAAATGCAAGTCTTTGCATATTTAACATGTCTCTCAATTTATTTATTTATTTTTTTTTGTTTCTGATTCCCAGATCTATTATAAAGTTATTAAAGAAATTGAGCCAGGAGAAGAGCTCTTGGTGTATTTGAAGGAAGGTGGTTATTCACTTGGGAACATGGCGCCCAGCATGGAAGGTAAGGCCTCGTTTTGCGAGCTAGGACCTTTCTGCACCCCTCACCAGCCAACCTAGGAATGTTCAAGAACCCCAATTAGTGCTGAACTGGGACAAAAACCTGACCTGGTGCCCACCCCTTGTGCAGCTGTTCGTATTTTCTGCTTATTTCCACTCTTTCTCACTGGTGAGAGTAGTTACCTTAGTCAATGATGGCAAACAAGCTTTTATTACCTTCAAAGCATGCAACTGATTCATTTAATTCCTGTCGAGGAACGTTGTGCCATAAAAATGTGCCAAGCCATCCCAAGGCTTGCAGAACTCTGGTCTTTAGAGCTTTGGATTATGTGGAGAAGGGGACCTGGCAGGGGACGGAAGAGTCATCGCTAGAATTATTACTACAACAAGCACCTCTGAAACCATGAACTGATGTGGTGAAGGGGAAGAGAATGATTATTTTTAAAAGAAAGCTCGTTTTTTTATTACCGCAGTGTCTGTCCTGCCTCGCAGCAAGTTGGTGTTGCCGGACAAGGTGCACGGCTCAGGTGGTTTCCTTGACTGCACATCTCATGTGAAGCAATGTGACAGACTAAGCATTATTCACTCCTTCATGTATTTTCCTTAAAATAGCCTGATTATTACTGAGTTTCAGTAATCACACAGACTATGTAAAAGACCTTTCTGCTCTCCACATTAGAAGTTTTCTAGTAAGCTAGGGCAAAGAGCAATGTGCTAAGATTTTGAGGTTCTCTTACTACATGAAAACTGTGCTACGTGAAATTCGAGAGGATGTGTAGAGAGGGATGGGGAAGGAGAAGAGTTTGAGTCCTTCCTTTTTCATGGTGCACAAAGATGGCTATAAAATACTTACCTTTTTAATAAAAAGAAAGAAGCATGAAGCTTTCTGCTTGCTATTCTGTTAGACTGTTGAAAGCCTTGAGTTCAAATTTAGTTTCACAAAGAAGAGAAACGTGTTACTGCAGCGTAAGAGTAGCCAGAACTCCCAGGGTAAGGTAACTGGCAGACTGAGGGCTTTGGGAAGGAAGGACAGACTGAGCGGGTTCCATAAGAGGCTGTTGGAGGCAGCCAGGAGGAGCTCCCTGGGGACAGGTTGCTGCTCTCCTGTCTTCCAGGGGCCTTGCACGCTTCCCTGCAGTAGCTGGTGCTGGCAGCGGGAGAACAGGCTGGCAGGACACATGGCCTGAAGCAATCTGGCAATCTGAGAGTGTCTCTTGGATATTTTTTTGCTGGTTAAAGTGCTTTTCTCAATATCCATCTGACTCCGGCTAACATTTGGTGTCCCACCTCTTTCACTTCAAGTGACAGAGCTTCTCCGTACAAACGCTCCGCAGTGGAAATGACCTCTTAGGAAAACGAGGAAAGAGTTGCTATGCTGTGCCCAAAAATGTTATAGAAACAAGGCAACAGCACAGGCATGTCTAAAGTAAAAGGAAACTATACAAATTCTTAAATTGTTTATTTGAAAATTGAACTTTTTTCCTGAAATGAGTGCAAAACTCTATCATACTGGAGCAGTCCTCAGTCCTAACCTAATGTGAAGTACATTGTGATCCATAAATGAAAATCAGTCCAGGCTTGCAAAGTTCTGCTGTATTTTATGAAGTTCTTGGTTTTCTCGACATTTGGTGACAGTGAATGTCAGGGAGCAGTGTAGAAGATGCAGGAATTATCTCAAGCGAAGAGATTTGTGGGGCATGTTATTTGTCTTTTCTGTTCTTTCATTGAGTTTAGAGCCTGTTTCAGGTTTCTCATTATTATTTGATGATTCATTTCTAAAAATACATTCTCATCTATCAGTCTTCTTTAATCTGTTAGCTGGAACTATTGCTCTATGTGATTAATTGCTGGAATTTGAATTATTTCACCTGGACATCCTACAACACATTTATTTTTCTTTCACCTGTATATGAATATAATGTTCAGATTCAGATTTGCAGTAAAACTCTTTAAGAGTGTATAAGCGATATGAACAATTAGCCTGAAATACTTCTCAGGATCCTCTCGAGTTTGAGGATTAGTGCTCTTTATGAGCAGGCATTGCAGTAGCTGCTGTCTCACTGAGACGTCAGGTTTGGAATTATTTTTTCAGTGTTCTCCCCACAAAGAAGTTAATAATTTTCTTGAGACCGACACACAGACATGAATAATTTCTGTACTCGCAGCCATGGAGTAACACATACCTTTTTTGATGCCAGGGAGAAATCAGAAAGAAAATTCGTCACTGTTTAGCATTTCTGTTTCTAACAGGCTTTTATTTGAGCGAGCAAAAAGTGCTCCATGTTTTCCATCGTTGTCATTATATAACATTTATCTGTATCTTCCTGGTAACGTCTAGTGCTTTTGCCACATAATTGCTTTCGAATTATAATAGGCCAACATTAAATATTTGACTTCTTAATACTTTTTACTTTCAGTAATGCTATCTTCCTGCTGCCTCGCACCCCCATTTCGATTCTGAATTAACAAGAAAGAAAATGCAAAATTGTTCCACACAAAGATAATTATCATAAAAATCTTTTATCCAAACCCCAGCCAAACACAGCAGACCCCTTATCACTGCAGGAATTTTGAGTAGGGCACTTGAACTCCTTTGAGATTCAAGTCTGGTAGATTAGCATGTAGATGCCACATAATTGTGTTCCCCTTGGTTTCTCTGAAAGCTATTAGGCACTGATTTATTTTTCTGCTACATTCCTGCTTTGTCCTGAGTGTTACTGATGGAACTTAAGATAGACACATATAACCATAGATTTGACAAACAAGACATAGAGAACAGGCAGCAATTTTTTGTTACTGGATTTTTCTTTTCTTTTTATCCCCTTCTCCTCTGTAAGGTACTGAGGCAGGAACCTTCTTTTGAAGGGCAGTATTTTTATTTGTGGTGCTTGAAGAAGGAACAAAAACTTTAATGAGAACTTGTTTTGAAGGGTGATATTTTTTATTTTTGATGCTTAAGGAAAGAAAAAGAACTGTAATGAACCTAAAGTGTAAAAACTGGGTGTCTCGTATAAAGGCACAAAGCAGACACCAGGTCTTGTTAGTTCAGTTCTGAGCTTCCTTTGTTACTGGGGATTTTTTTTTGCAGGGTGATGACCTGGCCCTTGGTCTGCAGGTCAGTTCCTTTCCCTGCAGCAGTATTTATTGAGAAGTCTGATTTCTAATGTTCTGAAATTCAGAAAACAGAATGCAATGCTGGGTATTGATAGGAGATAACCAGCTGCTCTACCAGCCAGTCATTGCTTCCCCTGCTTAGCCTGTGTGAATATCAGAATAATATTTGCAGCCAGTGGTGACATGTATAAGGTGTGACTGCAGGCCTTTTGATCATATTTTTTCAGTCCTTTAAATCTTCTTTTCAAGAAACATTCATTTTTCCAAATCCAGATATTCTGAAAAAAGTATTTCTTTTCCTATCATCTCTTTTACCTACAAAAAAGCTGTTGCACTGGATAGTAGGAGAGGGACGTTGCTGTTACTGAAGCAGGAGCTGGACAAAACAGGGTTTTTTCAATTAACTGATGTGCAAGGGCTAGATCTATAAAATCTGTGCAGCACACAAGACATGCAAATGCAAAAAGACTCCATGTCTCATCTCAGCTGCCTTGTTTCTTCTGTTATTTCTTCCATTTCTTAATAAAGTCCGAAGGGGGCAGCTCCTCAGCTGGTGTAAGCGTGCCTGTGCCAGCCACTGCCGACTGAGGATCGCCTTACATTGTGTGTAACGGTGTGAGGCCGGTAATTCTGCTCCGAGAACAAGGAGGACTGGAAGAAAATGACTTCTGTAACAGTTATTAGCGAGGTTATTAACGTATTTCATCTGTCTGTCTATCTACCTAAACTGTAATCTCAACGAACGGGCAAAAAAATGTTCTTCTTGTTGGTAACAACAGGTAGCAGAACATCAGGGTGGGAGCTGTAGGAGGGTGCCTCTGAGTCATCCATCTTCAGCCGGGTATGCAATAAATTATTCTCTGAGGCTCATTTGCCAAACTCCGAGTGGATTTCTGGTTCCTAGAGGATACTCTGGGTAAAATAAGATGTGGTTAATTGTATGAATCTCAGTCTGGGATAGGAAAAACCTTGTATGGATTTGGGAAGTCATTTTAATGTATTTTCTCGAGTCAAAAAAGAAAAAAGGGTAAATGTTTTTCCCTTCCAAGCTTATCGTTTTGGGGAATTGCCACGGTTTCTGTCTGTGAGATGCTGAGTTTTGTAGGAGCTTCTCAAGAGGTGAAGCCATCTGGGAATCTCCGGTCCAGAGGGCTTCCAGTCTCTTCTACAAAAAAGAAGCCTTGTCGCATTTAGCCATCAGTGTGTTTAGAAGAGAGCAGGGAGGAGAACTGCCAGGTTTGCCGGGTGAGTTCTGAGGCAGAGGATCACTCTGCCAGGCTGCCCCCTGAGCGGCTTTGTCCCGCTCCCTGCAGCGCAGCCGGCTGCACGGGGCAATGAACTGAACTGCTGCCCCACGTGCGTCGCTGGGAGCCCGAGCAGAACAAAAGTGCCGTGGTGTTTGGCAGCACCGGGGGCACTTCAGAGTGCAGGCTGACGTCTGAGGCTACAAAACCCCGGTGCTGAAGCAGCTGAGCACTCGTCTCAGTGTGCGTGAGAGCTAACGTGAGTGCTTTAAGCACTGAGAGATGGCGCAGCGAGGATACGTCCTCAGCCCGTGCAGTGCGTGTTTGGGCACTTGATGTTTCATGCCCGGCTCTTCTCACCTGGGCTTTGGATGGGTCCCGAGTGAGAAGTGCAGCACGCCTCAGCCCTTCCCATGCCCCCGCACCGAGCCTGCCCCTGCCAGGGACTTTGTCAGGCCATAAACTCAGGTGAAATCTTAAATTTTGCTAGCTAACATCATGCGCTCCGTGCTGTTGTTAGAAGTAAAACGCAGTAACAGACCATAATGTGATACTGCAGTTCCTTTTTTCTTTCCCTTTTTGTATTTTCATAAAAAGCAGTTTGGATTATTTTAATGATAGGTAATGCACAGTCTCTCAATAGTGCTAGGTAGTTTATTATGTCCTAATTTCCAGGTTTTCTTCCCCGGGGACCTAAAACACACGAGATGCATATTAGTGCTGTTCTACAAAATGCTAATAAACAGAATTTTTCTAAGGAGCAGAACAGGGGCTAATCCACTTCCCTGTGAGACTGCTGATACCAGTACGGAGTATATATATGATGTGTCAAAACTAGTTGGAATGGGAAAGACACCGGTATTTTCTTCCCTTAGGTTGGCTTTTTTAGTCAAACCTGTTCCCCCAAGCCATCCCCCAAAAGGAAGATGTCGACCTGTTGCACTTTATTTCTTCTTGCATCCCTCTCTTTCAGGAAATGCTGTAGCACCTCTGCATTTGGGTTATTCTCTGCATAAGCTGGGTTTAGCAGCACGAAACGTGCTGCTCGGATAAGTAGCAGGGCACAGCTGATCGTGTCTCAGCGATATTTTCTCTTTTAGCTCTTTGGCTCGTTCCAGCCTGCGGCCACGCTGATACTTCCCATGTAGGTGCGACCTCGGGGGTTTTGTCTGCCCACGCGGTTGTGCAGCGGCTGCGGGACCTCGCCGGTCGCTGTCAGCTCAGGAGCAAGTCACAGCCTGGGTGCAGGCACTGGGGTGCAGGGGCACGGGGCAGAAACCACAGCCCAGGCTGAGATACGCCGCAGGGAGAGGGGTGGAAAAGGAGACGGCTGCCAGAGCGCAGGCAGGGACGTGGTGGTCCCCGTGTGATGCTGCCCACGTTGGTGCTTGTGTCACGGTGTGAGCAGGGTGGCAGTGGTTGTGTGAAAGCAGGAGCAGACGAGCGTGTTCAGTGCTTTAAACCAAGGGTTTGCTGGAGGCTGCTGGGTTTTGAAGCTGGCTGCAGACAGGTGAGTGGCCAAGAAGAGGTGAGGGCGGCCCGGTGTCACCCTGCTGTCTGCTCCATCACCACCTCTCCTCCTGGCTTCACCTCGTAGGAAGCATATTGCCACTCTTCCCTCTGAAGCGATGCATTTTACAGGCTTTCCTTTTGAAAGCGAAGTAATCAGACAAAGAGAATAACGCTTGGTACGAAACAGAGCTCCAGAGAGCAGAGGAAGAGGGCAGAGGGACAGGGGAGCGCAGCACGAAGGGCCCAGTGGTCGCTGGAAGCTGCTGCTTCGAGCTGGCTGCAGGGTGGAGAAACCCCGAGCTGTCCCGACTCCCTCGCAGAGGTTGTTCTCCTGGAAAATTTACAGCTCTGAGCCGATTGTTTGACTTGGCACCATGGTCAGGATGCTGCCTTGTAAACTTAATAATAGCTGCCCTCTTTTTAATTTGTTTGACCTTGACTACAATAATTTATTATGTGCATTAGAACTTTTTTTAAAAAAAGGAAAGAAAAAAAAAAAAAAAGAAGCCCAGCACAACAACAAAGACTTTGGCTCCCTTTCCTTTCCTCCGCAGTGCTCTGGTGCTGAACCCCTCCTGTCTGATGGCGCACCGGGCTCCTCGGCGGCGCAGGGCCAGCCGAGAGGACAGCGCTGGGAGGGCATTTGCCGAGAGAGGAGCGTCCCCAGGTTGTGCTGGGGCTGGGATGTGCTGCTCCCAGCATCGGCCCTGATCCCAGCGTGGTTTGTTCCTTTCTTTCCTGGCAGCCCCCGCTGAGGAGGAGCTCGCCGGTGCTTTCCGAAAGCCACCACGCACGAGGGCTTGCTGTTAGTGCTTAAAGTGAAACCCTTCTGCTGTCACCGCCTGCCTTGGTTTCTCTGTCCTGTCACTTGCAGATCTCCTCTTTGTTTTTTAGATGAGAATATTACATTTTCTTTGCAAGCACAACATTGGGTAAAATAGCTGGAATCGTTTGAATGTCCTGGTCCTCGAGTCCAAATCCTCTGGTCTGTCTGTTTCAGAGGAGCACACGTTTCGCTGCGAGGACTGTGACGAGCTTTTTCAGTCAAAGCTGGACCTGCGGCGACACAAGAAGTACGCCTGCAACTCCGTCAGCTCCCTCTACGAGACTCTGAACGACGAGATCAAGCAGGAGGGCCTTGGCGATGGGCAGGTCTACGAGTGCAAAGACTGCGAGAGGATGTTCCCCAACAAATACAGGTACGGGTGCTCGCCAGGCACAGCCTTTGGCGCTGCTTCGTGGCAATGCAGAGTTCTGGGGCTCGCTTTGAGTGCCCCGAGTCCTGCTGAGGGTTGGGACAGACTCATTGGTAGGCCTGGTCAGCATCTTTGCAGGAACTCCTCCCACGTGATGTAGTTCTGAGGGAAACCAGCGGTAAGACATCCTGCCACTGTTTGCATGAAGAGCGTATTTTAAATATAATCCTTGGCCATTTGAGATCAGTGGCTATAAAGAGGCATTGCTGTACTGAGAGCTCTAACGGGATCATGAGCTCCTCCTTAATCTTACAGCAGCAATTAAAAAATTCTGCTCCAAGTACATATCAAGTATAGCTTTTTAAAGAGGAAAATGTTCATGAAAATACTTCATGTTTACCAGGCATTTTTGTAGTAGAACTGTGGAAAAAAAATATTCTCCATCTTTTTTTATTTTATTTTATTTGCAATGATTATTAAAACAGAGATCTTCGAGATTTCTGATACATTTGCAATGTGGGACTCATTCAGTGTTAGGTGCCAAGTTTAAAAAAATGTTGAGCTTTTATTTTTTATTATTTTAGGACTGTGGTTCTCTGCATCCCGAGCCTTTACCATCTAGGCTGTGTTTTCAAGGTTTTCTCCACAGCGTGTGAGGGCTCGGAATGTGTTCGTTTGCACAGTGTGCTGTCTTAATTCCTGTACTTCTTATGTTAATTTAGGAAATACCCTTTGGAGATTTATGTGTATTTGTCTCTTTGCAATGTTTGTGCATTTCCTGGTTCCTCTTGGGGACCTAGAGTGGCAGCGAGTCCATTTTACAGGAGTTGAGAGAAGCAGGAGGATTTTAAGTCCCATTTTTCCCTTCATACTTGGTTTATCCCGTGTGGGTAAGATGTTCAGAGTCTGCTGGTGAAGCTCATGCCAGGTATTCAGACGATGTGGCTTGGTTAAGGTCCCAGTATCCCTCGATTTCTTGGGAGCAGTGTGATCAGAAAGACCTTGCCTCAGTTGAAGACTTGACTCCCCTTGGGACATCTCTCCATTGCAAGCATTCCTGGCAGCGTAGCAGAGGCTTTTAAGTGTCGGTAGGTAAAAGGGACGAACAAATGACTTGTTCAGTCAGATGGAATACCTGTGGAAGGGCCAGGAACAGAACACCAGCTTCTTTTTTAAGCAAATAATACAAAGCGACTTTTTTTCAGCAGGGAAAGATAGAGTCAGCAACATCACCGGTCTGTGTTCTACACGCTGACGGATTTAGTGGGGCTGGAGAGAATTTCCACATCCATCCCTCCTCCATCAATCTGCTGCATTTTATGTACTGAAAAGCCCACTAAAACACAGAATAAATCCAGTCAGCATACCTAGATGGTCTTATAATTTTTCAGAAGTTAATACAGATCAAATCAAGAGTGCCACTGGGGAACTGAAATTGAGCATTTAGCAGCTGACTAAATAAATAAATGTTTTGCTAATCCCAGTAGGTACTTGCCTCTAAACAGCATATTAGTTTGTCCATATTTGCTCTAAATAAACTCATAAATCACAGTTAACAGGAACATATTTTTATATATGTATATGAAAAGTATATATTTCTTTGTACGTGTAAAAAATTTCGTAGTGTTAAGAACACCATTTTTTTAGCAAAAATGAATATTGCTTCTTTAAAATGAGTGGATTGTCAGTTTACAAGGGGCACGTTCATGAATATTTACTATCACAACTTGAAAGAGGAGGAGGTTCTTCAGGGAGTAGCAGGATGCCTGCTGCTTGCATTGGTGCTCGGGACGAGGCAGAGGCAGGGCTGCGGTGGAGGGGCAGCGCAGCGAGCGCCGCGTTCCCCTGCTGTGGCCCGCGTCCAGCAGCCGGTTGGGTTTGCCATCGTCCTCCTGGTCCGAGGGAGGCTGCCAGTTGGCAGAAGCTGAAATTGCCGAGTTAAGTAATAAAAGATGTCTGACGTTTCGAAGTGAAATGTGTTTGCACCCTATCGTGTTTCTTTCCAACGCTAAGTTGCCGTGTTCCGGGAAGCCGTGGGCTTTGTGCCCACGAAAACGGCAACGCGATAGCCTCAGCAGCAGCAGCTCATATCTTGTCTTTCCCTGTGGGGATGCCATAGAAATCTTGGTCACAAAGTGCTCATTTTTCCTTTCGGGACCCCGCAGGGTCAGGTCTGGTTTTACCTTCCCTCTCCCCCTTCTGAATGGTCTCAGGTATTTAGTAAGTCACAAAACCCAGCAGCATTTTGAGGCGGCGAGGGCAGCTTCCATCTGTGAAATAAATGCCAGAAATGTGCCTGCGGCCGCACCTTCCATTGTTGCTGTGCTGCTCGCCTGCTTTCTAATAGGGGGTCGTGCGTGGGGGCCATAGTCAGTCCTGGCCCCACACCACGAGCCCTGGCCGGTTTCTCTGTCGTCCCCATCAGTCGTGGCTCATTTCACACCCCCTCGGTGCCACGGACAGGCCTGGCTCAGCGGGCCCCGGGCCCCTTTCCCCCTTTCTCTTTTGCAGCCTGGAGCAGCACATGGTGATCCACACCGAGGAGCGGGAGTACAAGTGCGACCAGTGCCCGAAGGCCTTCAACTGGAAATCCAACCTGATTCGTCACCAGATGTCTCACGACAGCGGGAAGCGGTTTGAATGTGAAAACTGTGTCAAGGTACGGCGCCGAACGCGGCGACCGCAGGCAGCTCTGGGGAAAGAGGGCGCTGGGGCCGTGTGCTGCTGCTCGGGCCAGCTCCCGTTGTACCAGTAACGGCCCCGGTCTTCTCCCTCCGGCTTCGTTTCCGCTCCCTGAAGGTGTTTTCTCTTTCAGGTGTTTACCGACCCAAGCAACCTCCAGCGGCACATCCGTTCCCAGCACGTTGGCGCGCGAGCCCATGCCTGCCCCGACTGCGGCAAAACCTTTGCCACCTCGTCTGGCCTCAAACAACACAAGCACATTCACAGTACTGTCAAACCTTTCATATGTAAGTTGTCACGGCCATCACGGAGTTCTGGCTCTTGCTATAATTGCACGTATCCTGCGGGGCCCCCCAGTACTAGCTGTCCCTCTGTGAGCAGCCGCTGTAATTTTATAGGTCAGAGCACAAGATGAAATTCCGCAGCAATTTTTTTTTTTTTTTGCATGCTCCCTGTTTTTTTAGTAAACATTCATGGCAGTTTTTGACTTTCTTGACAAGTTAAAAGCTGAGTCTCTCAGCAGTCCCAGTGATGCCATTTTCTCATATCTTTTCTTTCTTCTTTTTTCCCTTAATAATTTTTGAATGTTCATGTTGGTGACATAAATAAATAGCTGGCACAGCCTGATCGAGGTGTTTTTCAGGGGTGCCTCAAATCCTCTAGCTGTGGAACAGAATTTGGAGTAGTCACGGAGACGTGAAGAAGGTGTTTTTTAAAAAGAGATTTTTTTTCCTCTTTATTTACTGCATGTTTCATCTAGATAGTACTTGGAAGGCAAATAAATAGCAGATTAACTGTGTCCTTAGTGCTCGCTTTAGTGCAATATTTCCAAAAGAGCATTTTCCCTCAAGAGCCATTCATCTCCTTTCTTGTCATTTTTGGGGGTTGTATATTTCTTTAATTGACACAGCACCTATTGGATTTTGATAACTGTGCAGAAAAGTGGATTGTGTCACAACAAAGCTATAGAAACTTTAGGGACTACTTCCTGACACTCTTCAGAAAGTGTCATTAAAGCACAGAGCAGGATCTGGGTTTGATTCCAGGCTTTGATGTTATGGTAGGGAAGCCACTGAACCCCCTTTTGCCTTTTTCCCTATTGGTATAATGGGAACAGCATGCAGGGGTATCCTGAGAGACTCGTTTCATTAATGTGTTCTGAGATAATCAGATGGGTGTCAGCAGAGGAAGAAAAAATACTCGTATTGCTCATTTTGATGCAATCTTTCATTTGATGACGGGCACATGAAAGAGATAATTTGAATCTCATAGTATTGCTGCAGTGAGATGAATGATTTCTTCTCATAATCTCCTCACTCTCACCTCATAAGAATTAGGGAGTTGTCAGTCTAAATCAGTGTGTAAAACAACTGAGACTGATTCTGCTTAGTTCAGATGTACCAGGTGGAGTCACATGCGTTAATATGGAACCCATTAGCAATTTTAGGGGAGCCGTGAGGCAGGATTCCCTGGAAAGGTTTTCTTTCCTGTTCAGTGGGAAAAAAAAAAGTGGTTGGTTGCTTTATTTTTTTTGTTGTTGTTGTTTTCCCCACAATATTATACCTGGCTTTAAAAAAAAAAAAACAAAACTTTATAACTGCAAAATGCAGAACAGCAGGCAGGGACATTACATGCACAGTGACTAAATCATTGTGTAATTGGGGATTTAAACTTTTTTTTTTTTTTCCAGTTTTCCTTATTTTAGAATGATGATGTGAGCTCTTATACCTGTAACACTTTTATTCAGGGAAATTTGTGCAGTATTGCGTATATGAGGAGGCTGTAGCAACTCTTCCTGGGGTGGAAAATGGAAACAAGGAGCCTAATTCTCTTTGAAAATGTAGCTTTTGTAATCTTTATTTTCTTTTTATTTTTTTTTTTACAACAAAAATAACACAAGCAGCACGAGCACAGTGTTGAGCCAGTGAAAACTGACAGAAAGTGCACTCGGTTGTGATACCATCTGCTTAGGCAGATTAGCCATTTATTATAAACTTGTGTGTATCTTCCAAACCACAATATAACATCTCTTGGCACATGTCAAGGGAGACGGTTAAAATTAGAAAGGGGTAATTTTGTTCTGGAAAGAAAAATATATACAAACATATTTTAAATAAATCCACCCAAATGTGACATTTCTTCAGAAATTATCAGTAATTCGAGAGGGAGCTCACACAAGGTGTCCTTACCCACGGAAGCCTTTGCACAAACCTGTTCATTTGAGCGTGCACAGTCCCTCCCACAACCCTAAGGAGGGTGGCTTTGCACAGACAAGCAGGTTAAGAAAAATACCCAGTCTGGAGTTAAAGTCAAGCAATTAAAGTAGAGTCAAGGCAGAGACACAGCAATGCAGCCGGGTGCCTGACTTTAGCCGGACAGTGCTTGTAGGGGGACAGCACTTCTCATGGATCTCATGGATCTGAGGCTGTCAGGTAGCGAGTGCATCTCCTGCAAGGACAAGGGACAGGGACAGCTCTGAGGGAACAGGGCTGTGGGACTGCAGAGTTACGCAGGTGCTGGCAGATCCCTCTGCTTACATTTCTCTAGAGACAGAGGCTGTTGTATCCAACAGATTCTCAGTTTTAAGGAAAATAAATGGAGAAGTGTTTCCTTTCAGTTCTCTGTTTAGATTAGTTTTTAAGAAAATATTTTAAAATAAAGTTTAAAAAAATAAAAATACAAAAGCCCTTTCCTTGAAAGTCTAAGGGATAGTTTGAACAGAATCATTAAAAAGCTGTTGCTTCAATACTGCGACTTGTCTGAGTTGGAAAAAAAACAAAAAACAAACAACTTTGAGGAATTTTTAGTTCTCCTTCTGTTTGTGCTTCCTCTGCAGCTCCTTGCTGTGTCAAGGCCCAAAGCAGGAAGGCCAAAATACTCTGAGTTCACATTAAATTTCTAGTGCAGTCAGAAGCCAGACGCAGCAGGCCCTTCAGTGACAATCCACTGAATTTTGCGATGCTCATTTCAACTGAAATGGCAAATTTGTCCAATTTTAGTAATCCCTGCTTTGTATTTTACTGAAAGGGTTTTCCCGTATATTTTCAGAGCTGCCAGTGATATATTTTGACTGTCTTTTGATATTCAAATCTTGATGAAAATCCGAACGATTCAGAAAACAAACTGGAGGGAAAATCAAGCTTGTGTGTACCTATCAGTAAAAGCTGGGAGGCAGGAAGGATGGATGGACAGGCTGCTTTTCTCTGGGTTGGAGGGCTGGGTGCTGGGAGACTTGGATTCAGGTCCTTGCCTGCCCGACCCTGAACAATGCGCTTTCCCTCTCTTTGTCTCAGTTTCCATGTTTACAAAGTGGTGATAACAGCAGCTCTCCTGTGAAAGAAGCATGTTAATTCACCAAGAAGTAGGATTTATTCCTATGTTGAAAGAGGCACTAGATAATAAAAAGCTACAGTGTTTTGGTATATAGGAAAAAGTTTGGGTTTTTTTGTTTGTTTTTTTTTTTCATACTTTGTTCCTTTCACACCAACAGTCTGTAGGTGAAAGAGGTTGTAAAAATTCACATTGTGGCAGCTCTGTGTGTGCAGGTCATTAAAGAGAACGGAGATGTAGAATTAACCTGGCATTGCTGGAGTGTCCTGCTAATTCAGCGAGTACAGCATCCACCCCACTTCCAGCTGAACTGAGCTCTGGCTGGCCAAGTATTTATAGAACATCCCCACGGAGTGGTTACTTACTATTAATGGCATTAAAGAAAGGGTAGATTTGATTAAACGAGGCAAAGTTCTTCTGCCTCCAGCCTTCAGTACTTCCTGCCATGCCAAGACTGGAGGGAAGGCAGGCCAGTTAATCTAAATAGGCATTGTCATTAAAATGTTTAATTATTGAAAATAAATGTGAAATACTTTGAGCAGGGGTAGCACATCCCCTCGGATCTCCATAGCTCCTGGAGAGACGCTCTGTCGAGAAGGTTTATCTGAAGGGATTTGTGCTCTTACCTCCAGGATCCCCTCTGCGAGGCCTGCCCGTGCCAGCGGGGCAGTGGCTGGGCGCGGAGGAATCGCTGCTTTCTGCCAGCTGCTCCAGGGGTCCCCCAGCATCGCTTCCAGCATCCTTGCCCAGGATTCCCAGGGCTGCCTCTCCCTTTTCTAAAAGTAGCCGGGATCACGCCCTGGTGTTGCTGAGTCCTTCGTCGACCTTTAAGGAGGGAGATCGCTTTTCCCACATCCTTGCAAGCTAGAGAGACCAGATGGGCTCATTGGCCTCATTTTGTACAGGGGGAGCTGAAGCACAAAAAACTTTGTGCCTAAAGGCATGTAGGGAAGCCTCAGCTGAAGACATTTGAAGCTGGGTTTCTAGAGATCCAGTCCAGCAGCATACAGCTTGCTGTTTATCTCCTCTGCCTCAGGGAATCAGGATTTTAGGGGCAGGGTGAAAGGAGTGTGGGACGCTGATGAAGCTCCTGGTGAATTCCATGCAATTTCCTGTTAATTTCATATTGCTTTTGTTTTTGGTTTCTGTTGATGCTTTAGGTGAGGTCTGTCACAAATCCTACACGCAGTTCTCCAACCTCTGCCGTCACAAGCGGATGCACGCGGACTGTCGCACCCAGATCAAATGCAAGGACTGTGGCCAAATGTTCAGCACTACCTCCTCTCTCAACAAACACCGGCGCTTCTGCGAGGGCAAGAACCATTACAACCCGGGGGGAATCTTTGCCCCAGGCCTCCCCTTAACGCCCACTTCCATGATGGACAAGTCCAAGCCCTCTCCCAACCTCAACCACGCCAGCCTGGGATTTAATGATTATTTTCCATCCCGACCCCACCCAGGGGGTCTTCCATTCTCACCTGCCCCCCCAGCATTTCCTGCCCTCACTCCAGGATTCCCTGGGATTTTCCCACCGTCTCTGTACCCCAGGCCCCCCTTGTTACCACCCACGCAACTGCTCAAAAGTCCCCTCAACCATACTCAAGACGCAAAGCTTCCGAGCCCCCTTGGGAACCCGGCACTTCCTCTGATTTCTGCAGTAAGCAACAGCAACCAGGCCGCTTCGGGAGAGGAGAAATGTGAAAGCAGCCTGGAAAACTCCTACCTGGAGAAGCTAAAAGCCAGGAACAGCGACATGTCCGACGGCAGTGACTTCGAGGATGTGAACACAACCACGGGCACAGACCTGGATACCACCACTGGCACCGGCTCTGACCTGGACAGCGACGCAGAGAGCGACAGGGACAAAACGAAAGATAAGAGCAAACAAATTGAGAGCAAACCAGACTTTGTCAGCAGCTCTGTGTCGGCAAGCTCCACCAACAATACCAGCGAGATCCCTCTCTTCTATTCTCAGCATTCCTTCTTTCCTCCCCCCGAAGAGCACCTGCTACCCACCACAGGAGCAGCCAATGACTCTATTAAAGCCATCGCCTCCATTGCAGAGAAATATTTTGGGCCTGGCTTTATGGGGATGCAGGAGAAAAAGATGGGTTCACTCCCGTATCATTCCATGTTTCCGTTTCAGTTCCTCCCCAATTTCCCCCATTCCCTCTACCCTTTCACGGAGCGGAGCCTCAATCACAACTTGCTGGTCAAGGCAGAACCAAAGTCACCCCGGGACCTCCACAAGGTGGGCAGCACCAGCTCGGAGTCGCCCTTCGATCTCACCACAAAGCCAAAAGAGATAAAGCCAATCCTGCCACCACCTAAGGTCCTGCCGGCCCCATCCTCAGGGGAAGAACAGCCACTGGATCTGAGCATTGGCAACCGCATCCGAGCCAGTCAGAACGGAGGAAGAGAGCCACGCAAAAACCACATTTATGGGGAGAGGAAACTAATGGCAAGTGAAGTCTTACCCAAGATTTCCCAGTCTCAGCTGCCTCAGCAACCATCCCTGCATTATGCTAAGCCATCACCCTTTTTCATGGACCCCATATACAGGTATTAACATACCCTGCCTTAACTTTTTTCCTCTAATGAGCTCATTTTCTAGCTGACATCACAACCTGAGGCAGATCTGGATGTAGGTTGTTCAGAAAGAGCAGTGGAAATCTGATAAAGCCGACAGTACTTCTCTGTCCTTTGTCGCAGCACGTTGAATTTCCTGAATGACAAGGGCTGAATAATTGAAAGGAGTACTCATAATCAATATGTATAAAGAACACATCTTTATTTTGATAAAGAAGAAACTTGGCCTATTTAAGGACTCTCCCACGAGCCAACACTAAGATGGCACTTCTGCTGGGGAAATTCCAGAGGTTTGATTCGATAAGAATGCAGAGTTCAGATGCCTCAGAGCCCGGGCTCTCATGGCTTGGGAATGAGTCAGGAGCCCTGGGAGCCTGCAAATACAGCTCTCCCACTCACTTCTTTGATGGCCTTTTGTGAGCCACTTCACCTTTTTTTCTCCCCGCCCCCCTTTTTCTTTCTAATTCCTTGGAGTTATTCAGTTCATAGGAACTGCTGTTGCAGACCCAGGCTTTTGAAACGTTTTTTAGTCTGGAGTAACGAGTACTGAGTAAGTGCATGGTAGCACGTTATCTAGATGTGTCCCAGAAACGTTTCTTGCACAATCACCTTTCTTAGAAGCTATGCAGGGTTTTCCAGTTTCACTGAGTGGATGTTTTTGAGGAAGGCACGTTTGTCGTGTCACTCCTAGAATAAGTCGTACGTGGAAGGCTTGTGTAAGGCAGAGTAGATGAAGTTATCTAAGTGCCAGCTAAAATTCCAGAAAGAAGGAATGCAGAAGAAGCTGTAAAGGAAAGGTTTGGGTCTTCTGTTGTTGTAGGGCTGCTTATGGATTCTGTTTCTAAAGTACAATTCTTTTGAGCTTTAAGGCGAGCGTACCAGTGAGTTATATTGCCCCTGCAGGCACTGCCACTACCTTTGTTGTCTTCCTGCTGCTGCCGAGACATCTTTGTCACATAGCAAACACCATTTGCTGGTTCTTAGCAAAGTCCAGCGAGAGGAGGTGTCCCAAACCAGTTTACTTTAGATGTTAACGTGGAATTAATGCTCTCTTAGGCTACACGAACTGCTTTATAACCACCCACTTCGGTACGCAGGTTTGGCCAGAGGGCTCCCCTGCTCAGTGCCTGCCCAAGTTAGTGGCTTGCTCTGGAGTTAAACATGAATATTGTGCTGCAGGGCTGCACAGTGAGCCCAGGGGTAGCCCAGAGTGCTGGGAAGGTAATGGCAGTGCTGCAGAAGCCGGTGTTTTCTGGCGCTGGAAAGACTCATCGTCACCGCCGCGCGATTGTGTCAGCACCGGCACGGCTCGCCTGAGTGTTCAAAGGGCTGCGAGCAGCAACGGGTGGCGTGGCCTTGCCTGCTGGCTGGAAAAGCAAGCCAGGAGAACAGCACCTATGTCACTGCCTTGCTGCTATTGTATGCTTGATAACTGTGGGAAAAAATGATGTCAATGCCTAACGGGGCCAAGGAACTGTCAGCTGAGAGGAGGATTAGCGAGCCCTTGTTGCTTGCTATTAAGAAAGCGTCTCTCGCTTTGCCAGCGCTCTCAGGGTCGGTGCCGTGTTGGTTGCTTCCACGCTTACCATCTGTGATGGAAACGCTGCATCACAACCTGGGACGTGCAGAGTATTCTGTCTGGGGCCCATCGTGGTCATCTCCTGCTGGAAAAATAAGTAATGATGCAAATAGTCCGCTATTTGTTTTTGTAAAAAGTACTTCTGTGCAAAAATAAATGGGATAGGGAGGCAAAAGCGGAGAGTGAGCTTCGGATTCTGCCACCTCTGGGCATTCTCAGTAGGAAAGTTAAAATAACATGGGCTGAAAAAGCAGTTGCCAATTAAAATAGCAGCCTCGGGAAAACCGTAAAGGTCCAGAAGACAGATGGAAGTGAAGGATGGGGGCATCATTTGTTGCATTCCATGGGATGCATGTAGTTTTAGTAATACATTAAAATAGAAAGGCAGTGGTGGAGTCGCTTGCGAATCAGACTTCTGATGTAATGAGCTAAACAGCAGAGCTTCCAAGTCCCAGCTTAAAAAATATGGAAATATTTTGTTTCTAAACTTCTCTTTATCAGACTCTCTCACATCATTTGGCTCCTTCATTTTTCTCCCAAAGGCCACTTAAATCCTTGACATTTTCTCCTGGTGATATAATTTAATGCAGCCAGACAGCCTGAAATCAGAGCAGTTTTTAGCTCGGCCTTGTTAAGGTAACGTTCTCAGGCAGCGGCTGGGCAGATCAGCCTAATCCCCGAGTCACGGCACTGCTCAGCTCAGACGGGGCTGCCCTGTGCTCCTGGCGTGTTCTCGCTGCTGGGAGGTGGTGGGGCTGTGCAGATGCCATCACTGCTCCGCGGGCTTTGCGGCCCTGATGCAGGTGGGGCCGGCTCACGGGGGTCCCGAAGGCGTCAGGGACAGCACAGCTCTGCTGGCAGGGCGCTGGGAGCTGCCCTTTGCTGCTGGGCCTCGTGTCAGGGAGAAACTTCCTACGTCTTGTTTTACAGGCTGCTGTTTTTCTGCAAACTCGTGCCCATCAAATCGCACACCTTCCCAAGCACAGTAATTACGGCTGCATTTCAAATCCAGCTCTTCTCTTTTCTTCTACCTAAGAGAAATTAAATGCAGATTAACTACAGTTCACTAAATAGCACTCTGCATGACTCTTCTTTTAAACTCTTTGGTAATTTGATCCACACACCAATCAGCTGAAACGCAGCAAAATAATTTGCTCTCATTTATGCTGGACTAATGTAGTTAAAATTACTCTTACTATTGGACTTCTGCTGGTTTAGCTGGGATGGACTCGGTTCCCGTAATTTAAAGATGCAGCTGCACTTACTGGAGCTGCTTTCAGACAACTTTCCCCCAGAGGACATTTCGGATTCTCTTTTTGGGTGATTCCACACCATGGTTTTCCTGCAGGCAGGATACTTTCAGAAAGCAAAGCCAGCATTTCAAACACCCGAGCCTAACTTTTGGGCTGTTCCTGCACGGTGAGGTGCTGGAGCAGGGAGGACATGAATGAACTGCAGCGATGTGGGAAGAGCTGGGGTTCCTGACTCACTTCTGACATCGCCCACCAGTTCCGAACTTTTTAAACTGTTGTCCACATAGGCTTGCCAAATAATGCAAATTATATCTCAGCTGCAAGGGAGGAAATAAATATGAAACACCTAATGATTTCAGCACACATGGGGCTGCAGAGTCTGGCCCGGTGTTAACTCTTAAGATAAAGACAAACTCTCAAAGAGAATTTGTGTCTGTGCAGTGGCTGCCTGCTGTGGACTCCAGAGCTTCTCCCACTAAAACATTGCTTTTGCTCTGTGTGATTTTTTTCACACAGTGGCATATAAACCACTGTAGCAGAGCCGTTAGGTCTCATGTAGAAAGAGCAAAATGTTCTCTTTGTCATCAGTCTGGTGGCTGAAAAATGCTGCCCAGAGCAGGAGAGTAGTTTCATATCCCTGCCAGTACCTCTTGCCAGTAACGTTTGGGTCATCGTTTGTAGTATTCGGTAGAAGGGGGAGAGAGGCATTCGTGTCGATTGGAGAATAGCCTCATCTATATAATTTAAACACCTCTGCAAATGACTTGGCTATTTCTTTCCTGCCTGTATCCCTGGAAGGTACGTAACCCTCTGTGTTGTTGTCCAGCAGGGTGGAGAAGCGGAAGGTGACGGACCCTGTGGGTGCCCTAAAGGAGAAGTACCTGCGACCCTCCCCGCTGCTATTCCACCCCCAGGTAAAAGCAGTAAAATTGTAATGCAGCACAAGTCTCGTGCACCAGATTTTTCTCATCCAAGGGCCTGAATGGAAACTCCAGTATTTTCCACCAGTTACTTTTAAATACTTTTAATTTCATACCTAGTTTGAGGATGGTGGCAGTAATGTCTTGCTGTTGCTTTTGCATTAACAGAAGACCAGGGCTAAGGTCTGGACAGCTCGTACAGGCTGCCAAACTTCCACATGCCAGAATGCCGACATAATTTTTTCATTGGAAACACCTGGTGCAGGCTTTTGCAGTAGTGCAAAGTGGAGAAAGACACTAGCATCTAGGCAGTAGCATTTTATACCTGCCCGACGCTCCCTTTACATCACTCAGAAAGTGTAAAAGTGGGGCGATGGTGATTGGCGTCCAGATCTACCTCCTGGGAAAGGTGGTGGCCAGCCCATGGTGCAGCCGTGCTGGGTCCTTAGTGCGCAGAGACTGTTATGAGACTCAACCCCAGTTCACCAAAAAAAAACTTCTATTTTAAGTGGTAGCTAAACTGTCCAGTGGTGAGGGTGGTGTTACTCTTGCCCTTGCTTCCTAACGGTAACGGTTCTGCCACAAGGTACCCGATGGCCTCTCGGTGTGACAGTCACCACCATCCTCTGTCCCTCCTGCCGTGAGCACTTAGTGGGAGCTGAGCTCTGTGCTCATTATTCTGCTCTCCTTTATATTCACATGCATTGTTCTTGTCTGATAATGTTTCCCACCTTAGATAAATAACTCGCAGGTTTGTGAAAGCTGGATCCTGGTTGTTTTCACAGCTAAACTTAGTTTCTTCATTGTTTTGCATCAGCCTCAGAGTTTGGTTAACAACTTCCCCTGATTTTTCCTTCATACAGGCTGGATAATGGTGACAGGCTGGCCAGGAACATCCTGTGTTTGTGTGAGTTAGAATAGTGGGGATATCTGCCTGTAAAGAATCTGATAGCAGGGAGGAGCTAGCGCAGCAAAGCAACCCAACAAGACGATGAGAAACGTGCAGACCCTGAGCAGGAGCAAGCATTGGGTGGAAGGTTATTAACATTGTTCACTGAAATCCTGACCACGTCCTCTTCCCATGGCAATGAAAAGATGTGGAAGGTCTGGTTATCTCTAACAGCTTATCACGCAGAATAGCCTAAAATTTACAATCACTCGAGCCTGAAACTTCCTGATAACTAAATTTTAATGAAGGGCTTACTGTGTAAAGATCACTCCATCTCGACAGCGGCTGTTCCCCTGCTATTTAATCACTCAGATATTCCAAATACTAAAGGTGAATGAGGGCAGGGCATTTGTTCAAGAATACATGAGCTTTTTACGTAGCAGATCCCCATCCAATATTATCCTGGATGTTTTCCTAAAAAAACTCACATTTTCAGGGGCTCCTGCTTCTGTCTTCTTCGTTAGGACCAACATCCATCCACCAGACGAATTAGAGGCCCCTCTACATGTGTTTCTCTCACTCAAAGCCCACGTCTGGTCTAAGTCTCTCCTTCTGTGAATAATTCCCCAGATCTCAGAGAGGGCCCTGGGTGAGATGTGATTAAGCCAAAAGCTGTGATAAAGATTGAGCATTCAGAAGATGCTTGCTCTCTTAAAATGAATTTCAGGCACCTTTTATTTCTTACCCGGTCGTTGACAGTAGTTCCTGTGCTATGATGTGAGTTATTCCTACATTGTCTATTTTAAATGAAACTCTGGACAACATAAATAAATGGTGTAACTTTTTGATAACTTAATGGAAAACCTTTTCTCACCTGTTAAGTTTCTTTTCTTCTCCCCTTCTTTTTTATTATAACCAGGCAGTTGTTCCCTAAATAGCAAAGTGCCTTTACCACTGGAGAGGCTATGGCCGGTGTTTAGAATTTTAAAATAAGCCTACGGCTATCAAGCCAGCAAACATCTCTGACTAAGTGCCTAAAGAACAGGGCACAACAAAAGATATCTCCAGGTACTCCAGCAAAGGGCTGAGTGGCATAGCTCTGAAAGATCCGGATAGCATTTTAACGTGATGGTTTTGTTACATGACTGGCAGCTGGGGCAGAGCTTTTGCTGTAAATGATCAAGTAACCTTTTCAAGTGGCTGGCGCTAAGTATTACTTACTATTTATCATGGGCTGGGAGCCTCCAACTAAGGGGCTGTGGATCTATTATCGAGAAATGGGTTTTACTACTCCTCTTTTTTACAGCTTATGAATGGTTGTCAGCCTTCCACAATGTATTCTTTGGTGATTAAGACAACTTTTTTTTATAGTCATACATTTTAAACAATATCTTGGCTCTCTTCTCCCCCCCGAGCCCAGTTTAATAAAGTGTAAACGTGCAAAAGGTCAGCCCTTCCTGTACAATAGAGCATCTAGTTTTGATATATGGCTTCCTACTGCCTTCCGCTCGCTCGCTGTCTCCCCGCTCGCTGTCTGACTCCGTCCCGGCTCCCACTGCCCCTCGCTCCCTCTCCCGGTGATGTCAGCCACAGCCAGGAGGCAGCTTTATGGCTTGCTTGTTTGTTTTAGCCCTGCTTCAGCTGGGTATCTCCAAAGTGCTCTCGAGAGTGCAGAGAACTGAGCGCTGGAGATGTTAGTGCAGTCCTCTGAGTTGCTTTCTTGGATTTGGATTTCCTGTTTTGCGTTAATGAAAGTAAAAATGCTTTTTTGTTGTTGCTTTTGTTTTGGGGTTATTTTTTTTTAGATGTCCTTTCTTTCCACCCAGACCGACTTTCTTCTTCCTTTTTTTGCTTTCCGCTTCTGCCATTTCTCCAGGTTTTTCCCTTTTTCCCCATTTCTGGTCCGGTTTAATCCCCATGTGTGTGAGATCGGGGCTCTGCTGAGTCACAGAAACTCGAGCTGGGAGGGGTGCACAGGAGCCCTGTACTTGTGTCCCCTCTCCAGGCCTGTTTGCCTCCTGCTCCCCTGCAGGCAGGTTTTGCCTGTGCAGACTGTGGTCCTCCTGACCACAGGTCATCATCCAGCTGCTGCTCACTTCTGTTTTACTTTGGCTGGCATTTCCTCTCCTGCCAGGAATTTGCCCATCCTTCCATCACCTTTACTGACTTCTGAACCTTCCTTACCTGTAATTAACACGTTGGCCTCTTGGCCACACAAGCTCTCTGTGGACACCCTCGGTCCTGAGCCTGATCCTCCCCCCACCGCTCCTGCTGCTGCCTCCTCCCTGAGGCTCCAGCCCCAGCTCTGTGACTGGCAGTTCCCGTTCCCCTGCTCTCTCCCTCTGCACTTTGGCCAGGATCCTTCTGCCCCAAAGCTCCCTGTCCTCTCCTCGCCTGGGGCCGCCTGCCTGCCTGCCCCGTGCTCACTGCTGCTCGCCCTCTGAGCCAGAGCGAGCGTAACGTGTGTGTGTGTGTGAGGAGTGAAAGCTCCTCGCTTCCCAAGGCTGCCTGGTTTGGGGGAGAAGAGGGGTTGGGCTGTGACTTCTGCGCTCAGCAGCTGACCACGCTGTCTGAATTTCGGTGTCATCCCTGGGGAAAGGGAATGCCGAGTGTATCCTGAGACAGTTTGTAATCTGATGTGCTGAAGGTAAACACAAGGACATTGCAGAAGGTTAAAAAGTTTTTTGATTTCTGCAATCCGATGGTTACAGCCTGGCTTTGTCAGCTGTAGCTTTTCTAAATCCTCTGAAGCCGATACACTGTTCCTCTCTTTCCTGGCTGGATTCAGTGACTCCGTTTCACGCTGTGCTGCTAGCTCCTGAGAATAAGAGCAAACATCAGCACCAGGCTCTGAGCACCATGCTAGTGCTAAAAGACATGTTTTATGCATCCGAGATTGTTCTTCCTGTGGATTTTAATGACACGAGGTCTTGCCTTGTACTTGCAGATGTCAGCCATAGAAACAATGACAGAGAAACTGGAGAGTTTCGCAGCCATGAAGGCAGACTCCGGCACTTCCCTGCAGCCCCTTCCTCATCACCCTTTCAACTTCCGATCTCCGCCGCCCACGCTCTCCGACCCCATCCTGCGCAAGGGCAAGGAGCGCTACACCTGCAGGTAGGGGCCTCGGCACCACCGCAGCAGCGGGAGCGCTCTCCCGGTGTGTCGAGGCACAGAGCAACATCACAGCAACATCATCGGGCACAGGGCAACTTCACATGGTCATCTGCACTGTCTGGGTACGGGTGGGCAGGAAAAACAAGAAGCAGCAGAATTAGAACAGAGCACGCTGATGACTAATTCGCTCTGAAATAGCTTGTTTTGTCTGGTAGAAAATCAGCATCTTCTATTTTCTTTGTAATTTTTAATAACCTTGAGAGCAGATCTGGAGATTCTCAAGCAAACAGAGTTCTCCGAGCCAAGTCTCTTGTGTGTGGTAGCAAATGCCACAGTTTCCAGTGTAAATGCATTACAATCTCAGCTATGCAAAAAAAAATGGAACTTTAAAAACAGCGTGCAGTAAGCCTCTCTTTTCAGACACAACTTTATCCCCAGGAGTACTTACGTATCCATTGCAGCTATCAGAGCGTATCACCAAGGGAATAGAAATCTGTATCTGCTTACACAGCTTTACCTGCAAGTACCAGAGGTTCTTGTGATGGCTCCTGCTTCATTTTTCTTGGGGGCAGTAAGTGGGCACAGATTTTGTTTGATGCATCTGTTGTGTTCTACTGCCTCAAGAGCTCTGGGCTCAAATTTCAGTTGTGGATTCAGAAATGTGAGGTTTGTAGCTCCAATAGGGACTAAACTTATATTTAGATATACAGTAGCAAATTAACATTTGGATTTTCATGATTGATTAATGCTCCCATTAACTATTCATTTTAAGGACATTTGAAGGTGCTGAATGCCTCTGAAATTAAGAAAGTCTGCCTATATTTTCCTCCTACAACATTAAGCATCGGGCTTCACAGACACAGAACATAACCTTCCCTTCTGAGTATTTTATTTCCCAATTAATGTTTTTATTTATACCTCCCTTCCTTTTGAGTTTTCTCTGAATCAGATTTATTGTGGATCCCAGTTCATTCTCTTATTTTATTTTATATTGCTGCATTTCCTTATTCTAAGCAGACTGTCAGAGTCCCAGCAGTATATCCTGATAACAGCAGTGCAATGCTGCAGCATTTATCTAGAAGCGCATGCTATGAATTCTGGGGATGACCAAGTAGATTCTGCATGATAAACAACTAAATAAGAATATAAAGGAGATCTGTAAAAATCTCAAGTGGTGGGCAGTCAGTGATTAACCACTCTGTCCTCATGCAGGAATGAGGTAGTATCAAATGAAGTTAGGAGTGACAAGCTCAAACAAGCCGGAGATTCTTTTGGACACAGCACAATTCAGCAGAGGAACTCACTGCTATAGGAAGCTGAGGACGTCAAAAGCATCTGTGCATTCATGAAGCTTTTAGAAAAGATGGAAGAAGTTCAGCAAAACTGTGTTGAGTGCAACTGCTCAACTTCAGGCTCAGAAGGATCTGCAAGTTCAGATTACTAGAAGCTGGGAGAATGTACTGAGGATGTGTCAGTGCATCCTTTCTTTGTTCTTACATGCTTCCCCAGGCCTCCAAGATAAGCCACTAAACAAGTCAGAATTTGGGTCTGAACCAAGCCTTCCTATAATAGGCATTTGATTTATTTTTTTCCTGCCCTTCCCAGTGTTGCAGCGTTACTGACTGCTGTTCTGTGTCTGGTGGAAATGGGTTCCACCAGTATCTGAGCACCGTAAATGCTGTTATTCTGGGGTGGACGTCACGCTGTTAGTTCTTGCTTCCACATCTCCTGCCCTCAGAACACATGTGCCCAGAGTTATAAATGCACAAAGTAATTTTCTCATTTGGGGAATGGTATCAAAACAAGTGAGAGAGATAGCAACTGGTGATACAGTGTTTGTAATTTTGGTCTCATGTGGCAGAGCTTTCATGCACTGATGGTTACTTTGGCTTTCACTGTCTAGGTACTGTGGTAAGATCTTCCCACGCTCAGCAAATCTGACAAGACATCTGCGGACACACACTGGAGAACAGCCCTACAGGTGATGTTGTCCCCCAGATACTGCCCCTTTCCCAACACGCTCCTCATTCACCACTCTGTTTTTTTTTTCCTTTCTATAAAGTTGTGCCAACATAATGCTGCAGTCCTGTAGCATTACATACAGTGATTCATAGGATTGTATATTATGTGTACCAGCCAAAAATAATCGGGCTTGGCAGCTTGAAGATAGACACTTAACTTATATTTAGATGTATGCTGGCAAATGAGTGGTCTGATTTCCAGTGTTGTTTAACACTCACATTAACCATTCATCTCAAGGACAGCTGAAGGTGCTGAATGTCTCTGAAAATCAGGCTGTTTTGAAGGGCTTGCCAGTAAATTAACTGCTGGATCTAGCTAGATTTTTTTTTTCCTTTTCCTAATGCATGTCAGAGGTGCCTGGAGTAGTAGATCAAAAAAAAAAAAAAAAAAAAAAAAAAAAAGCCCTGTGGTATACATGTTTTAAAATCTGAGTTAGGTAGTGTTCCAACTTAAGTGGCAAAGTTTAAAAAGAGTGATCAGAGGGTGGGAATTCAGACACTGTTTGACTTAGTTAGGTGTCTAAGGTAGAAGCCTGTACTATTTTCTTCTAGTTGTGGACATAAAAGTCTGATTTTACACTGCAGTTTGTGTTGTGTATAGACAAAAGGGCACGTACAGGCACATTTATAGAAAATCAAGGCAGTGCATTCCAGCCTGGGCATTGGACTCTCCTAAAGGGACTCCTGTTTAAGCGAGTCTTTTAGATTTCAATAAACCTCACGAGAAAATATATGTAAGTATGTGTGAGTATATATATATGAAGGATCATTTGTCATGGAATATTTTTGCCCAATATTTTCTCTTAGTGTTTTGCAGTCAGTTTCAAAAAAAACTTTGGCCAAAAATATGCTTAGGTTCATTTCTTTGTAGAATAGTATATGAGCAAACCTGAATGAATGATGAATAGAGAGCTCACTGAAAATCAAGCATTGTGTTTTCCATAACATGAGTAAGTGTTTTGCATGTTGTCAAACAGTAGTAACAATTTGAACAATTTCATTTTTGGTAGCTAATGTTATGGTATTTCCATACACAGTCATAAGTTCACAACAAAGCTAATGTAACAGTTATTATATAAAGAGAAACAAACAAATTTATGAGCAGCAAAAGGCCATCTGGTCAAATATATCAAATTTTTATGCTTAGTTTAACTTAAGAAGCCACTTTCTCCCACATTGTAATCCCAGGTACATACAGAGTCAATTTTTATTTTTTTTTCCATATGGAGTCATACAGAATTCTGAGTGTAGACATTAGGTAAATTAAAAATAATAAAAAAAAAACTCTTCGAAGCAGACATATATTTTGGAACCATTCCCTGGTCTTCTGATTTTTCAGTTGCGTTATTTGATATGCCTTGAATGAATGCTGTGTATTCACCGTACACCCCTGTCTGAGTAGAATGCTCACTCCCAATTATTCAGAGATTGTTAGTCCAGTTTTCTTCCAAAAAAGGAGACTTGCAACTTAACAAAGGTTAGGAAAATACAGATTTATTTGATCTGGTCTTCTCCCAGAAAATGGCCCGTGTGTTTTTTTTTGCAATAGAGGTTTGACTTCTGGACAATGTTGCATTATAATAGCACTCCTGAGAGTTAGTGCTACATTTACAGAAGAGCTTAATTATCATTGATTTTCTTTTGCTCTCAGAGAACCGAGATTTTAACTTTAGCAGCAGTAATTGTTTTGAAAGCTTGTTTTCAAAGTGCCAACTTTATGCAGGTAAAAGCAGGTTGCTGATTTTTTGGTGTTTTATTGATGTCTTGCTTATAACTTCTCATTTGATTGTTTAAAAGTGTTGTGTTGTTTTTTTTTTTTTTCTGTTGACTCCGTCAGTGTTGGAGTTTGTTAAAATATAAATTAAAATGTTCATAAAACTAGTACACACTGACCAAATGTCCACATATAGATTAAGAAACATGCAGGGCAGAAAATCAGATGCTTTGTTTTTTGATTCCTGATTGTCATTGATAAGTGGTGTGGCTTTTACAAAGTCATTTAAAGTCACTAGCTGTCTATTTAATTAGGCACAAGGTAGGAATAAATAGTAAATGAGCAATATTAAGGTCAATTAATTCGTATTGAAAAGGGAAAATGCTACTTGTTTTTGGAGAGAGAAATAACTGCTAAGGCACTGTGCTTTCTAAAAATGAGCTTAAAGACAACATGCTATACCATAGAATTAGACACAATTCCTTCCATTCTTCTATAAAATTCAAAAGTATGTACTGCAAAACCCAATGGTAGAAAGGACTACGAAGCTTAGAACTGCGTCTTTCAGAGAAATGCAAACTAACTCGGGCTTGTTGTGAGATCATGTCAGACTTACGTGGCAGCTCAAGTTGTGCAGAGCAGGAGCTTGTTGTCCTTCCGAGGTTACAAAGCAAAATGCAGGCAAGGCGATTTTTAATGAAGCTCCTTATGCTTGGCACACATGAACATAAGGGCATACTGTAGCTGTGAGTTTGCTTCTTGTTTTTGTTTTCATGCCTGGAATCACAGAATCACACAAACTACATAAATCTTGGACTGAGAACAACTAAGAGCTACTCGATGCAGAAAGGCTTTTTTTTTTTTTCTTCTTCTTTCAAATGTCCATTCCCTCCAGGATGCCATCTAATTGATTCTTGAATTACACCCAGTCCTTAAGCACTGCCTGTAAGGCTGTGATTCCTCCTATAAAGATGTGCTTCCTGACGTCTGTTTTGAATTTGTTTTTCTTTAATTTCCTTTTAGGCCCCCGTGTCCTGTTATCTGCATTAAGCTGAAACTAACAACTAAAGCTGACATCTACCCTGGCATTTCAGATTGCACACAGCTCAATATGAATCTCTTCTCTCTCATTTTCTTTCTTTCTTTCTTTTTTTTTTTTTTTTTTTTTTTTAATGTAGGCTAAATTCATCCCTGCTGTAAGTGCGCTTGGTATTTAGGAAGAGTCACTGTCCTTGTGTTTTTTTTTGTTTTGTTTTTTGTGACTGTAATTCTGTTTTACATTTTAATTTTATTTTTTTAATTTTGTAAGTGCAGTCACACTATTGAAACTTCATGAAGTATGTTACCAAATGCCTTACCGTCACCTCTGCAGTGTTACCAAACTGTCTTTTTCATAGGGTGATTAGCTCAGTTATTCATTTTTACGCTGTTTGCTGTCTGTTTTCCCCCTTCCTGTTGTTTGTCATACCGAGCATCCAGGTTGCCTCCAGCTCTGACTTAGCCCTGTCTGCTGTTCCTTAGAGCTCCCACGTTCCAGCTTTGGCTCCTTCTTAGCTCTCCTTCGATCCTGCTTTGTATTTTTTTAGCCTATTGGTGTGTTACTTTAAACTGATAAGCAAGAAATTTTACTAGCATTTTGTCAGTCTGTTTACAAAGTAAATACAGCTTCTTTTGAGCTTTATTCTTCTCCCGCCTCTGTGTTCACCTCTTCCCTGAATTTAAGTTGGTTCCTCTGTCTGGGTCATTTATTTAGATTAAAACCAGCAGAGATCCAAGCACCGACCCCGGTGGGACCACAAATAATACAGTACGTCTCCCTCGTCCCTTTACTTTCAGACGTTAGATATTGCTCCTTTCCAATGCCCCTCTGTTTTCTATTTTTTTAACAAGCTCTTTATCCTTTCTCTGGATCTGAACCTGGATCCACATAGCTCATAGTTAGAGCGAGGACCTGTCAAAGGGAACTTTTCAAAGACTTCCTGAACATCTAAATAAATTGACATACGGGAGGCCAGATCTCTCTTGCCTTGCTCATGCAAGCACTGCCTTTGAAGTCCCTGGAGCTGCCGGCGTGAGTGATGGGCGCGGGGTACCCGGGGCAGCCGCACGCGCTCGGAGCCCCAATGCTCCCCTCGTGCCCGGCCCGCGGCAGCACAAAGCTGGACCAAGGGCAGGTTTGAGGAAGAGGGTAAGAACGGTGTGGGAAAAGCAACCTGGAGTGAGCAAAGGTGTGTCTCGAGGTGGGATCAGCAGTGATCTGATCTAGAAATATTTCCTGCTTACGAGGTGCGGACAGGCAGGGAGGGAAAACCAGAGCATCAGCAGAGAGGAGGGAGCTGGTGGTGCAGTATTGGTAGAATCAGCTGTGCAAAGTTGCTTAGGAAAACCCCACAGCATAAGAAGGATATTGGGTATTTGTTTTGCACAGTGCAGTTTTCTGAAATGCTGAACAGCAGAAGCCTGGCAGCTCAGGAAATCAGATTCGTTGGGTGCTAGCAGGTAGGGGCAGAGTAAGAGCTGGAAATCCAGGCACGTTTACCTTGTCAGTATATAAACTGCTCGTCCAGTTGATGCTCAAGTAATGTTTTGTCTTCTGTGGTTGTTCAGTTCACATTTTTTGAAAAGACAAAACAAAATTTTTTAAGTCTGAGAAGACTGTGATTTAATAAGAGATTTGCCTCTATTCCTATGTTAATAATAACAAAGGTTCATTATTTGAGATATCTTAATATTTTTCAGTGATTCAACAGTAGGAAATTCAGAGGTGGACATGGAATCCATAAATATATTCAGAGAGTGTTTCATAAATGTATCTCTGCTATTTCCAAAAATAATATCCATTTGGTTTTAGAGAGCAAATAAAAATCACAGCTGTAACACATCTGGAAATTGTGTGTATGTTTCACAAGATACATTTTTTACATTTGCACCCCCTTGTCGCATTTGAATCTGTTGTGTTTGCAGGAAAACGATACCATGTCCTTACTGTCAAGGCAAATCTGGCTTCACATCTGAATGAGAAGCCCAGGACATATTTGTGTGCCCTGTTCGAGCAGTGGGGTAATGGCAGTCCTAACGCATGCACACCTTGGCCCACCGTCGTTGTGCCTTATCAGCTGGTAGCTCAGCTCAGTGGGACAAGTTCTGCTCTTCGAGCAGTTCAGCTAAAGCAAGTGGTTTTGTGCAGGAATTCTGGTTTTTGTTTTGTCCCATAAGCTTGTGGGATTTGCAGAGGTCTGCAGTGGGGAAGGGATTCTGCTTCCCGTGAGCTTTGGAAGCACAGCCATGAGGAAAGCAGTTTTGCTGAGGTACAAATGATGTAGTTAAAGGGAGACCTAACGAGGGACTCAGGTTGGTTCAGAGAATTAATTTTCTGTAGCTGTAGTCCTGAAACTTTTCACTGCGGCTCGAAGCTGCCCTCTTCTGTACAGCAGCTGCAGTGGTGCCAGCGCTGGGAGGGAGAGCAGAGGTCTGAGCTCACAGCATCGGGGTTTACAAAAGCCTTGCTTTTATTCTGGGGGAATCTGAGTCCGGAGAGGGGGATGGCAACTTTGAAGAAGCTTCCAACACATCTACCATGGTTCCTGCCGAGGGATTTTTCAGAGACAACATTTCTTCGCTCAGCAGCTTCCCTAAGCATTCTGGCTTGGCTCCTTACACTGCACATTTTTTTCATCAGAGACCAAATATTTGCTACATAGGAGTAAATCTTATCCTGTTTGGAAGCTAGAGTGTATTTCTTGGGAGCTATTGTACTGTAATAATAACCATAATTGCCTTTAGAGGCCTGCTCTGCTGCCTGTATCTTGAGTACCACAAGGAATTTCAGAAATAAATCTAGGTTTGTCTGTCTGTCCCGATATCTGCGTCATGTAGGGATGTGCAAGCTAATAATGGTTTTATATTTTTAACCTCCCTTCTTTCTTCTCATTCTGTCTTCTTTCTCCTCTCCCCACAGCCATATTTCACCTGCTTCCCCTACAAAAGGAGAAATAAATTAACTCACCTTTCTTGTTTTTACATTGATGTGTGAAAAAGTAATTATTTTGTTTAAAATTCTTATTTGTTTGGACGGCGCACTTCTTAATTAATCCTAATCCTTTCTTCGTGCTCCTTGAGTAACAATAATATTAGATTTGTCTGGAATGATTAATGCCTCATGCGTTCCAGGTCCTCAGCTGAGTAAAGATTTATAGACCAACATTTTCTGGTTTTCTGGTAGTCAGATTTTTCTTTTTTTCTTTTTTTTTTCCGCTCACGTTGCACTCTTTGGCATTTGCTTCTATTTTTCAGGTGTAAATACTGTGACAGGTCATTCAGCATTTCCTCCAACCTCCAGCGGCACGTTCGAAACATCCATAACAAGGAGAAGCCATTCAAATGCCACCTGTGTAACCGATGCTTTGGGCAGCAGACCAACTTGGACCGACATCTTAAGAAACACGAACACGAGAATGTTCCAGGTAGCAAATGGCATTGCTGGGTGCTTCTGCTGGGGCGCCAGAGGGAGAAGACACCGTGCTCTCATCTCTCTGGTCACCTGGGGAAGCCTTCATGCAAAGCACTGTTTCTTTATGCTGAGCATCACTAGGTAGTAAAAACCAAATGCCACCTCCTCCTGCAGCCAGTGATAGCACAGCTGCAGTGCGTCACAGTAACACGGGCACACAGGCAGAGCACTCAGCTCTGCCACGCTCTTGTCCATGTGCCCTTTTCCAATCGTGGAATAGCAGTCATGACACTAACCTCCTGGGGACACTGTCTGGGGTGCGTAACCTCCCATCGTGAGATCTTTTGGTACAAAGGTGTTGCAGACACCCCAAACCCAACAGGGGTTTTCAACCTGAAATGTATGTGTGAAATTCAAGAAGATAAATAGACTTTGTCCTGAGAGAAAAACTGAAGGAAGAAATTCCTGTGCTGAAGCCAGCTATGTGATCTCTCAGCCAAGGGAAAAGCTTTACGGTAAAGTTAAAGGCAAACAGCTATGCAATGGGTAGTGGTTCCTGATTTGTATATACCATCTGTAAATGCTAAATACCATCCGTGTTTCTCTCGGTAGTTCAAGTCTGGAAAACATGAGCCTCTGTTGATGAATCCATGAGATTTCTCTTAAATATTACATTCTCAATGTATAGTGAGGGGATTGTTGCATAATGTTCCTCCTCGATTTTTCCTCTTAACAATAGCTTTGACAAGATCTGATTGTTTCTCCTGTTCTCTTTTCTTGTTTCTCTCACTCAGTGAGCCAGCACTCTGGAGTCATTACAAACCACCTTGGGACCAGTGCCTCTTCCCCAAACTCGGAGTCAGACAACCATGCACTTTTAGATGAAAAAGAGGATTCGTATTTCTCTGAAATCAGAAATTTTATTGCAAATAGTGAAATGAATCAAGCATCAACTTTAGCAGATAAAAGGTAGACAAGCAAATAAAATTACCTGGTGACACGTATTGTTAACATGGTTAAAAGACCGGTCGGCCTCTGTCCTGTGATTTAAAACACTCAAAAGAGGGAAATGTGGAAATGTAGCAGTTTGGAAGGAAAATGCAATCAACTTTAAGCTCTAAGCCTGGTGTTAAGTCTTTTCAGAAAATGATCAGAAAGTGATTTAAGTTAGGAGGGCTTAGATGAGAGATGCTAATATTCAGAGATGTAGCTGCAACCAGGGGGGACAAGTAATGGAGTTGTGCTGACAGAAGGCAGGCAGGCAGATTGCTGCAGTTAGCTCCAGTGCAACAATTGTCATAAAATGCAATTGCAGCACTAGATAAAAATGTCATTAGTGATCTGTTGACCTTCTGCCATAAAATCAGTCGGCCTGTGCTGTCACAGAGCAGAGGCACCTGCTTTTCTGGTCTTCCAGTTTGTTTCAGATCTATCCGTATCTGTGGATTTCAGCAAATCTGAATGTATAACAACACTCACACCTGCAGCTCTCTTGCTTTCACAAAGAGCTATTCGATGCCAATGTTAAAGTTTAAGATTTAATATTAAGGTTCAAGTCCAGAAAGTAAGTATGAGAAATCCACAGAATGATACAACCCACATAGGGAACAGTAAGCAGTCTGGAGCGTGCTGGCATAGAATTTCTGGTGAAGATGCTACGCTTACCTTACGTCCCTTGGTGGCATCCTGTGGGGTTCTGAGTCCATAGCACTGTGGATCACACTCTCATTCTCGTAATGTAATTTAACGCTCCTGATCTCTTGGAGTCTGCTCTGGTATGAATAAGCAAAGTAATGTGAGAGAGAATTTAGGCTGGCTGTTGGATTATGCTGTGAGGAAGCTTCGTCTGAAGGGAGGTTGTTAGAATACAGAAGCAGAGAGGAGGAAAACCCCGTGTCCCACAGGTGTTACGAGAGATGGAAAAGCACCGTTTAAATCCAGACTAGACAAAATTCTAGTTTGAAAAGCGTTTGGGTTGGTATATACTTGACATGCTCGTTGGCTGTTAAGAAATTGTGAAGGCTGATTTTTAACTGCCTAAAACATGGCAGTTTTCTTTTCCTTGCTGTGTAAATGCTATGTGTATGTACAGAGATACATCTCTACATGTTTTACATACACGTATATGAAAATAATGAAGTCTTACATGACAGTGAAAAGGCATGACTTACTCATTTGGTATCTTTTCTTCCTTTTTTTTCTTTCCCCATTGACCAAATATTTCAGGCCAGAAATCCAGGATATTGATGGCAATTCCCAGTGTCATGGATTATCAAATGAGAAAACAGAAGATGTGGATGATGAAGATGAAGAACTGGAAGAGGAAGACGATGACAGCCTGACAGGGAAGTCACAGGATGAAACAGTATCACCCACCGCAGAGCCCCGAGGAGCATATGAGGATGAAGAAGATGAAGAGCCCACATCTCTCACCATGAGCTTTGACCACACCCGAAGGTGAGGTGGGCCGTTCGCTTTGAGAAGTCAAATGGGGGCCAGACTTCTGACCCCGTGTCACTGGTAGATTGTGAGTGCTACTGTTTTATTTTTCAAGCCATATATCATACCTCCAGTTTGATTTAAGCATTCACTTGAAAGATTCCATTTTCACCATGGTGGGGGATACGAAACAAGTGGACTGCAAGGAGAATCCGTGATAAGATGGATATCCATGGCTTGAGGAGTTAATGGGAAAAGAGTTAGTCCAAAACAGAAAGCACCTTTTCAGCATACCACAGTTCAGTGGATAATGTCTGTCTCTAAAACCTTGGTCAGGGCACAGGGAGGGGCATATGCATACAGCCCAATTTGCACTGCGCTACCCACTTTATTTGTGGCCAAATGTTGACTTCAAGTGAAGTCACCAGAGCGCTGGGAAAAAGTGATTTTTGTCCCTGAGATCAAGCCATATCTATACACCTTCAAAATCAGTTTGTTGGCCGTGGTATAGGCTTAGCATTGCTTTTTCTGCCTCAGTTTGACATTCGTAACAAACGTCCTGTGATGCAAAGAGCAGCCTCTCATTTAGTCTCAGCGCATCGCTGTTCTCACTGCACCTCAGACCGCAGCAGTGCTCAGTGGGCATGGGCACAGCGTGGGACGTGTCGGGGAGTGGGCAGCAATTGGGCAGCTCCAGGCAGGGAGCTGCAGTCAGCCTGAACCACGAATACTTGCAGCACTGATGCTTGTACGTGCATAGTCATGCTCTCCACTTTTTCTTCACTCCTTGCACTTTGTGTCATTTCTGTGTTGTCCGTCTGTCCGCTCACGCATGAGGCTTGTGAGACCCCCATGGTGTGTGCATGCAGGCACTGGGTTAGCACCACTCACATTGGCTGGTCTGTGAACGGCGAGACGAGCTAACAACAGGTCAACCCCTTCCCCTGGTCATTGGTACAGGTGTATTGAGGAGGACGAAGCCGGCTTGTTAGATTTGGAGCAGATGCCGAATTTTGGGAAGGGGCTGGATCTTCGCAAAGCAGCCGAGGAAGCATTTGAAGTTAAAGATGTGTTTAATTCCACCTTAGACTCTGAGACAATAAAACAGACTCTGTACAGGCAGGCTAAAAACCAGGTGGGTATATGACAGAACATTTTATCTAGCTTGCCGCCAGCACGTCCCATAGGATTAGCAAGCAGCTGGCCTCCTTTAGCTAAGGTTTATTTTCTTCCCCATCCAGTGAGCAGGAATTCTGACTGTAATAAGTGAATCGTGTGGGAACTGTGTCTTGGTGCAACTATACAGAAATTGAGAAGAAATGGAGTGGGCGTCAGGTCTAGGTCGCCAGGTCAATTTATCATTAAGCCTGTGTCGTGAGAACATACTTATAGAGCAAGATAGCGGCATCTGTCTGTTTTTATCTGTCTGTATAAATGTCGTTTTCTGACTATTATGTATTTCTGCTTCACTGTGCTGGACAGCAGAGCTCACACTCAACGCTTCTAACCGTAAGCCTCTAAGGAAGGTGCTCGGAGTTACTGCCCAGCTACCATCGTTGACTCTGTAGAGAATTTGGGTTTCTGCTTTCAGAGAACCACTTTGCACCTAGCTATGGAACGTGGTGTAAAGTAAAGGGTGTGAATAATGTCCGTCCTGACAAGTGCCAAGTACGTTAGTGGAGGCTTGATGATATTTAATACGGGGGATAAGCTCAGCTGTTGCACTGCAGTCCTTTCCATCAAGCAGCAGAATGTGTCCTGAAATCTATCCTCAGTGCCCAGCAAAGCAGTAGCTTAATGCAGCTGCCATGCAGAACAAGATTTATGGTTTATTATCACCTGGAATTTGTGAAGTTTTGTCCTCCACAGTAGGTGCTAGGGCTAAAGCTGGGGAAGGGACTGCTCGAAGGAAGGACATGGCTTTTTTCTGGGGGAAACTAAGTAAAGCACAAGCCACTTGCCTGACTCTTACACGTGTCCTGCTACTAATCTGGCAAATGTACTAACTACCTGGGAAAGCTTGCTCCTTTCAGATTCGTCCTACTTTTAAGGTCTGTCTGATGCTTGGTGGGGGTCTGGGCCTTTTGAACCAGGTTCATACTGACTGAGGTGCGAGCCTGGTTACACTTAAATGACCATAAGTGATATAAATAATCTGAAATAGGGAATGCAGTCGTAAAACAGCATTTGTGTGAGCAGCAGAGCACTCCCTGGGAGCTGTCTGTCTTTTACACAGTCAGAGAAGCGTGCGTGTCCTTAGCACTGCTGAGCTGAGCCTCTTTCAGCACGTACCTGCAGCAGGCAGTGTGCTGGCCTGACAAGGTCTGACTCAGGCTGAAGAGGCTGCAGCTGGATGCCAGGTGGTGTTGGCACCATCACAGCTGCACTGCTAAGGGTCCTACTGCACTGAGCGTTGTACCAGGGTCCCAGATAAGGTGTGCTGTGTGGCTGTTGTCCTGCAGAGCCTTGTGCCTGGGTGGGTGCTGCACGGCCACCACTGCACTCACACGTGGGAACATCCTTGCAGCAGCTAGTGCAGGATGGGGGAACTGTCCTCTGCTGTTACATGGCAGAGGTGGATTTTACCTCCAGCACACGAGGCTGTCGCCTACCCAAGGCTTCACATTTGTTTGGGCTGTGAAAGGATGCCAAGGGTGTATGACTCTTGGAAGAGGGAGAGCATCTGGGTTAGAGAAGCGAGCAGATCCTTAGGTAGCAAACACAAGTCTCCGTGCAGTTTTTCAGCAGACACTCAACCACTTCCCTGCAGCAGTGACCCGACAAGAACATAGGAGCACACTGGGAATACCGACGAGCTTTCCATGCCTGTGTTCCTAAACACTGGCAAGATTCTTAGCCCAGGCCAAAGGGTGCTGGCAGTCTCAGGGTTTGGTGAGGTGGTGCTGTGCTTCGCACAGGTTACTGCGGCCTGTTCTGTGTGCGTATTCACACGTCCCCTGCGTTACTCTCTTCTCCTGCAGGCTTATGCAATGATGCTGTCCCTGTCTGAGAACGCTCCCCTCCACACGTCCTCCCAGAACTCCCTGGGTGCTTGGTTGGACATGGCAGGAGCAGCTTCAGAGTCGGGGACCTTTAACCCCATCAACCACCTCTGAGAGGTCAACAAGGCACTGGCCAGAGTCCCAGCGAGGAGGCGGTGGTGCTGCAATTACCCTAGCAAAAATCCCAGCAAGCAGAAGATGGATGAGAGGGCCTCAGGAGTCGCCTGGACTTTTGGCTGAGAAAGAAACCTGTCGCATCCGACCTACAAGTCCTGCATTTTTACCCGCCCAGAGTTTCCATTTGTAATTTATCGGAACGAACCTCTCCAAAACTGGATAACTGATGCAGCCCCAGGATTTCTGCCTATAGGAATAGCATAAGCAAGACATGAATTGCAACAGTGCAATCAAATTGGTCCCTCTAACGTTACAAGATGGTATCACTGCGCCAGTGAAGCCCGCATATAAATCACGTCTTGAAACCATTCGGTAGCTTAATCCTTTCAACTCAGCCAAATAACGGGGTAGGAAACAGAGCCAGATCGGACCTGTCCCTGGTGCAATTCTGACAGTCACGGGAGTTACACCAGGGAAGGGTAAATTTAATTGACCTCAAAAAGAATCTGAACTTGTGCACTCCCACAGAAATATGCCCTATCCTTTGTTCCCAACCAAACGTACTGGCACAGCCCAAAGCTTCTCGAGTGTGAGGCCACGCTGCCTGCAGCCATGCTACGCTACGTGCGGTGTCCCGGTTGGGAAATCTTCAGCCTGGAGCATTGCTGAGGCTGGGTTGTTGGTGTGTCATGCAAATACGTGGTTCACAGTCACCGGCTGTGCCCTGAAAGCCCTTCTGCCTGTGCCTGCACTGCAAGGCTGGGAAAGCTTCCCATCTCTGGCAGTGCCTGCGCGCCCGAGCTGCTGCCTGCGCTCGGAGCATCCCGAGTGCTTCAGAACAAAATCTGTGCTCAGAAAATCTCTGGCGAGCAGGGTGGTGGCATTCAACCCTGCTCTGGCCCCGTGCCTCATGGCAGGGCTGCCTGGACCTCCCCAGGCGTGAGCACCCCGGGTAACTCCGTGCCCGAGAGGTGCAGGGGTGTGAGGGGGGAGCGGGCAGGTCCAGCCTGCAGCGGGGTGCTCACAGCTGCTGCTTCTCTCCCAGGGTTTGCTTCAGGGTGGTGTCTTCTCGGTGTCGGCAGTATCTGGGAGCTGTGGCAGAGATTTCAGACTCCTGCCGTTGTTTTGGTTTGCTGGGTGGTTGTTCATGGGCAGCACGCTGCCAGTTGGCCTGTAATTGTAGTAGGAAGATTAAAGCTCCCTTGCTTCAGCAGTGTCAGGGGTTCAACCCACTACTCGAGCACATACAAGAACAGAATTGTCTTTCTGACTCTAAAATTGCTCACAGATCTTTTATGAGTGATTTCAAATTGCTTCAAAGTCTCATCTCTTTTACTGACCCTAAGCAGCCTCCAGAAATGCTGTGATGTTCGTGCTGTTGTGCCTTGTGATTACAACCCGGTGTCGCAGCGGTGATTTTGCAGGTAAAGCTGAATTACTGAACGGTCTGGGAAGTGATTAGACCTGTTCCAAAGAGCAACATTGGCTATATGGATAAAATTTAGGATGTGTGTCCTGAGAATTTGCTATTTGCAACCTGACAAAAATGGGAATTTCCGAGGCTTGGCCTGCTGCTGCCACCGAGCGAACACCGGCTGGAGCCTGGGGTGCTCCGGCCAGGAGGAGCCTTCCCCTCGGGGCTGGCGTATTGCAGTGCCTGTGTGCTTCCAGCAGGTCTCGTATCTGGTAGTAACTACCTGCAGGGCTGGGCTGATGGCTGGTTTCAGAGCAGCAGCACACGGTGGTCAGGATATCTGCCTGTGATACCTGGTGTGCTCAGGCTCTGCCGACTTTGAAGGAAACCAGAGAGGAGCTCCTGTGCCAGGACGGAGAAGCACAACACGGGAGCCCCGTTCCAGCACGCTGAAATGAAGGAAAGAGCTACTCAGAGAAAGTGGAGGTTTGGTTAGGGACCCTTTGTAATTAACTCTTTGCACCCCAGAGCACACCTGAGGCTGGCTTTGGGTAGCCGGGAGCCTCAGGCCACCCGAGGAAGAAAGCGTCTCTAGGGTGTTTCGCTAGAGGAGGAACAAAAGGTAAACTAGCGGCGTCGGTGTATTTTCCAAGAAAATTTACCCTTCCCATTTGGTTCTCCACATCACCCTGTGAAAGTGCCCAAGGCTCTGAACCCAGCAGGCAGCGGAGGCCGAACTGCTGCGTGTATTTGCACAAAGCTCCCGGGCAGACACGGCCCAGGACCCGGCACTGTCAGGAGGCACCGGTCTGCGAGCGGCACGGGGACACCCCCAGCCCCACAGCACCGCCCTGCCCAGGCGCTCGGCCTTTAAATTATTCCCCCAGGGGCCAACTGAAAATAATAAAAGAACTGTTTTCTCTTCCGGAGGGAATTTATTTTAATCTGTACATAACTTGTAATTTTTTGCTAATTCTTTTCTTATTTTATTTCTTCCTTAACAGTATTTTTTGCATTAGATATCACTATTGTGAAGAAATAATGTTAATATAAGTCTGTAGTGAAGGACCAAACTGGTGTAATTAAGGTTGTTTGTTGTATGAGCGATAACCAGGGAGTAGGAAGAGTTTGTTAACGTGCCAAACGACCCCGATTAATCCTGCTATTCTTGCTGCCGATTCTCCAGACAATCATACGCCGTGTTACCCTTGCGCTCAGGTGCCAGCTGCATCCGACTCCGGTTCCTATTTATTTCCTTGCTGGGCTGGGAGGCAAAAGCAGCCTCTGCCGAGCCAGCCCCGTGCCCACGGGGGAACAGGGAAGCGCTCGGCCACGGCACGGCTCAGCCCCCCGGCTCCCAGGCACCAGGAGGCACCGAGCGGTGGCACGGAGCCGTCCCTGCCCTGGGGAAGCCCAAACACCTCACTGCTGCTGCTGCTGCTGGCCTCCTGCGGGCCCGGAGCGAGCCGAGCCCCCTCTGAGCAGGTGCTGGGACATTTCTCGCCCTGCCACAGGGCTCCGCGCGACACCGAAGGCGGCTTCGAGGAGGTCGGCATCGCGCTCAGCACAGGGAGCTCCCGGAGCAGCAGCGAGCTGGTCTCCGAAGCGTGAGCCAAGTACTGAGCAATGCAAATGTTACGGTGGGGTTTGTGGGTTGGTTTTTTGTTTTTTTTTTGGTCTTCCCTTCAGCATCTCAGCCTCCGTTCTGTCGCGTTGTGTCTCCAGAGGAGCAGGTCGGCGGCTCCCTGGGGGGCAGCTCCCCGCTGCTGGCCAGGGGTGGGGGGCACGCGCCAGCCAGGGATCAAGGACATGAAAAATAGAGCTTTTTGAATCATGAAATGATTTTTTTTTTCTTTTTGCATTTTCCTAATTCAGTTTTCTTCCCATTTTCTCGAGCTAGTGCCTCTGTTTGCTTTAGGATCTCCTCACTCCTCTAATTTAGCACTGATGACAAGTTTTAATTTTTCCACAGTTAAATAAAGAGAAAGCCTCACTGGTTTCCATTTATCTCGTAGCTCTCATTCAATTGCACTTAAAACGTGTTGCAGCTCGTAGCAGATGTTTAGGTTTTGCTTTGCTGTTTCGGACAAAAGCGGTCACTCAGCTTTGAAGGATCTTTCCCAAGACGTGTGTATGTCAGGATGGAGCTGGCACGGGCAGTGGGGAAGGTCTGGGTCCCCCTGGCTCCAGGGGACACGGAGCTGTAGTGCCTAAGGCCACCCGATGCCCCTAGCCCGGCGTGCTCAGGACCCCCTGACAGCGGTGCGGTGCAGCAGGCGGGTAGTTGCAGTGATTTCAGTACGGCCTGGCGCTCGTGTGAAGGCGAGGGCACCACACGAGGTGTGATGCAGAACGAGAACATTTGGTCCCAAGGGGCTTCTGAGCACCACGGGGCCATGTCCCCTCCCTAAGAGCCCACTGCAGAGGAGGACACGGGCCTGAGGCACGGGCTCAGCTGTGGGGTTTTGAGCACTGATGGGAACGGCCGGGGCTGGGGCACAAAGCCCATGGGGGAGCGGCAGTGCTGAGGGTGCCGGTGCACCCATGGGAGCTGTGCACACCCATCAGGAGCTGCCTGCGGTGCCCTTCGGTGCGCGGGGATGTCCCGTGGGGCTGTGCTGTGCTGCCTGCGGGCTGTTCCTTCATGGTCACGGCAGGAGCAGGGCTCGAGAGGCACAGCTCGGTGCCAGCAGCAAACCCAACCCAGGCAGGGCTCAACAGCAAAACCCGAGCTGGGCCTGCTAAGCTGCATCCCAGGACAAAACGCGGAGCTTGGTTTCTGTCTTGCTTAAAACAAAGTAGTGGAAGCGTTCGGGTTCTCCCTCAGCAGCACTTAGGCTCTCGGTAGACGTTCTTGAAAACGGCTTCTCACTTCCTACGAAGCGTTTGGAAAGCACTTGCACAACGACGTGAACGTGTTTAGACTCTAAGCATCAAAGCACTGGATTGTGAGCCCCCTCCCCTCAGCCAGTTTCAACCTACTGACTTACATTCAATTTTTACGTGCTGTACTGTGTGTGTGTGTGTGTGGCGGGGAAGGGGGAGCACCGTGGTGGAGGAGCCTGCGCCTCGCCGCCTGCCGCAGAGCCGGCGGGGAGCACGGCACGGTGCTGGGAACATCAGGGCAAAACCCTCTGCTCCTGGGTGACGGTCAGTGGTGTGCTCACAAAGCCATGAACCTTTTTCTCTGTAGTGTTGAGTGATACTGTGATTAAAATGTTATTGAATGATTCCGAGATTATGTTTTGTTTTTTTTTTTTTTCTTCTGTCATTAATTCTTATTACCACTTTGGAAAAAGAATGAAAAAAGAAAAAAAAGGCAGCTTTGATTTCCAAATGTGCAATTCACATGTGAACAAAGTAATTCTGAAAGTAATTCTCAATGTCTTTTACATTCTCGTTGATCTCTTCAAAGCAAGAGATGTTTTGCCCTGATGTCATTTCCAGCCTGCAGAAGATGTAATTTAAAACATATATATATTGTGCTTGCAAGAATCATAAATCTGTGCATCCCATGTCATTCCTTTTCCCATTGTTACAATACAGATATGATTTAGTTTTTGTTTTTTTTTTTTTCTTTAGGACTGTATAGTGTTTTTTTAAATCAATTGTAAATGTCTGGTTTTCATATAATGTTTAAAAAACATTGAGAAAGAGGATGGTGCTTGTTCCATATCATTCTTGATTGTATATTGCTTCTGTTATGTTTATAAGTAAACTGTGCATGACTTGTGTTTAGCAGTCATTATTGTGTCTGTTTGTGAAATTTTTATTAAAAAGAAAAAAATTCCGTAGATGCACTTATTGTATATGTGATTAGATTTTGCGTCCGAGGCTAGAAGCCTTGAACTGCCAAGGAAGAGAAAAAAAAAAAAGTGTTGGCAGTTATTAATTAATATGAAATCGCTTTGTTGGGAGCATAATGAAATAAAAGATATGAAGTGTAGAAAATAATTAAAGAAGCGATTTTACAAATTTCATTTTGATGCTTGTGATAAAAGACAAATGTACTTGTGTAGAGAAATTCCTTTAAAATAATGAATAGAAAAAGCTGATTTTGAGGTTAATGCTGTAGAATAGGAATGTATACCAAATGTAATCTTTCCAATGCTACAATGAATTTATACATGAGATTGATATGCAATAAACCTGTGTGCTTTTATAAGCAGTGGTCCTCGAGCTTCTTTTGTCTGGGAGGAGTGGCAGAGGCACAGCACCAGGCGCAGTGGTGGGGTGGTGTAAGTCGGGTGTAAGCTTTGGTGCAAGGTGTACGGGCGCAGTACGGAGAGCGCGCCCCAAAGGGGTGCAGGGCTACCAGGGACGTGTCGGGGGAGAGTTCATCCCTCCCTGCCACCCGGCCGTGTCTGCGTCCTCCTCGGGGGAACATTCCCGGGAGGAAGAGCAAGAACGGGGCCGGGGCCGGGTTGCAGAAGGGCTCGGGAGCTGTTTGGGAGCGGTGAAGGCTCTCTCCTTTCACAGCTGAGAGCCGCGAGTTAGCGACTATCGAGTGATAGCGGTCAGATGTTTCAGCGGGGGCACCGGGAGCAAAAATGACTTGAAAGCAGGGTCTTTGAGCTAACAACGCGCATTACAAAACCGGTGAATGGTCTCTGCTTCAAAAAGTCATTCAGCGTGATCAAATGATGGGATCCCACCTCCCGCATAATGGCACTTCCCTGGAGTTTGCCGTGCGAGGGCTTCAGTCGTGGCTGAACTCTTGAGTAGGAGCCCTCTGCAGCTCTGTGACGGCCGGCAGCTTTCTCCTTATTAGCCCCGGAGGGAAAGAAAAAAACCTCTCGGATAAGAAAGCGCTGATAATAGAGCGATTGTCTGGCGAGGGGAGAGCGGAGTCTTTTAGAAGAATATTGCCGACAAGTGGACTTTGTCATCCAGAAAGCACTTGAGATTCTCCATAAACCAGGGAGAAAAAGGCTCCATTTTTAACGGGGAAAAAAAATCAGAGCGGAGGGCACAAGAGAAGGTCAGGGAAAAATCTGCTCCCAGTAAACACCCGGAGCGGAGCCCGGCCTCTGCAGGCAACTGGGCCGCGGGGTGGCTGCCCCCAGCCCGGCCCCGGGGCACTCCCTACCCCAAATGGCCAAACGCCGCCTTGGGGCCATGGGGTGCTCAGGACGGACGCTTTATGCCCACGCAGGGACAGCCTGCGGCCTCTCCCAGCCACTGGAGACCCAGCTGCGAGGCTGAGCCTCGTGTGCCCGGAGCGAGGAACAGTCCCTGGCCCACTGGAGCTGGTGGTGGCTGCCCAGACCCCGAGCAGGGCTGGCGGAGCAGCCTTCGGTCACCCCTCAGTGCACCGGGTGCTCCCCGGCCTCCCTGTGAGGCGTTACGGGGCGGGATGCCCCAGGAGCATGGGCTGGGGCTGGGAGCAGCACCCTGGGGACCCGGCTCCTTGGTGAGGCGTCGAACAGCAGGAGCACAGCGCGGGGCAGCCGCATGGAGCTCCCTCTGCAGCCCTGGGACCGGGATTGGGACCGGGACTGGGATCAGGGCCGGGATCAGGACCGGGATAGGGATCGGGTTTGGGAATCGGGATCGGGATCGGGACCGAGGGAGGCCGCCTCCGCCTCCGCCGCGCTCCTCCAACCCCGGGCCGGGCAGGGCCGGGCCCCGGGCGGCTCCTGGCTCCTCGGAACTCCTCCTCCTCCTCCCCTTCCTCCTCCTCCTGCTCTTCCTCCTCCTCCCTTTTCTCCTCCTCCTCCTCCGCAGCTGGCGGGGCTGAGGCGGTGTCTGTGAGTAGCCGGAGGACCGGGGCCTCCCGCGTTCCGGGGGGGTTTTGGGGGGCTTTTGGGTGCTTTTGGGGTGCTCGGGGCGAGCACAGGAGGGGCTGCGGGGCTCGGCTCCGTGGGGCTGCCCCCAGCACCCGCGGGGTCCCGGGTCCCGTCCCGGTCCCCTGGGAGCGGGGTGAGGACCCTGGGCTCGGGGGGGCCTCGGGGCTCGGAGCGGGGCCGGGCAGGGCTCGGGTCGGAGGGGCGCAGCCGTGGGGTTCCCTCAAGCTCCGCGGGGAAGGAGCTGGGTCCGTGGCACCCCGCACGGGGAGCGCTGGGTGCTGGGGCGGGGGGGCTGCAGGGGGCCAAAACTGGGCTGGAAGGCGGTGGGGAAGGGGGGGGGCTGCGTGCCTGGGCTCTGCAGGGGGGCTCAGAGCACGGGGAGGGCAGTGAGGCCTGGGGGGGTGCACCCACAGTGACCCTGCCTCTGCACAATGCTGGATGTGGAGGGGGAGCACCCGTCAGCCCCATCTGTCCCTGTTTTTTTGGGGGCTGCCGGGCTCCCACCCACACCCGCTCAGCACCCGAGGGGCGAGGCGTTGCCCCCGGTCAGAGCGGGGATGTAACAGCACCCTGGGCTCCATCCTGCTCCTCTCCCAGCCCAGGCCCTGTCCCCGTGTCCCCACACGATGCCGTGTGATGGCCCCAGCTGCTGGGAGAAGGCACTCTGTCCTCTGTCTGTCTGTCCCGTCCGTCTCTTTCATGCAGCTCTCCAGCCGCTGCCATGTCCCGGAGCCCCCACAGCAGCAATGCGGACGACAAGCCCTTGCTCCTGGAGTACCGATGCCACCCCCTGCGGCAGGGACCCCCCAGCTCCATCCCCACCTCCCCGTCCGGCACGCGCAGCCCCGACTCGGCGCCGCCGCTGGGCCCCTTCCCCTTGGCTGAGCCGCGCCGCATCGTCCTGAGCACGGACAGCCCGGCCGCGCTGAAGGTGGGCACCCAGCAGCTCATCCCCCGCAGCCTGGCCGTCTCCACCAAGACCAAGAACCCCTCGCGGCCCCTGAGCACGGGGAGCGGCCAGCTCCAGCCAGGAGCCCGCGTGGCCGGACCAGAGGCGGGCGTCCATCCCCAGCATCAACCTGGAGGAGGAGGAGGATGAGGAGGACGGCCGGGGGATGCTGAAGCGCAACCTGAGGAACATGTCCTACCGTGCTGCCATGAAGGGCTTGGGCACGGAGATGGAGCCAGCGGCCGCCGCCCCCTCGCTGAAGCCGATGCTGGAGGAGGGGAGCGCTCCCCGTGCCCGCAGCCCTGGCAGGAACAAGGTGGGTTTGTGCCCGCTGCCACCCCGTTTATTTTGGGCCCCGTGGCTGTGAGCTGCTTCCAGGGGCTGTGGTTTCCTCCTGCCTGCAGGAGCGTGGAGCTGGCAGGGTGTGCTGAGCCCGGGCAGCCGGGCTGTCACCTACGGGTGCTTTGGGTCCCCAGGGAGCAGCTGCTGCAGCTTCCGTGAGGATCGCGGCTCCTGCAGGGCTCCCACGGGCCTGCAGGGCGGGGTGGCCGGGCGGGGGCCCCGTGCTGGCACCCAGACGTGGGCGAAGCAGGGCTGGGAGGGCCGAGATGCCGAGCAGGCAAAGTCCAGGTGCGAGACAGACGGATGGGAAAGGCAGCGGAGTAACCAAAGGATCGTTCAGATTGTGACCCTGATAATGCGAGGTGAAAGCTGAGTCACTTCAGTACGGCAAACAACAAGTGTAGACAACAGGCGGTCTGAGACAACAGGGTGGTGTTTGCAAACAGCCTGCCCGGGGAGCTGCTCCCCTTCTCGAGGGAGCCGAATGCTTCCCAGGGCCCGGAATACAGCCGGTGGGTGTCTGACCCTGGCACGAGCGTTGTGGCAAGTGTTGTGGTTGTGTGGTCCTGCCGTGGCAGCGAGATTTCCTCGCGGTGGTGGCAAGCTCTCCTCTTCCTCTTCTTCCTCCCGCAGAGAACCTTCGGGCGGAAGCGGGTGCAGAAGCGGGGCGGCTCGTTCAAGGACCGTGAGTGCTGCTTCTCCTCCTCCCCAGCTGCTCTGTGGTGCCTTTTTCCAGCCCATGCAGGGAATCCCTGGCAGCCCCTTGGCCGCGTGTGGGGCTGGCCCAGGGCAGCCGCTTCCCCTGCGCTTCCCCACCTGCAGCAGCAGCACCGTGGACACCGCGGCCCCGCTCCCCGGGAGGGTGCAGCTGCACTCGCAGTGGGAATGCTCCCGGCTCTGTTTGCTCAGGGCAAACACTGCGGAGGCTGGCAGCAGCCAGGGCTGCTGGCTACCTGCTGCCGTGCAAAGTCCTCAGCTGGGAGGTGCTGGGCCCAGCTGCCGCTGGGTGCTGGGGTGGGGAGGTGGTGGGAGGCGAGGCGGGAGGAGGCTGCTCTCACCCCCCGGTGCTCCCCGCCGCAGAGCCCCGGCTGTACCAGGAAATCCGCGAGCGAGGGCTGAACTCGGTCAGCCACGAGTCGGACGAGGATTTGCTGGAGGAGCCCATCCCCGAGGAGCCGTCCCCGCCCGACGCCGCGATCGTGGTGCAGAGCTATCGCCCCGCGCAGGTCACCTGGAGCCAGCTGCCGGAGGTAGGAGCAGGAGCACAGCTCCTGGCCACGTCCTGTGTTCCCCGGGGGAAATGGATAAGCAGCGAGCGCAGCCCTGGGCAGCAGCACCGCCTCGCCCAGCCGCTGTCCTCAAACCCTGGAGCAGCTGTGTGAGCTCGCCTCCTGCCTCCAGGCCATTTCCTCGGGCCTTCTGCTGGGTCTGGGAACCCTCACCTGGGAAGGCCAGGCTGCACCTCGAGCAGTCTCCATGTTGTGAAAGATTATTTTTCTGCTCATCTGTTCTTGAAAGCCTTTATTGCACCAGAAGGTGACCTGCTTACTAAAAAGAAATAGAGCAGAGTGTATTTTAAAAGCTGTCCGAGCTGCCAAACCAATAGTGAGCGGTGTTACCCCGGCTGTGGGGTGCTTTGGGGCAGCCCGGTGCTGGTTGGGACACGCCGGGCTCCTGGCAGGTCTGGGCAGATGCCGGCCGAGCTGCTGTGGTTGCGCTCATTGAGGCACCCCGGCAGGCTCGGGGAGGGCAGGCGGCTCTGGCCGCTGGTGTTTTTGGTGGAGAGCAATCCCTGCCTGCAAAGCACTCCCACTGCCGAGCACAGGAGCTGCTGGGGTGGGTTTGGGGCTGCGGGGAGCCAGAACTGACCCTGTGCTGCCTGCAGGTGCTGGAGGCGGGCGTCCTGGACACCATAACCCCCGAGGAGCGCAAGCGGCAGGAGGTGAGAGCGACCCGCGGGGGCATGGGGGTGTCCTGCTGGGACGGGTGGTGCTGGGGGCTCATCCCGGGGGCTCCAGGTGCTCCGGACAGCCGCCAGAAGGGAAAGCATCTTCGTGGTGCAGCGTGGTTTTGGGGCTGTCCGAAAGCATGCAGACATTGGTGTAGGCCAAGCGATGCACGAGATGGTATCAGGGGATGCTTGGAAAAAGTTTCCAGACGTTATTAATGCAAATAATGTGAGTTATTACTGCATGCTATAAGGTCGTTATTAATGTAAATGAGGTGCAGCAAGTTGGAGCTCACCCCTCTTGCTGCCGGTGGTGCCGCAGCCTGTCCTGCTGCCTCCTCACCTCCCCGCTGCTTGCAGGCGATGTTCGAGATCATCACGTCCGAGTACTCCTACATGCACAGCCTGAGCATCCTGGTGTCCCACTTCATGAAGTCGGAGGAGCTGAAGGAGACCATGACGCAGACGGAGCACCACCACCTCTTCTCCAACATCAGCGACATCCTGGCCGTCAGCACCAGGTGAGTGCACGGGCCCTGGCACCGCGCCGGTGAAGCTGTGCAGCGCGGAGCTCTGCTGCTTTGCTGTGTGTGAGCAGCATCCCCGTGGTGCTGAGGCAGCCCCTCAGAATTGTCCTGGTGCTGGTGTCGGGGGTGAAGGGCTCCGTTCTGCCCTGCTGCCGTTTTCTGCTCACCCGGAGGTTTTGTAGCAGGGAGCAGTCGCGTGGCTGCACTCAGGCACTGAAGTGGGGGTGCTCCTGTTGCTCCATCACCGTGCCCGGGGTGTTTCTGTTTGCTGAATTTCCCAGCTGGGGGTTTCCCAGACAGACAGACGGACAGGATGTGGGACCCGGAGCTGCCTCCTCCGAGAGCTCGCCCTTTGCCCCCCGGGGGTGGGAGCTGCAGCGGGTGCTGTGGGAACACCACGCCAGGGCGGTGCCGCGGCACCGTGAGACCCGGTGTGGGGGCGCAGGGGGCTCCTGCTCCTGGTCCTGGTCCCCACAGCTGGGCTGGGTGCGGGGGGACCTCGGGGGGGCTGCAGCACGCAGGACCCTCCTGGGGGATGGGAATGGGTGGCTGTGGGGAAAGTCGAGCAGCTGGTGCACATCTCAGCTGCGGCAATTTGGGGAAAACTCCCAGCGTGGGAATGTCGCTTCAGAGCGAATAATTTGAGGAATTGTTCTGCTCTGGGACACTTGGCCTACGGGGATGGTCCCAGCAGAGCCTGCTCATGGCAAAGTGCACCGAGCTTGGCAGCTTGTGCGTCGCTCTGGTCTGTTAGCTCCCCCGGACAATCTCCTTCTGTAACTCATAAACCAGAAGGCTTTTGCTGCCCTAGAACTGCCCTGCTGCCGCAGAGACACTTTGCACAGATGCCAGCTGCAGTCCAGGCCATAGAGGTGCCCCTTGGGGCTGGCAAAGGGCCGCGGGAGGACAAAGCAAAGGCCTGAGCTGAGGGGAGACCCCTGGGAGTAAAGGTGCAAGGGGGGCTGGAGGAAAAGGGGCAAGGCACCAGGGAGGGCCTCCAGCTGGGCCGTGCCACGGGACCAAGAGCAAGGCAGGCGGTGGGAAGGCTGAGCCGCCCCTGGGCCCTGCGTCGGTGAGGCGCGTGGTGAGGCCGCTGGCTTTGTGCCCCTAGCTTCTTTGAAGACTTGGAGAAGCGACACCAGGAGAACCTCGTCATGCCCGACATCAGCGACATCGTGGAGGAGCACGCCTCGAAGCACTTCAACCCCTACGTCAGCTACTGCTCCAACGAGGTGTACCAGCAGAGGACACTGCAGAAGCTGCTGTGAGTGGTGCTGTGCGCGCGGGCTCCTGGGGGACTCCGAGCTGCTCAGGGCCGTGTCCTGCTGAGCACCGAGCCTCTAAGACCTGTACTGCGCGGTGTGGGACGGGATTTGGGCTGTGTATTGAGAAGAGGAGGGATGGGGGCCAGCTGGGGGCAGTGCAGCCCCGTGCTGAACCGAGCCATGCGGCGAGCGGGTCCTGCTGGGGGCGGTGGTGTGGGGTGCTTCAGGGATGCCTGTGGAGGCTGCTTCTGTCCAGGCTGTCCCCGTGGTGCCGGCCGTTTCTGACAGCTCTTCCCAACTTCTGGCTGATTCAGCATCTCCAGTCACTTTTCCATCACCTGCCCGTGGATCGATCCCTTTTCTGTGCCCGCTGAGCAGGACGGGCTGGTGCTGGAGCTGCGCTGCCAGCCTCCCACGGGGAAACCCTCTGCAAAGTCTTGATAACCGAACAGCAACGTTAATGGAGGTTTCTTGTCCCGTTCCAGAACCACAAACCCCCTATTTAAAGAGGCCTTGAAACAAATTGAAAGGAAACCAGAATGTGGAGGGCTGCCAATGATCTCATTTCTCATTCTCCCTATGCAGCGAGTAACGCGGCTTCCCCTGCTCTTAGATGTAAGTAAGTCAGAGGTGGCCGCGCCGGGCACCTCCTGCTGCTCCGAGCCAAGCAGCGATCTGCCAGGGGGCCGCTGCTACCTGGGGTCCTCGGGAGCAGGGCCGGGTGGCTGCCTGGGGCACGAGGTGATGGTCACGGGACGTGGCTGCTGTTAGAGCCCTGCCAGGAGCCGGATTCGCAGCCACCAGCACTGTTCAGTCGTGCTTTGAGCGTGCCCTGTCCTGTCCTGTCCTGTCCCCCTGCCAGGTCCGAGCAGGCATCGCCTCCGCAAAGCCCAGGGGGCCGTCAGTGCGCAGCTGCTCTGCCTTGCAGTGTCACTAAAGCATCTTGTCTTGGTGTTCTAGACTGTGTGTCAAAAAACTAAAGCATGCACTGCAGCGTACGGGGCTGCCACCAGAGCTCTGAAAGCCATCAGCAAGGTGAGGACAGCCACCACCACCTCCCCTCCCTCCCGGCGCTCCGTGTCACCACCCCGGTCCCCACCTGGGGGCTGGCCTCTGATTTTCCTTCTTTCACGGGGCCACTTGGGATTTCTCTGCTCTGAAGAGCTGCTGGATGCACACAGTCTTTTCCCTTGCCCATCTTTTTCACGTGATTGTGATTTTTTTTCCTTCTTGTCATCTTCTCTTCGTTCCTCTTTGGCCATCTTTTGTCCTTCCCCTCACTGTTGTCTTCTCCAGGGGTGCTCTCCCCGTTTTGGAGGCCCCGTGGCGGTGTCCCTGGGCCGCTGCTCTTGCCTCATTTCTGGAGATCCATGCGAAGAGCAGGGAACCAAGCAGGGCAGTGGCACAGCAGCAGTGGCAGCTGTGGTCCTGGTGCTGGCAGTGCAGCTGCCCCACCTCCGTTTGCCTTCGCTGCTGGTTATCACCTCCTCGTGGCTCCCTGTCTGCTCCATCGCCAGCCTCCTCTTTACCTCCCCTCCTCGGATGATCGTTCCTTCCTCTTGGTCCTGCCCCTTGGTGAAGCTCCGTGCTCGGTTTCTCTGTGGTCACAGAGGACCCTGCTGCCTCTCCTGGTGATTGTCCTGGGTAGGAAATCCTGGAGACCTGCTCGAGGTCTCCTGTCGGAGGCAGCCAGCAGCAGTGGGATCTTTGCCAGCCGTAATCATGCTGATGCAGAGGCAGCGTGTGCTGAGCCTCCTCCATCCTCCCCTTCTCCTGTGTTTTTTTCCAGCTGGTGAAGAACTGCAACGAGGGAGCTCGTGCCATGGAGAGGACAGAGCAGATGTACACCCTGCAGAAACAGCTGGAGTTCGGAAAGAAGAAGGTGAGGACGGGTGGCGGTGGGGGCTGGGTCCATCCACACTGATTTGTGTTTTGATTTATTTGGGATGATCCTTTGTGACCCAGGGCTTGGACCCAATCCTCCTTGTGGGTCCCTTCCAACTGGGATATTCTATGACTCTAGAGTCCCCTGTGAGCTCAAACACAGCTTTCTGACTTGGTGTTCCCTGCCACACGGGACATCAGTCATTCATTTTTTTTTCCATTTCAGCCTTTTCCACTGATCTCTGCGTCCCGCTGGCTGCTGAAGCGGGGTGAGCTCTACCTGCTCTTCTCCGAGGAGGCAGGAATCTTCCGCAAGGGCTCTGGCAGGGTTTGCTACCTCTTCCTCTTCAACGACGTCCTGATCATAACCAAGAAGAAAAGGTGAGGCTCGGGGGCACCTCTCGCTGGGAAGGGGCTGGGTGGATTCAAGCCTCGCTTTCCCAAGCAGCCCAAGGAAACCTCAAGGTTCCCCCGTTGGGAGCATTTTGGAGGTGTTTCTTGTTGGGGGCCATTCCCAACCGGAATTTGGTTGCTGCCCTAAGTGCACAGAGCACGTTCAACCCCGAGCATCAGCACCGTGATGGGCACCAGGGCTGCGGCTGATGCCCGCTGCGCGCAGTCCCCTGGGCCAGCACGGGGAGGCAGCTCTGAGGTGCCCGTCCTGCCTTGCTGCAGCGAGGAGAGCTACACGGTCATGAACTACGCCACGCTGGACCAGGTCTCGGTGGAGAAGGTGGAGGCGGCGGAGCCCCCTTCCCCCCCGCCCGCCAAGGCAGGGGGGCACCTGCTGCGAGTGGTGCTGGAGCGCGACAGCGAGGGCAGGCGGGAGGAGGTGCTGCTGGCGGCGGACACGCTGTGAGTGGGATTTGTGCTGCTGCACGGGGGATGAACCCTGGGTGGCACCTGGGGGGCTTCTGCATGGCGCCCTGCCCCTCCTGCTTGTCCTGCCGGAACGGGTCCTGCCCTGGGTGTCTGCCCCTTGCTGTGCTTCCTTCTCCCCCTTACCTTTCCAAACGCTCCTCATATCACACATCAGCAGTGCAGCCAGGTCTCTGTGCTGTTGCACACCTCAGCAGGAGTGCTCGCACTCAGTCCCACTGCCCGTGACAGCCCTCGTGCTGCTGGGGAGCTCTCAGTGACTTCCAGCAGCCGCTGCTGCCCGTGGCTTCCCTGCACATCCCAGTTTTCCCTTGCCAGGAGCGACCGGGCGCGGTGGGTGACAGCGCTGATGCACAGAGAGCGGGAGCAGCCCGACACCACACCACGAGGAGGTACGGGGGTGCAAATCCCACCTTTCTGCCCTGTTTGTACCCGCTCCTGCCTGCGATGGAGCTGGGGACACATTGATGGAGAGGAGGAGAGCTCAGGGTACCGCGCCTTGCTTGTTAGGAGTTTCTCCCGTTCAGATATTAGCCTCTTCCTCACTCAGAGCACAAATACATTTCCTAGGAGGGACAGGAGGAAGCCTGGGGGAGGTTTAGGCTGCAGTTCAGCCTCCCACGCGCATGCAGGGCAGGGCAGTGCAGGAAGCTTGGCTTGCACTGGCCGGTGCGGTGCGGCCGTCCCTTCTCACCCGCTCCCTTTTCTCGTCCTGCCCTGCAGACCTGAGCCAGGTGGAGATAACCCGTGCCTACATGGCCAAGCAGGCGGACGAGATCTCTCTGCAGCAGGCGGACGTGGTGCTGGTGCTGGGCGGGGAGGACGGTAAGTGCTGGGGGGCAGCTGGAGGTGGAAAAGTCTCAGCAAGCCGGGGGCTGAGCAATTTTCGGAAGCTTCCAAGAAGCTGTAGCAGGGGCTGAGGTCCATGCCCGTGGCTGGAGCTGTGGCCCAGCAGATAGTGGGGCACTGGAGGAGCTCCTACTGCCACGGGTGGGCAGCCGAGGAGCCCTGGGCTGTGGGAGCAGCCAGGGGCAGAGCCCCACTGCGGGCACCTCCATGGCAGGGTCTGCCCTGCGGCTGCCACCCTGCACGCCTGTCCCCGGCGGCCACCACCCTTCCCCGTGGCATCAGCACTCGTTCTTCTCCTAGGCTGGTGCTGGGGCGAGAGGCTGCGGGACGGTGAGAGGGGCTGGTTCCCCCAGTCCTGCGCCCGGGCCATCACGAACCGCACGGCGGTGGAGTGCAACGTGCGGCGGATGGAGAGGCTGCGGATAGAGACCTGACGTGTAGGAGCGGCACCACGGGGATGTGCCTCGGCCCTGGCCAGGGGGCTTCAAACCCCCGTGGGCTCAGCCCACGGCAAGGAAGGCAGGAGAGCCTTTCTTCTCGAACTGTGCCTGCACCGGGCGCTCACAGGCACCAGGCTTCGTAGGTCGGGCCTGGGCTGCAGCTGGAGCTGCGGTGACAGCAGTTGGTAACGTGGGACCTGGAGCGGGTGCCCCCGGTCACCCCTCCGATGTGACCAGCCTGGAACAAGCCCTGAGAAGCAGCTGAGGTCCTGGCCCAGCTTGAAGGGGACAGGGCTCAGCCCCAGCCTGGGTTCTGGGCACTCCCTGCTCCCAGCTGTGTGTGTTTCAGGAAATATCCTGCAAAAAAAACCACTTCGGGTCGCAACAGAATTCAAGCTTAATTGAGCGAGAGACCAAATAAATAGAAAGTCACCTGAGGCTTTCTGTTTATTTCTCTTAATTGCGGAGTAATTAAAAATTTTTAACCGGTGCTAAATTAGAGGAGACAGAGTCTAGGAGAGAGACACGAGCTACATGAGAAAAGGAAGTTTCTGTAGTAAGAAATAAAAATGGTTTAAAAAAGAATATAATTTGAAGAAGTTTCTGTGTTCCTTGTTAGGAAGGGCAAGGGATGGGGCTGGGCACTGGCACCCGGGGCTGCCTGGGCACCATGAGCCTGGTGGGGCCGAGCGCGTCCCCGTCCCCCTGGCTCGGCAGAGGCTGCTTTTGCTTCCCAGCCCACCAAGGAAATAAATAGGAACCGGAGTCGGATGCAGCTGGCACCTGAGCGCAAGGGTAACACGGCGTATGATTGTCTGGAGAATCGGCAGCAAGAATAGCAGGATTCATCGGGGTCGTTTGGCACGTTAACAAACTCTTCCTACTCCCTGGTTATCGATCATACAACAAACAACCTTAATTACACCAGTTTGGTCCTTCACTACAGACTTATATTAACATTATTTCTTCACAATAGTGATATCTAATGCAAAAAATACTGTTAAGGAAGAAATAAAATAAGAAAAGAATTAGCAAAAAATTACAAGTTATGTACAGATTAAAATAAATTCCCTCCGGAAGAGAAAACAGTTCTTTTATTATTTTCAGTTGGCCCCTGGGGGAATAATTTAAAGGCAGGGCTGGGGGCGTCCCACTGCTGCTCGCAGACCGGTGCCCCCGACAGCACCGGGTCCTGGGCCGTGTCTGCCCAGGGGCTTTGTGCAAATCCATGGACAGGGCCAGGGTGAGGCAGCTGCTGGTCCCCGTCACGGGGCTGATCCCCTGGCAGTGACTGTCCCCGCTGTGCAGGTGGCAGCCTTGCAGCGCTCTCGTGCTCGCTGACTGTGGCTGTGCGGCTCCTGGCAGCTCCTCCGGCCCCTTCTCAGCCTCTGGGCTTCCACCACAACAGGGGAATGTCGCAGGGGCCAGGACAGAGGAGGACACCTAACGAGGGCTGTGCATTCACCAGCCCACACAGGCGCTCCGTGCCGTGCCATACAGCACGCTGACTGCACCGGGTTCAGGCTCGCTTTTCCCTGCAGCAGGCGATGTGGGATGCTCAGGTGGGCTGGCAAAGCCCTGGTTTGGGACCTGGCTCTTGGCTGCAGAGCCCAGCACCTTCTCCCACGGCAAACGGGAGCTTACAGTACGGGGTGGCTGCAGGGTCAGGGAACAGCCAAGTGCCGTGGTGCCACACTGGGCATGAGCGCCGCAGAGCTGGGAATGTTCACCCGCCAGCTTTGACAACGCTGCTGTGCAGCTTCCCATAAATATTCTTGCATAAATACCTATTTTTGGCTATAATGTCAGCCCCTCCCAAACCTCCTTCCCTCCCCCCCCCCCCCAAACCCAGCACCCAAACCCAAAAGGTGAAGGCCAGCAATTTCCCAGCCACCGAGCAGAAGCAAACACTGCTGGTGTCCGGCACGAGGGGCACCGGCTCTCAGGGTCCTGCGTCCAGCCCCAGCAGCTCCCGGGTGCCCTGGTGGTGCTCAGCACTCCAGCCTCGCTCAGAGCAGCAGCGTCGTCTGGCACGGTGGAACTAATTAATGTGTGTGGCTTGTAAACAAGTTCAGCAATAGGTCCTGTGCTTCTCCAGGGGGTCCTGCACCGAGGGCGCTGCTGGCGGCGGCCAGACCTAGTGCTCCATCCACTGCAGCTCCCCTGGGGGCAGCGGGGGCCTGGTGGGCACCTGGGCTGGCACAGCTGGAAGGGAAACAGGGGCATGGGCTCAGCCCTTGCAGGCTGCACCGCTGGCTGCAGGCGTGGGGTCAGCAGGTATGAGCACAGGGATCCCAGCACCCCTGCACGGTGGCTGCCTGTGCGCTGGGATCCCGCAGCACTCAGCAGGGTGGTGCCGAGCCCAGGGCTCACCTTGCCGGCAGGTCGGGCCCATGTACCCGTGGAGGCAGCGGCACTGCCCGTTCCTGGCGCTGCACTGGGAGCTGTGGGGGGCACAGGCGCAGCCGAGGGCGCAGTCGGGGCCGTACTTGTTCGCCGGGCACTCTGCGGGGACAGAGGCGCTCAGGGTGCGGAGGGCTCAGCTGGGTCCTGCTGAGCCAGATGGCAGCAGCGTTCCCCACCGAGCCACGCACAGGGCTTGTGGTGGTGGTGGTGAGGAACACAAGGCAGCAGCTTTCTGCCTCAACCACCTCCCAGCCTGCCCCCAGCTCTGGTGAGCCGGGACAGCGGCCGAGCCCAGTAGGGTGCTCCTGCTGCACCGCAGCCTCAGCCTTTTGAAATTAGGTGAGTTAATGCCAGGGGACTGTAGGCTGGTGCCTGTTTGTGTTCAAATCTGGCTACAAACAGAGGCTGACGGGGTGGATACCTTTGTTCAGATGCCTTCTTACTTCCCAAGAGGATGCACACCAAGTAGGAAGGACTTCAGCTCCAACAAAGGGTGCCTGCATCCATCTTAGGCCTGTCCTTCTGCCTGCTGGCAATGCCCCGATGCCTTTCCCCCCCCCCCCTCACCTTCCCAAGCTGTGCCTAACCTCACCTGAGCCGCACTTGGGGCCAGTTTTCCCCGGGGGACAGAGGCAGCGCCCCGTGGCCGGGTCGCAGGTCGCGTTCCCTACGCAGTCGCAGAGCTGCCGGCATCCCTCCCCGTGCGTCCCTTCCTCGCAGCCTGTTTGGGGAGAGGGGACGGGGCAGGGACGTGCTGCCCGCCTGCACCCGGGGCTGCTGCCGATTTTGGGGGGCACAGCGGGCGGGCGGTACCTGCCTGGCAGCGCTGGCCGCGCACACCCGCGGGGCAGCGGCAGCGGCCGGTGGCGGGGTCGCAGGCAGCGCCGTGCTCGCAGTCGCAGCGCTGCTGGCAGCCGGCCCCGTGGAAACCCGGGGGGCAACCTGGGGGGGAGAGCTCGTTAGCGAGCACAGACACGGGCTTGGCTGTAGATGGCCTCTGCAGCAAAGCCTTGGGCTGGAAGCAGTGAGCTTGTCTCTTCGTGAAACACCGACTGGCTCGGGTGTCTGGCACGCAGGCTGCGCGGTGCTGTGCGTTCCCAGCTGAGCAGCACCCTGCAGCCCACGGCCTCAGAAGTGGGGTTCCTTGGGAGCACTCCGGGAGGGCTCACTGTGAACACAAGGAGAGGGAGGAAAGGAAAGGCAGGGCAAGTCCCCCCCACCTTCACCCCGCCGTCCTGCTCTGCAGACCACCCTCAGAAACCACAGCCACAAAGCCGCAGGTGATCCCCCCGGCACATCAGGTCCCCCCGGCGCAGCTCACCGTGCTCGCAGAGGGGCCCGTAGTGTCCCGGGGGGCAGCGGCAGGCCCCCGTCGTGGGGTCGCAGGAGGCGTTGTGCCGGCAGGAGCAGTGCAGCTGGCAGTCGGCACCGTACCTTCCCGGTGGGCACGCTGCAGGGGGGCACCGGGGCGGCTCAGAGGGGCCAGCAGGCACACAGAGCCAGGTGCTGAGCCAGCTCAGCGCTTCCCAGCTGGCACAGGACCATGCCTGCCGAGCTGGGTTACCTAATTCACAGGATTTCCCAGTCCATCCGAGCCCGCAGGAGCAGGACCCGTCGGTGGCATTGCACAGCCCCCCGTTCTGGCAGGAGCAGGTCTGCAGGCAGCCCTCCCCATAGCGCTGCTCCGGGCAGCCTGTGGGACCAAGGGACGGTGGTGGCACACGGGCAGCAGCGTCCAGGAGGGAAGCAGAGGTGTTGGGACAGGGAAATGGGTTCCTGCTCGGGATTTTTCCCCCTGCAGCTCGTGTTTACCTTGCTCACAAGTGGGACCGACTCTTCCCGGCGGGCAAAGGCAGTCTCCAGTGACGTGGTGGCAGGTGGCCCCTTCCCCACAGGCACACGCGTGCGCGCAGTCTTGGCCGTAGCGGCCGGCAGGGCAGGCTGGCAGGAGGAAGACCTTTACCTGCCTTCATCAAACCCATGGGCCACGTGTGCAGGCCAAAAGGGCAACACTTGGCTGTGCTGCATGAGCAGAGCTTTTCTCCTGCAGGTGGGCCAGTGCAGGAGTACCACTGCACCACCATTCGCCCCCTGCTGAGGCAGCCCCTGGGGCCCCCCTTTCCCCCCAGCACTCACCGATGCTGCAGTCGGCACCGACGTAGCCCGGCGGGCAGTGGCAGGTCCCCGTGGTGCGCTCACACCTGGCTCCATTCTGGCACTCGCACGGCTGCTCACAGCTGGGCCCGTACCAGCCCTCGGGGCACTCTGCACAAACAGAAACAATCGCACCAGTGCCTGGCAGGGTGACAAGAAATGCACCGCAAGGCGATGCGCCGGGCACGGCAGCTGCTCCTGTGCAGCAGGGTGCAAAGCTGACCCAGCAAAGCACCTCAGAGCAGCCCCGGGGCAGCCGTGGCCAGCCCCACAGGGACCCCACGAAGCACGGGGCAGGACGCAGTGGCCTCACCCAGCTGGCAGGATGGCCCGTGGTAGCCCGGGGCGCAGACGCAGGCGCCGGTGACAGGGTGGCAGTCCTGGGTGGCTCCCGCGCACTGGCAGCTCTGGCTGCAGCTCTCCCCGAAGGTGCCGGGTGGGCAGGCTGCGAGAGAGGACAGCAAGGCAACACGGGCACAGTTAGCGCCCCACCTGCCCCGAGAGGCTTGGGCTTTCCTTTTTTCTATTTTTAAACCCAAGATTTAAACAGGCTCCCATGGCAGTGGATGTTTTCTGGCACACGGGAAGCAAAGGGAGGTGGTGCTCGGCATGCCAACTGCTCCCTGATGCCAGGAACCTTTTGCAATGCCAGCCCTACCTACCCTGCTCAGATTCCTGCAGCCCTCCATCCCGCCACACAAAGACATCACAAACACACCCCCGTCCCCCAGCGAGGAATGTGCTCACATGCTTCCGTCTCTTCCAGACTTGCTTGTACCCACAGGAGCCCATTTTAACACTGATTTATCACTAATCCTCTGGACAAATACATGGCTCTGATTTCCCGCTTGGCTCCTTGTACTTTGCTAAGATTCAGTGGGCACGCGCCCAGATGCCAAAATGGGAGTTGCTCTTTGGCAAAGCTCACTGGTGGTGGTTTTTGTTTTCTTTTTTTTTTTCTTTTTTTCTTTTTTCTTTTTAATTATTTTAAGTATCAATTGCACACCCCGTCATGCTCCCCAAACCCATCAAAAGTTTGCTCCCTTCCTACGTTTCTCGCATGCTGCTCCCGTGAATCCCGGCGGGCAGGCACAGCGCCCGCTGACGTGGTCACAGGGTGCTCCCGGGGGGCAGGCGCAGCGGCCGGCGCAGCTCTTCCCGAAGGACCCAGGCAGGCAGGCTGCGGGGACACAGGGGGGTGCCAGGCTCACAACTGGACCTCGAGTTAATGCCTGGAAGCATCAGCTCAGAGGCCCCAGTGCAAAATTTAATTAAAGGTTTAGTGTGCTGCAGTGCCGGCCTGCTGAGAAACGCCCGAGACGATTTCCTCCTAAATAAAGGAGTCGGGATGCTGAGTGCTGACAGGGACGAAGCTCCTCTCCGTGCCAGGAGCTGGGGTTGTTGTGGGAGCCCTGGGCGATGCCGCTCTCACCTTTCTCGCAGCGCCGGCCCCTCCAGCCGCGGGGACAGTCACAAGCACCCGTGATGTGATGGCACGGCACCGCGTCCCCACAGGCACAGCGCTCCTCGCAGCGTGCCCCGAACAGCCCCTCCGGACAAGCTTAGGGATGCAAACACAGGAGAGACAAATCAGGCACCAGGGGACAGAGAGGGGCATCAGCCAGCAGGATGCACCCAAGGAAGGGAAATCTTGAGCAAAGCAAACTGCTTTTTGTGCACTCTTATGCCTAAACCGACGTGAAAAGTCTCTTTTTAACCATGCCAAATGTTTGGGAAGTGTTATGGCTGGCACTGTTTGGGGACGGTTGGGTGCCAGCCATACGCTGTCAGTCACAGCTGCGATCATTTGGGTTTGCTGCTGCTCCTGTCCTCGCAGGAGGACCCAAAGCAGCTGCAGAACAGCACATCTGCAGTACCAGCGCCATCCAGAAGTCAGCACTGCAGGTGCAAAAATCTGCGCACTCAGTTTTCACTTCTTTTTCATGAATGAATGCAAAAAAAAAAAAAAAAAAAAAAATCAGCAATGTCAAAACTGGCTGCTTGTCCCTGCACGGGCTGAGGTTGGAGAGGTGGCTGTGGGGAGCGGGGCTGCACGGCACACAGCTGGCATTTGCACAGTCATGTGTTTTGAAATGCGGCTGATTAGGAGGGCAAAGAGAGGATTTGAGCTTCTTTTTTAAAAATCACATAATTGCGGACGGGCTTTCTTTATTCATTTTTATCTGAAAGAAAACCTAGAAGGGTGAGCTCGGTGCCCACTCCAAATCCTGGCACCCTCCCAAGTTATGGCACCCACCTCAAATCCCAGCACTTACCCCAAAACCCCGACACCCACCCCAAAACCCCGACACCCACCCTAAAACCCCAACATCCCCCCCGCAAGCCCTCTGGGGCGTGCAGAACCCCAGCCCTCAGGTCTACCCCTCGCAGCCCCCTGGTTCCCAGCCCCTCACCACAGCCCCCCGGCGCTCCCCCTGCAGCCCCCACTCACGGCTCTCGCAGGCGGTGCCGGTCCATCCAGCAGGGCAGAGGCAGTGCCCGCGGTGGTCGCAGAGCCCCCCGTGCTGGCAGGTGCAGCGCTGCCCGCAGCCGGCCCCGTGCCGCCCCTCGGCGCAGGCTGGAAGAGAGCACAGGGCAGAGCTGTCACCCTGTGCACGTTGTCCCTTCAACGCCAGCCCCAAGGGGACCGGCTGGTGGTGGAACCCATCCCTTGGTGCCGCTGGCTGTGTCCTTACCCAGCTCGCAGGCCAGCCCCGTCCAGCCCGCGGGACAGGCGCAGTGCCCCGTGGCGGGGTCGCACGTCCCCCCGTTCTGGCACAGGCAGCGCTCACGGCAGCGCGTCCCGTAGAAACCCTGTGGGCATGCTGAGGGGAAACCAAGGCAAAACCCAAATCAGAAAACAGCCCTGACTGCACGCCAAGGGCAAACCCCAGCCTTCCGAGCAGTAGGTGGGCATGAAATGAAGCCGCTGCTGCTTGCCATGAGCCTGCCTAGCTCCCCACATGAAGCCATTTGGTATTTTAACCTGCTCAGGTTGGAGACATTGCAGGACCTAAGTGGAAAAGGGACTGAAAAACCCCCAGACCTGAAGCCAAACCCCAAACACACCCTTTTTCCCCCAAACTAGCTCAGGTGATGCTGAGCTCATCTTCCAGACCTTGATAGCGCCGGTACTTGGCAGCAAAAATCCATTTAAACACACGAATAGCTGCTCTCACGCACAATTTCACTGAGCCCTGCCTGAAGGCATTGCTGCCAGGGCGATGTTCGGGGCACACTGGGTGAGGGCGACCTCTTGGCTTCTGTCTTGTGACAGCATCGCTAAGGTTATGGTCCTGTGATCTTGCCTTATCTGTCTCTATTTTTTGTAGCTGCTACTCCACCGAAAGCTCCAGCTCAGGCAGAGAAATGGCACTTTTATCACCCGCGGGGAGGTGGCCGCGGGAGCGTTACCTTGCTGGCACGTGGGGCCCGTCCACCCGGCCGCGCACAGGCAGCGGCCGCTGACGTGGTCGCAGGTGGCGTTGTTGGAGCAGCGGCACGGCTGGCTGCAGTCCTCGCCGTACCTGTCCTCCTGGCACGCTTCGGGGGATCAGAAGCAGGCACAAGAGTTAACACCGGTGTGAATTACGGCGCCAAGGCTCCTGCTAATGGTCATCTGGGGGAAGAACTGGAGACCGGACTGACCAAAGGGGGTGGTGGCTGCTTTGGGCCGCTCGTGGGGCTGGGTTTTATGGTGTTACACAGAGAAATAACGTGTGTGGATGACATTCAAACATGGGCACTGTGGTTACCCTTAACGTTACCACATTGATCTGCTAGGGAACCGTTCTGCCGGGTGCCTGAGCCCTCGCTATGTTCAGGACGTGCTCAGCCCCCCAAACAGGGAACGTCTGCCAAAAGAGCCCCCCCGAGGATCTGCTTCAGGTAAACCCGGGTCCAAAAAAAACCCGGGTCCAAAGCATGAATTGTTTTAGTCCACAAAGCCTGGATAAAGTGTGTAAGAACAGAGCCCCTTCTGAGATTTTTGGCATTCCCTCCCTGAGTCCCAGTGGATGCGGCACAGGACAGCGCCCGTCCTGGCACAGGGATCTTTGGGTGCACGTGAAAACTGCTGCAGGAGTGACAAGGGCTCGGCCAGCATCTCAGTGCCTCTCTTGGGGCCTGGGATAATGCGAGTTATGTAGGGCATGGGATGGTTCAGGGCACGCTCTCCGTTTGGCAGGGCTATTCTTAGCACAAAAACACAATCGGAAGGACACGAACTAGAACATGCCTCCGAGAGGGAAGCCAGCAGGGCGGCGGGGGGCTGCTGTGTCTGCTGACAATCTCCTTCCTCCCTTGCAGATTTAAATGTGGTTCTTCATGCCCTGAGCACAAGCGACTTGTTTATTCTTCACGCCTGATGCCAGAGCAACAGCAAAGCTGTGTGCATCCCACAAAAAAAAACGTGTCCACTTTATTTTCTGCTTTTATTTTTGTGTTTCCCTCTCATGTTCGGGTCATCAGCGCCAACACTTCATGAAAAAAAATTGCAGAATATTCCGTGCAGTGAGAATTTCTTCCAGGGTGTTTACCTGTGGTTGTGTACTTTTGTCAGCAGTTTCAACTAAACACATGCAGATAGGAAATGCGTGTGCACAAGCACACACGCACACACGTATTTGTAGCTGAGGCCACGCACACTGCGGGCTGCACAGCTCCAGGCTCCTCTCTGACACTGCTCTGTGTGAGGAGCAAAGCCAGTTCCTACTGACGGACACCCTGAACCTAATGTTTGGGAGCTGCATTGCTGAATTTATGGGTTTTGGTCCAAATACTTCTGAGCCACACAGAATTGACTTCCACACAGAGACCTGACCCTATGCTCGCTGTGCTCTAGCAGCACAGGGGATGGCCAGGGCTCCATGTATGGGGCCATGGGGACACCTCCTGTGGCCATGGGACACTTACTGTGGCCGCAGCGGGGACCGGTCCAGCCAGGGAGGGCAGTGGCACTGCCCCGTGACGTGGTCACAGCTGGCTCCGTTCAGGCATTCGCAGGCTTCCCGGCACTCGATGCCATAAAATCCATCTGGGCAGGCTGTGGAAGACACAAGAGAAAAGTCCCAGGAGGTCTCCATGCAAGGGACCGGGGGCTGTGGGAGCCTCCAGCAGCTCGCAGCCCCCGGGGTGGGTACGTACGGTGCTCGCAGAAGGTCCCCCGCCAGCCCGAGCTGCAGGTGCACGCCCCGCTGACGTGGTCGCACGCAGCCCCGTGCTCGCACTGACACCGGTGCCGGCAGCTGGCCCCGAACCACCCTTCTGGGCACCCTAGGAGGCAAAAGCAAATGGCATTGATGAGCCCAGGAGCTGTGCTAAGCAGGGAGCTCAGGCTGGGAACGGGATGACAGGATCTGGCCACTGCTTTTCTCTAATCAGGGGGCTCCACCCTGCTCCTCACAGCCGTGTACCCATGGCACCCAGCCACCCACCGGCACAGCACCACGGAGAGCCACGGGGACTGCCCTTCTGCACCCAAACACCTCCCGCAGCGCCCACCCTACACCTCCCCAAAGCCCCCAAACCCAAACCCGTGCCCCGTGCCCCAGCAGCTCGCTGGCTGCACTCACGCTCCTCGCAGCGGACACCGGTGTACCCGGCATCGCAGGCGCAGCGCCCCGTCACCGCGTCGCAGCTCCCGTCGCTGCCGCTGCAGTTGCAGGCGTTGGCACAGCCGGGACCCCAGCGACCCCCGTCACAGGCTGCAACGGGAGGAGCACGGCCTCAGCGCCAGCCCTCGTGCAGCCCCTCGGTGGGGAAGGGCATGGGAACAGCTCTTCTCCCCTCTTGGGGTTTTATCCCCTTGCTTAAAAGAGAAGGCAGCAGGGCTAATAAAGGGCTAACGGGGCTGTGGGTCTGCAGCAGACGCTGAGGGGACCAAGGGAGTGATGGTGCACGAGTGTGGGATTGCCGTGATTGATCCTTGGTGTTTTTACAAGTGATGGGCAGTGAGCAGAGGGCACCCTACCTCTCTGGCAGTCGTGGCCCGTCCAGCCGGGTGCGCAGCTGCAGGTCCCCGTCACAGGATGGCAATGTCCCCTCGTTCCCGCAGCTGCAGCTCAGCTGGCAGGCAGGGCCGTACCAGCCGGGCGGACACACTGCCAAGGCAGAGACACGAACAGCAAACCTGCTGTGAGCCTGGGGCACGGCACTCGCTGCCACCCCCCCGGCACTCAGCACCGTGAGCCCGGCACTCACCGTCCTGGCAGCGGCTGCCGGTGAAGCCCGGAGGACACACGCACGCTCCCGTGGCGGGGTCACAGCTGCCGTTGTTGGCACACTCGGGACACAGCTCCTGGCAGCCGAGGCCCCAGTGGCCTTTGGGGCAGGCTGCAGCAGAGGCAGAGGGGGCACGGGTGGCTCAGCACCGGCACCAAGCAGCGCGGGCAGGGCGAGAGCTGCCAGCGGGAGGCAGGAGCCAGCAAAACAGGACCACGGCATGGTCCGAGCACCCCGAGGGCACGCCAGGAGAGGTGCTGCTAACCAAAGGGCTGCAAAGCCCCGGGGCAGGGGGCTGGGACCTACAGCAGAGGGGTAGGGGTGAAACGGATGGTTCCTTGTGCACGGCAGTGGGTTCCCTGTCTTGTTTGTACCCAGGCTTTATGCACCGCTTATGCTTTGGTTTGGGAGCACATGGCTAGGAGTAAGGACAACACCGTCCTGTTTGTGTTATAAACAGCACGGGAGTCCTCAGCAAGTGCTGGTCTGACCTCACGCCAGGGTTCTCATGTCAATTTTTGGATTCGCATCTACTGCTGGGGAGCCACCACCGCTCCTTGCTAGGCAATGGTGTTTCTGGCCAAGCGCCCTCAGAGCCGCTGTCACTCTGCTCGCGCTTCCAAGAGCCGCCTTCAGCTGCGCAGGAGGCTCAAACTGCTACAGACTGATAAAGGCAGGGCAGGACGCCTCGTCCGAGTGCTGCGGGGCCTGGAGTCAGCTCGGGCTGCATGGGGAGCGCCGTGCACACGTGCTTTCGCTGCTCAGTCGAGCTATTACGAGCAGGACATCCATACAGGACTAATAACTTCCAGCTGCTGTAATGCTACATGAGCGCATAGAAGCTTTTAATTTAAGATTCTCTCATTTTCCAGCAGTTGAAGGATAATTTGGGGAAGGCAATTAAAAAATCCACAACTGTAAAGAGAGATTCCTTGCCTATGTTAAGGACTGCAATAACTGAAAATATCTCTGTCGTTTTTATTGCATTTTGTTTGCTTTGTTGGAACTGCCTTCAGCTCCAACAACAGAGCTAAGCTGAGGCTATTGTTCAAGACTTAGCATCAAAAGTTGCATTTTTTTTCTAAATTTCCATGGCGATGGTCCTAATCGCATTAGATGTTTTTAAAATGAATTTTACCAGAAGAAAACCAACAGCCCTACACCTGAGCCCCGGGCTCAGTGCCTTGGCTCCTGTCACCTCCTCACCTTGGGCACAGTCGTGTCCCGTCCAGCCCGCCGAGCACACGCACTCCCCGGTGGCACGGTCGCAGGGCGCCCCGCTGCAGGAGCAGAGCAGCAGGCAGCCAGCTCCAAACCTGCCCTCTGGACACTCTGCATTGGAAACAGGAGTGGGAGAACCGTGGGTTACCGAGGTGTGGTTGTGGAGGGAACATTCACAGGCAGCCAGCAGCCAGAAGCTCTGGGTGCTGTGAGAAATCCGCTCCCCAGTGCCTGACCTCCCTGCCAAGCAGCCTGGCACAGCAGGTACACTGGTGCAAAGCAGTAAAGAAGGAGCATCCTCACCCAGGGGAGGAGTAAGTGCTTTTCCTTCTTGCTGCTGCCAGTGCTAGAGAGATGCTGCTGGCAGGAGAAAGCTCTGTTTGCTCTCTGCCCAGCGATACAGTCAGCAGCTAAACGCACGCAGGCTGAGGGTCTCAGGCCCAGAGATGCTGCAAACCTAGCTGAGCCCCCCCGGGCACTCCATGCTTGCAGTCCTTTTCGCTTTTTGAAGCCAATGTTTCAAAAGGTTCTGGCAGATACAAATGCACCAGCATTCATAATTAATGGAGGAAAAAGCACACTAGCTTGTAGATTTCAAGTGACACAGTGGAGTTTTTGTTATTCCTGCTCTGTGCTAATTGATGGCAGATGTTTGTCTTCACCCTTTAATCATTTCCAGATCCGAACAACAGCCAAAAGCCTACTATTTCTATACAAATATTTGTGTTATTTCCTGTGACTCCCCCCTACAGGCTCAAGCTCCTTTCTTATTCTTTTTAAAAATATCCCTGGCCGAACGCGCCGAGCCCTGGCGAGCTGCGGCTGTGCGGGCACCGAGCGTCCCGCCACGTGGAGGACCTGGACCAGGGGCTTCCCAGGCTGCTGCAGGGCCCCCAGCATCTCCCTTCCTTCGTCTGGCCATGTTCTGCAGAGGGAAAGCCTGTCTATGGAAGGGTTGACATTAATGGTCAGAAAATGAGATCTAGAGGAGGATTCACCTGCAGCACCATCGCTGTGCCTGCTCTGTGTTGCGTACCAGGCCCTGCAGCAACGCCAACGAGCCCAGAAGAAGGAGGACCAAGCCCAACCCTGCCTTCACCAGGGCCAGGCAGCTTGGGCAGGGTGGCTCCTGCTCCCTGTCCCTCCCCATCACACTTTTGGCTGCACAATGCTTCCTTTCTGCCACTGCTTTTCTTAAACCAGACGCCAAGCTGCCCCATTCCTCAGGACGAGGACGTCAGGGAGGGAGAGCAGACTGCAGGCATGCGGCTTAGCAAGAGAAACAGTTCACTGTCATTTGGTTTGAACAAAGAACAGAGAACCAAGACTGATATTACCACAAGTAAAACTTGTTTTGTTTCCTCGGAACTGCTCATGAGGATCTGCAGCTTTTGCTTGGACCAGCAGAACAGCTATGTTCTATCAGCTATGGTGTTGTGCAAGATAATCACATGCTGGTAACTTAATTAGGCTAATAGTTATAATTTCTGGGTTGGGTGTGGATGGAATGTTTGGGCAAATCTCAGTGCAGAAACTCCTGGGATGCTCGGATCAAAACTCAAATGCTGAACACCAGCTCCTGGGTGCAGCGAGTCTTCTCGCAGTGCAGCACATCGGACGCTGCAGGAGCCCAGCTTTGCACGTTTTTGGTTGGATCCCACCGGCTGAAGTGTGATTGAGAAGGAAGGAACCTCACGAGATGGGAGCACGGTTTTCAGTGGCTGCTCAGCTCCGAGGCTGGCACAAGCCATTATTTTCCAGGAACTGTGTTCGTGCTTTGTAATCATCACCTCAACTTTCACACCAATGACTCATTGCCTTGAGGTGCTCTCAGACACCTTTGCAGGAAGAACATCGAGCTCTCTGACAGCCCACCTATCTCCCAGGATCTTAAAAATCTGCTCCCTCCGTGCTATACTGCATGCCTGGAGCCGTGTAGTTCAGTTATCACACTGCCAACTGTCCTGTATGTGATGAGCAGAGAGCTGCTCTGGAGGGTTCATACAGAGGCAGAAGTTTAAATCCTAATGTGAATGAAGAATAAAATTTTCTTTCACACTTGCAGATCAAATAGAACTTCAATACGGGACAGCGAACAGAATGGAAAATATGATACTGTTCTCCTGGGGATTGATTGCCTGGAAGCAAAAAGACATCAAAGGGAGGAAAAAAAAAGATAGCTAGATAGCTATCACCTTCATCTGCAAAAGCAGAGATGCCCAAGTGGCAGGATAAAGTGAGACCTTGTTCTTTTCTGAATAAGGATCATTATGCCTGAGAATTCCCGTTTCCCTGCTCTTCAGAGATCACAGGGTTTTCATAAAGACCTGCGAGTGGCAGCTCTTGTGTCATCTGAAGCCATTTCAAATTTCCACTCACTAGAGCTGGGCTAGGAGGTCTGAAAGTCCGGGCGGAAATGTGCAAGCCCTTTCATGTTGCTTTGCAAAGGAACGGTTTGTGTGTGGGAGGAACACGGGGGGTACACGGCTCCTCGAGAGCGTGCAGGCTGGGGAACCTCGGAGCGCTCCAGCAAGAAGCAAGAGCTTGGGACATCAGCAGCATCAGAGATGAAACCCCTCCAGCTGTGCCTCTGGAAGGCAGAAAGCCTTCGGAGAAGGAAGGAAGAAGCAAGCAGGAGCTAAGCACTGGGTCCCAGCGGCAGTGTCCGTGTGTCACAGCACAGCAGCGACCACCTGAAGCCAGGAGAGCATCGCTTGTCCAGCAGCAGCACCTCTGTGCTCCTCCGAGCATCATCACACAAAAAACAAGCTTACGTTTGCCTTGCAGGGCCCCTGCTCTTCATGTGGCCTTACCTTGGTCGCAGTTGTCCCCGTGGTAGCCCTGGGGACACTCCTTCCAGCACTCTCCAGTGACGCGGTCACAGGGCACTTCTGGGGAGCAGCTGCATTTCTTCCTGCAGCCATCTCCGTAGTAGCCAGGGTCACATTCTGTTATCACGGAGAGTGAAAAGGGCTGGTATCAGAGGCAGGGAGAGGCAGCAGCACCCTGCCGAGCCAGCAGCTGGGCACAGCTCCAGCACCTGCTTTTACTGCCAGAATCACTTCCCTCCGATAACAACTTTTGCTCCTAATCGAAGCAGCAAGAGGCAAAAAGGTTCTAGGAGGATGGAAAGCGAGCTGAGCTTTTTCCCAAAGAAATCAGGGGAAAAGAGGCTGTGGGAGGAGGGAGGGAGTGCTCCTGGACAACTCACCCTTCTCGCACCGCGTGCCGTGGTAGCCGGGCTTGCATCGGCAGGAGCCGTCCCTCTTGTCACAGTCCTGCGTGTTCTGCTGCACGCACTGGCACTCCTCGGAGCAGCCAGGACCAAACGCCCACTTGGGGCAAGCTGGGTGGGGAGGAGGAGGACAGCAAGTGACCCGGGAGGCCAAATATCACAGACAGGGGACAGAAACATTGCCACCACCCAGCACTGACCCTCCCAGGGATGGAACCCAAAAGGGCTGCAATCTGGGAATAACACTCATCTCATAAGGAAGGTGCGGACACGCATACCTAGGTGGCAGTACCGCCCGTACAAGCCAGGGTCGCACAGACAGGCGCCGTAAATCCGATGGCAACGACCGCGGTTGGCACAGTTGCACTTCTTCCTGCACTGTTTCCCAAAATATCCTTTAGGGCACCCTGGTGATAAATAAAGAGAGGTTTTCTGGGAGGATGAGGAAATGTGGGTCTGTCACTTTATGTCCATCACAGGAAAAACACAGAGCAAAACCTGAGCCGTGTGCCGTCAGCAATGAACTAAGTAAAGTGTGCAGCGAGGGTGGAACTGCTTTCTGACCAGAACGTGCCTGTGTCCCTGTGCAACAGGTAATGATAAGAGCGATCAGATTCCCTGCATCAGCTCCAAACCGAGCCTGTCCCTGTGGCATTGCAGCCTGTCTTCCTCGACTGCCCTTCTGCAGCCACCTGCGGTGTCCCTGGGGCACCCATGGGTGCTGAGCTGTGCTGGGCACCAGGCAGCAGGGCTCCAGGGAGCCAGCTCCACCGTACGTGACCAAATAAACCATGAGGCTGTTCCTATTGATAAGCAACAGTGGTGTTTGCACTGCTAAGGGAATACAAGGATTGCTCTTTCTCTTTCATGCTGAAGATCCTAATATTAGAAGCAGATGGCAGACGCTCTGTGTCAGCAGAAAGCTGCAGCCAGCGTCTGGCCAGGCAGCACGAGCCTTCCCCTGCGGCTGCAGCGTCAGGCTGAGGAGCAGCAAGTGGGACATCACATCACTTCTTTGCTGCTGGTGTTAACCTTACCTGCCTGGTTTTTCCCTGTATGCCTCAATCACCAGATTATAGAGAGAAGAGGTCCGGGTACCTCCAGCATTTATTTATAGTTTGCCTCAGCCTCCTCCTTCAATAATAGTTTCCATATGCTCTGAACCTTTTGTCTGCAGCCACTTTGTCTGAATCCCTTATTGTCTCACTGCTTCTGTGTTTTTAGACGGTGCTCCCAAGATTTTAATGCTTTGGGAGAGAGAAACACCGAGCAGGGATGGAGCAGGGGATGGAGCAGGGATGCATCGGGATCTCTCAGGCACTGGGATGATCCAGCAGGAACATCTGACAGCAGCAGGGAAGCCTGGTCACCCGCTCACCAAATCCCACCAAAAGTCTTACTGCCACGTGGAAAGAAGGACGCACAGAGCCCCGCTGTCCCCCCCTCTGCCCGGGCTCTTACCGTCCTCGCAGTGGGGCCCGGCCACGCCGGGTGGGCAGCGGCAGGCGCCCGTGCTGGGCTCGCAGGTGCCCCCGTTCTGGCAGCGGCAGGCCTGGCTGCAGCTCCTCCCGAAGGTGCCGGCCGGGCAGGCTGGGGACGGATGGCAGAGGTCAGTGGGGACGTGGGGCTGCTCCCACACCGCCGGAGCAGCACAGCAAGGGGCTGCGGGCTGGCAGGCGGGGAGCAGGCACAGCTGTTTGTGGCAGCAGGCGTTTTTGCCTTCCTGGGGCTAAAGAGCTAAGAGCAAATGAACTGAGGACGTTGGATGTTCATAACCTCAATTCCTTACTTTGGTTGCAGATATAACCTACCAGCAGGCTGTATCTGGGCCACTAGAAAAGCAGGTTAATTCTTTCTCAAGCACAAGAAGGCTTGCACTTGTGGCAGAAGTTTATGGGAAGAGACACTAAAAGGGTTCTCATTAGTACTGTAAATATTTTCTTGGTCTCAGAGAATGCAAAGCCTAATCCACTGGTGGTAGGTTTACATGCAGCCTGACACTAACTCAGATTTAACACCAAATATGTATGTTTGCAGGTCTGACGCACAGACAAAAATGCCCTAGGGTCTCTTTGGGAATGAGCAGAGGGAAACGGGGCATTTGCGCTGGCTTTGCCAAGATAAATGCAGCAAATAAAAGCAAGACAAGCAAAGGGCTCCAGTGCTACATCTGACCAAGTGGAGGTTGGTCCATTCTCCTCTTTCTTGCCCGGATTTTGGCAGGCAGGGCTGGCAGGGCAGCCGGCCTGCCCCGCTGCTGTGCCACTCACTCTGGTTGCAGAGCAGCCCGCTCCAGCCGGCCGGGCAGTCGCAGCCGGTCCCCTCAGCATTGCACGTGCCCCCGTTCTGGCAGTCCTCGCACGTCAGGCTGCAGTCGGGGCCGAAGGTGTTCTCCAGGCAGACTGCAACAGGAGGAGCCATGGTGAGACACTGTCCCCAGGGCTCTCCAGCAACTCAGGGAGTTTGGGCATTAACCCCAACATTACAGACCCCAGCAAAGCTAACAGCATCTGGGGGTGTCTGTGTGCACAGAAAGGGTACCTGATGTATGCTGCCAGTGTGCCTGGCACGCATGGTTAATTGGTTAAATGCCCACCAAATTTTTCTGAAAGTGTGTGCTCTCCTCTTGCTTCCATCTCTTCGTCCTCTTCTTCATAGTCCTCGTTAAAGAGCTGGGTGAATTCATCCCGCAGGATTGCAACGTGGGGGATCGGGCGGATAAGGGGGTGCTGAGCATCCAGAGCTTCCACTGGGTCATCTATGGCTAGGGAAGCAGTCATGGAGATGACAAAATCAAGGGGTGGAAAGAAAAAAGAACTCATCTGAGGGGCAGATAACAGGGCAGACCCTGTGTGATAAGACAGGGGAACCAGAAACATCTGTATGGGGTTGGTACGCTCTGCAGATCTCTACATTGACACCTTTAAAATAGGAATCTGTTCCTTTCTTCTACTCAGATTTTTGCAGCTTGTTTCCTTGTTTTGGCTAGAACGTGGCACAGCCGACCAAGTGAGAAACTTTGCTCCTAGCCTGGATGGGCAGCTCGGGCTGCCTGGGTAACTGGGACCACCGCCGTGCCATTGCCTTTGCCCTGCAGGTTTTCTGGCCAGAGCCACACAGCTTCCTTGCGTTTTCAGGTAAGTCAACCTTTCTCTAGAAAATTTAACAAGTCTGCCCATCTAACAAAACTGAGCAATGCATTTCAGCTTGGTTCTCCTTTAAGAATGAGTACGTGTCAGGTACAATACCAGCTCCCTTCCTTTGCAGGGCAACAAGGGTTAAAAGTCATGCAATCAAGGTAAGCACAGGCACCTGGAGCAGGGCTGGCACAGCTATAAAAGTGGGCAGGGCACAGCAGGGCAGGGCTGGCACTCTGCTGGGGTGAGGAGGCATGGGGTGCTGCTCCTCTGGGTGCAGGCATCACAAACTGCCAGGAACAGGGAGCTGGGCAGTGCCTGGGGGTCATTTGGAGAAGAGGATGGGTGCTGGGTGCCCTGCTGAGTGAGCCGGATGGCAGTGTGCTTGGGGGTGTGATAAGGAGGCCACCACTTGGAGAAAATCCTGTTTATTATAAGGAAAAACTAGACGTGATGATGGTAAAAAGGGTTTGGTCCTTTGGTTAGTGTGGGGTCAGGACTGCAGGCTACAACAAATGTACCAAAATCCCTAGGCTTGTTAGAAAAGCTGTGTGTGACACTGCTGAAACAGGCATGGTGCTGCCAGGGGAGCCTTCTGCTGCTGCTAATGAGTGCTGGGAGTGCCTGCATGTGTGGGTCCTGTGCCTGGAGGGGATGGGGATGGGGTGCTGGCAGCCCGACACGCAGCACTTACAGATGCAGCCCCTTCGGTCTTCGTCCAGTTTGTATCCGATCCGGCAGCTGCACTGGAAAGACCCGAGCTGGTTCTGGCACGTGTGTTCGCACCCGCCGTTGTGTGAGGAGCACTCGTCCACGTCTAGAAAACAAAGGGGTTGCTGCGTGTTTGCAGAGCAGTGAGCAGGCTGCATGAAGCCAGCTGACCCCAAATGTTAAGGGAGGCTGCCAAGTGAGCAGGGAGCCCCAGGCTTCCGAATATCGAGCACTAAGCTTTAGCTCACTTCTCTGGCTAGTTGTGTAGAAGCAAGTGGGTAACCTTGGTTTTCACCTGTGGAGTGTTACTGGAGAGCTTTCCTAAGGAAAAAATGCATTAGGAAGACATAAAAGCCCCACATCCATTCTGCTGAGAAGACTGCTCATCAGAGCCAACAGGACACCAACAGGACGACTGGGCTGAGCTGGAAGAAACTGGCAGAGACACCTGGCTGTTCACAAGCAGGTAGGACAACCTCTTCTCTTTATTATAAGATTGCATTCATCACTGAGGTAGCTGGGTTTTAGACAGATGCTTGTTCTTGCCTGTATCTCTTCTGTGGTAAAAATTATGGTCAGTGTTGGCTCCAATATTGCACAGACTAATTTCTGTGAATTGCTGATGCAGTCAGACTTGGGAAACTCTCAGAGATGCCAAATTGAATTCAAAGGGGGTTGAAAAAGCCCCATAGCTACCCCACAGCTGTGCTGGCCTGGTGTGGGGGTTAATTAGAGGAGTAGCCTTAACTCCTGCTGAGGTGAGGAGGCTGACAGGACAGAGAAACAACCCAGATCCCCTGCTGTGTGTGCACCTCGCCGTGGTGCAGCGTTGAGGTGTGCAGCGCTGTCCCCGTGCTCACAGGGCCCCACACCTCTGCTTACCTTCACAGGCACAGCCATCGGTGCTGAGCCGGTACCCGGCATGGCAGGCACACTCGTAGCCTCCCGGGTAGTTGTAGCAGTCCTGGTGACAGCAGTGAGATCCGCTGTCACACTCATTGATATCTAAATGAAAAGCAAAGGGCGCTGGGTGTTAGCATACGCCAAGCTCTGTAGTGCTGACAGGAATTGTTAAAATCGCTCCGTGACTAGTTCTGGTGGATTTTTGCTGAGCTGTCACAGGCTGAGCTAGGATTCGTGCTTTCTTCTTGAAATCAGTGAGCTTTGTGCTAACAGCCCCCTTCACAATGTGCTCCCTGGCCAAGGGGGCTCCTGAGGCCCAGAGGGAAGCTACCACGGCTGGCAGCCTGAGGCGGTTCTGTGCTCGCCAAGGGGGTGGTTCCAGCCTCAGCAGGACCTGGCATTTGTTTTCCAATTTGTCCTTTTACAAACATGATATGCAGAAAGCTGGGAGCTGCATGCTTCCTTCCAGCTGCACAGGAATGTGCCCCAGTCTGGCACTGGTGCAGGAGAGGTCTGGCTGGTGAGCACTGCAGTGAGTTTTGGGCTTGGTTATTTTCCCACAAGGGAAATAGTAATGCTCAGAGTAATGCAGCGTCAGGTGTATGCGTCCACTTTATGACACTTAGAGCTCAAGGTGGGTCTCACCCCAAGCCTCTCCTCTAACACAAGCTGTGTAAGTGATGGGGCTGAGCTATGCTAGTGCCTCACTCACATCGCTCACTCAGGAATTACACTGCTCACTAATATAACAGACAATGCACTTCATACATCACCCCTTCTAGATGTCGGGTTACAGGTATCTGAGATGTGAGCCTCTGCATCTGCCAACACCTTCCTAGGTCTGTTCTAGCAGGAAAAGCTGATTAGCTCTGAGGTCAACAGACACCATCCCAGTAGTGAACCTCTTCAACCTGAGCAGCATCTCATCTCCTTTTACTTGATGTCTGTTTCTAGCCTTGTTAATCTGCTTGTTTTGTATATACATATAGCATCTGATCTGTGGGGATCCTCATTACTTGAGACACATCTGTAAAAACAAAGTATGACATTTCCCTTGTCTTACCAGTGCATGTCTTCTGGTCCTCCTCAAGCTGATAGCCGAAGTTACAGGTACAGACAGGGCCAGAGCTGGTGTGGTGGCATGCATGGGAACAGCCACCATTGCTGGCTTCACAGCTGTTCACAATCTCCATTTCTATCCCTGCAAGACATGCACACTGGTTAGGATCCTGCAGTGTTTGGTGTATGTTGGGTGATGCCTTCCAGCAGGCACCCACATGGAGCTTCACTTCTCGAGCCCCTCGTGTGTGCCTTTTTGTGCTCACAGCCCTGCTGAGGCCAACGAGCTGCAGCAGGGAAAGGATGAAAATAGCTCTGCACAGAGGCCACCTCTGGGCCGGGAAGCCCAAATAACAAAAATAAATGGACAGATCCCAGGCAACGCCCCGTGTGGCCTCTGCGGGCTTGACTTGTGGGGCAGGCTCTGGACAGGCCCTGAGATGAAGCAGACTGCAGACAAAGCTGCTCCCATTCCTGTTAAGCTGCAGGATGTGCTGCCAACCCAAAGTTGGCTCAGCCTTCACTGTACAGAGCTGTTCCGATGCCAGCTAGGAATGGGAGCAGCAGAATGCAGCAACTGCAGCAACCTCCAGATGCCTGCAGCTAGAGAAGCTGGGGACATGTCAGAAATGGCAGGCGCACACATCAACAGCAGCCACGTATCTCAGCTTGGCAAAGCTTATGTAAACTCCGTAGTCCAGTTAATGAAGCCTTCTTAGACTAAAAGGAACTCGTACCATGGAGCTTTGATTCAGCCCTGAACCTCAGGAAAAGTTTCTGCCTACAAGAACATTTTCGGTGCACTCAGGCCCAAGAAGGATGAAAGAAGGGGAGCTTGATTGTTCCCCAGTGGGTCTGTGCATGTCAAAAACAAAATTTGTCCCGTGGTGGAAAGTTTATCTTTCAGATTTCACAACATGAATTTATTCCTTCTGTTTTCCCCTTTCTTACTGATGCATGCTAAATACCAAAGCCAGACCTTTGCACAGGAGATGCTAAAAACTGTGGGGGCGGAGGAACATTGCTCATACAATGGGGCTACGTAATGCTGCAGCTAAAGGAGAGGTATTGCCAAGACCTATGGCTGTCCTTTTCCTTCTAGAGCAGCAGAACATGAGTGGGGCTTGCTTTTCCGCTGCCCAAAGTGACCCTCCAGGGCTACCTGGAAAGCCAAGGCTTGAGCAGCAGTAACTATTAGGCTTTGGGTCACCTGTGGACCAGTTGGCTGAGGGCACCAAGGGTAATTGTCCCTGCTGGAACACTCGATGCTAGGTGAAAGAGGTAGCTAAGATTTGTTAGGCATAGACCTGGCTTTCTAATCCAATACTCGATGCCTTCCAAGACCCATTTCTGGTTTGCAAAGCCCTACCTTCCCACTCCCCCAAAAGCATGGTGCCTTGGCAGGCTCCTGGTGAGAGCTGTGGCCACCGCACAGGTGGAGCATCACGGCTTCCAGTGATGCTGGCTGCCTGCACTGGGACAGCCACGGAGGCTTTCATCTGTGAGGGCTGCTAGTGCTACATGCTGATAGCTTCACTTCAGACCCTGCTGATGTGTATTAGCTGAGCAAAGACATATGCGCAATCTGGCTCATTCTTACACAAAGCTGTTTATTTCCTTTCCTGATGGTAGCAGATGTGATCACATCATTAGCTCAATTCCTTCTTCAGTTACACATCTGCAGCTGACCAAACTCATCCAATGAGGTCCCTAAGAGCAGGACTTAGCCTTTTTGGAGCCAAATGGCCTCAAATAAATTCCCTAAACTAGTGAAATTGGCTTCATTGTAACTTTAAAGATTAGAAGTTCTTACCTTGGTGGAAGAAGTGAACAGCCCCAGATCTGCTGGTGAAGGTGGCTGTGACTCAGTCCCACCAGCTCACAGAAAATGATGCACAAACAGTGCCAGCTGCAGGTTTCACCTCTTTCTGCCCTTTTCCAACCTACAGAAGCAAACCCACCTCCCTCCCCACCCGACAAGGACTGCAGGCAGTACTCACGGTAGCATTGCTTGCCATCTGCCCCCAGCTCGTAGCCTGGGCTGCAGGTGCATTTGAAGGAGCCGCGGGTGTTGAGGCACTGGTGAGCACACATGGCCAGGCCTGTCAGGCACTCGTTCACATCTGCAAGGGACGAGCAATTAGGAAAAGCAGGTTGTGTGGGAAATGTTCCTTCAAAGTAACAAGCGTTTACTGTCTTTGAGTTTTTTCAGCAATTTCTTGCACCCTAAATCCTTCACTGGGGCCCAGACTCAAGCTTCACTCCATTAAATTCATGAGCTGGCATTTGCTGAGGCTGAGCACTACTTTAAACAGTGAGAAAGTTGTTGTTTCTCTACAAAAGCTCTGCTGTGGGGTGCTTACCTTCGCAGGCCTTGCCATCAGGTGCCAGGCTGTAGCCGGGGTGGCACTCACAGCGTGCAGCCCCGCGGTGGTTGTGGCACTGGTGCATGCAGCCCCCGTTCCTGTCAGCGCACGGGTTCCTCACTAGAGGTCCAAGAGAAGAAGCAGGCTTATTTCAGACCAGTCCTACTATTATTGGCATTACACTTATGGGAAAACAAAGCATCAAGCACTTATGGATGGCAAACTAGTGTGAAACCCATGGAAGACCATTCTCCACCATGACATAAAATCTGCTGGTGTTCCCTGCTTGGAGCTGCCCAAAAGTTAGTCTGACTGCAACCTCGGTGGGCTTCCAGCTCCTAAGAATCTCCTGCTGATGGTGGAACAGCATAAAAGCCCACAAGGTTTGGCTATGGCTGACAGATGGCTGCTTCTGCAGATTTATGGAGATTTATGGCCAGACACTCTTCCAGCAAACTGAGGGCTGGAAAAGATCAAATGCAGCCATGTGCTACAGGTGAGAATTTACAGTGACTGTGGGGCTGTGTGGCCATGAATTTAGTAGGTGAAAAGGGGAGAAAATCTGTCTTAGTGTGACATGCTGCTGTCTTCCACCTCTCAGAAGTGTGCCCTGATACCATTTCACATATCATGTCCCTGCTGTCCGTGCCCCCACCCTGCCCATGAGAGGGGTGCCCAGGGTGCCGCGGGGACTCACGGGCGCAGCGCTTGCCGTCCTCCCTCAGCTGGTAATTGCGGCGGCACCGGCACTGGTGCTGGGTCAGTGTCACCTGCACACAGTCGTGTTCGCAGCCGCCGTTGTTTATGGCACAGGAGTTCACCACTGCAGGGAAAAGGACATGAAATTCATCGGGAAATGTTGTGTCGCCTGGCGAGGTTCTTTTCAGAGGGTAAAGCAAAGCTCACACGTTTATGAAGAGCACCACAAATGAGAATTTAAAACCAGAGACATGTCCAAACTCTGTTAAATGAAAAGTTCACGGCAAATTTGTTAAGTGTGCTAATTGTGAGTGTTACTATATTACTGCTGAAATCCTCACAGGTTTGCTCAGACAGGGCAGGTGTGATGCCACAGCTAGTTCCACTTAATTACTGCTCAGAGAGCTGCACTCAGGCATGTTCAGATTTTCTTGTAACAAAATAACACAGAAAATTAAGTTTCTGGCTTCAAGCCACGCAAAAGACACCAATTACCCAGGGCAAGGCCAAGCAAGCACCATCAGCTCTGGGAGCATTCAAGGAAAAGCATTTTCAGGTGCATCCTGCACATCCGTGCTTTGATCTGGTGTAATGCTGCCCAGCTCGGTGCTTCGGCTACGGGACCTCTGCAGGAAAGTCAAGCTGGCTGTGCTCGCCCACATCGCAGGAGACTGATGCTGAGCCACCTCCTGAGCCAGGGCTCGGCGATGTGCTGGCAGGAAATGTGATTTCCCAGTAAGTGCAGGCGGGACTGGGAATTGGGACTCCTGCCTGCTGCTCCTGGCCGTGCCACAGCATTTCTGTGTGGCCTTGCGCAAGGCGCTCTCCTGCCCAAAGGATTTCAGACAACCAGAAAACAGAAGGTTTTGCCTAGGTTACAGCAGAAAACAGATCTTATGACCAAAGATGTGGACTGCCTTTTTTATCATTATTATTTACAGCTTATTATGATTAGTTAGCTTTAAAATAGCATTCCCCCTGCTCTGCTTTTACAGGCTCTGCAGAACGAGCACCAAGGCCGTGATGTTTGGCTGGAGACGTCTGCACCTTGCAACCAGTGGGCAGAGCTTACCTGCAGTGATCCAGGAGCACTGACCTTGAACTAGGGAACAGCGTAGGGAAAGACTTCCTGGACCGGCATTCACAAACTCATGACACATTTTCCAAGCTGAAGAAAGTCATCTCATGCTGCCCACCGAAGCTGCACGGGTGGGACACAGCCAAAGCCCTGCACAGCCTGGCACGGAGATGCATACCTAACCTCCCTTAACCAGAGGGGCACAAGTGGTGGCCCCCTGTAATTCTGACCCATTCTTCACACTGCAGAAGGAACCAACGTGCTGACTTCAAGAAATGCTGTAAGGAAGCTAAAAACCCCTCTAAGGAAGGCCATGTCTCTGCAGACCAACTTCAGGTAGTGGCAGCTCTTGCACGGCTCAGAGCGGGCAGCGTGTGTCTGCCAGCAACTCTCATTGCAAGGACTGGCTCCTGCAGAAGAGCTCATGAACAGACGGGACGAGGGCCAAAGGAACATGTTCACGGGGGAAAAAAGCAGCCAAGAGATTAAATGAGATGTCAGTCTCCTGCTTTTATTACTTGTTGGTCAAATACTTGGAGCCTTTTCCCTCTGCTATCAAAAACCCTCTCTGGACTTGAATTTAAATAGCAGGAAAACAGATTTTTCAGCTTGCTCAGTGCCTTGCATTTACCCTCTTGTTTTACCTGAGCCGTTTAGCCAATTACAGAGTTTAAAAGAGTGTATTCTCTAGATAAAGTACCAAAAGTAATTTCATTAAGCTTCTCCTGCATAGTACTGAAAACCAAATAAAACCAAATATTTGGCAGGGTGTACAAGAAGGGAAAAAAAGGCAAAACTGTGTAGTCATTTTTTCTGCAAATGCTTCCCGTGCAAAAAAATATGCCTTGACTCAGAGCTGAGAGCTCTCTGATTTTACAAAGTGAACTTCCCTTCGTATGCCTCTAATTAACTAAACAACATTTTGGAGAATAAAAATGACTTAATAGGGTCAGAGTATTGCCATACACAGTGTACGGCTGGAGCAAGAACTATCGGTTTGTGTTAGCTTTGCTGACATTGTTTCCTTTAATCCATTTGGAAGGAAACAACAGAAGTAGTTGACGTTACTGGAAAGTTATGGGTCAGACTTAGAGTGCTTCAGCAGAGATGGGTGGTCATTTAAGATATTCTGATATATTAAAGTGTCTAATAATGCACATAAATAATGTGTTATTGGAGTGCTTTTTTTTAAATAATAAAAAAGTAAAACAATGCTAGAGCCTGCCAAAACATTCCTTCTTATGGGAAAAAAACTTGGCCAATCCATAACAAGCCAACACATCTCACATCTAAAATAATCTCCCAGTATGCAGTTATTCTATGAATGTGCAATCTCAGTAACTACCCTCCTCACATACCTCTCTGAAAGACAAGTTTTTAGAGTGGAAAAACCCAAAGTTCAGATTCTTCATTACACAATTTAAGCAGACAGAGGATGCCAACAGAAATCCTCTAAGGTTCGATAAAGCAGGTTTTCCAAAAAGGCAACTTCTACACACAAGAAATCAGACTTTCCCTGGGCTGCCTTTACCACGTGCTGAGGCACGACACCCATGCAGTACCACGGGGTAGCTGTGTAGGTGGAGCCTTGTGGTGGCAAAAAGTGCAAAATGCCCCAAAATGACAGGAAACATCAAGCTCTCCCCGTGCCTGAGATGGCAACATTTGGCCACCACCAGCAACTTGGGCAGGACGAGAACTGAAGGGACCTGCACTCCTGTCCCAGGTCCACCCGTGTGCCAGAAGCACTGAACATGGGGCTCGACCAACACTGTCTGCAGCCCAAGAAAAGACAAGAAAGGTGAAGTGGTGAGAACACAGGGGTCTTGCAGAGCATTTTGTGTCCCTTTGCGTTTCTTTCAGTGTAGGCTATTTGCTAGCAAATTTACTCTTGGAGCCTAATAACCCCATCTGAGCCTCACGATTCTGCGACTGCACATGATGAGTAAGAGCCCTCGTGCTCCGTGTGCCTCAGCCACCACGGGTACATTCCAGACCACGACGACTAATGGGAACCAGAAGCCCTCCCCTGCCAAGAGACGTATGGATGGGGAAGGAGCTGCTGGCATTGCGGCCTGTGCAGTGCTCGCAGGCTGTACGGTGCTCGTGGCACACGCACAACGAAGGGAGCAGAGCCCCAGCATCCCACCACGCTCAGCACGCAGCCACGGCAAGGCGCGGGCTGGCAGGGGTGCTCCTGCAGCTCCAGAGCTTCGCTGAGATAGGAACGAATTCGAGTTAAGGACAGGAATAACGAGGAAAAACAAATGAAATGTTAACATTGTCTTGGGTGTCGTTCCATCAAAGCAAGGGCCTTTAGCTCTGGGTCTCCTTAGTTGGCTTCTGGCAGAGGAACAGCCTGCAGACCTCGCTGCTGGCCTTGTTTTAATTATGGCTTTTTTTCTCTGTTTACAGAACCACTCTAAAAATATTTCCATTCCCAGATGCTTTTCCTAGCTTAACTTTTCTGTGACAACGCTGCCAAATCCAGTGTCATCTTGTACATCACGCAGCTTTTTGTAATTAGAGTTCAGACAGATTTTCCACAGATGATATTTCATCGTCTGCAAGAGGATCGCTGCTGCTGTCTCCTCTGCCTGCAGGGATGCGGCGTTGCTGAAAGATGTTAAACCTGAGCCTGGTCCTCCTGGGCCCAAACAGACAAAAAGGGAATAAAAAAGGCACAAAAAGGGTTCCCCAGGCTCCCCTAGGACTAGGGAAAGGGCGAGTCCAGCAGCTCTGAAGGCACCCAGGCACTTCGCTGCTTTGCGAGGCGGTGCTGATGCACGACTCGGGCTCTTCCACATTCCCATCCCTCCAATATCATCACGCCTTTCCTCCACATCCAGGTAACCTTCCACCAGAAGCAGTGAGCTAATAGCTGAAAAATGACTGCAGACAGACGTCACTACAATTCAGCATGGCATTTGGCTTTTGCAGCTTGACACAAAACCACTGACTCCAAGGAAGGGCTGAGTAACGCCACTGGACAAGGAGCTCGAGGTCTCTAAAATGTGCAAGTTGTCTCTATAATACATGCAGATTAAAAACCTCTAAGTACAGATAATTACCCTCCTGTGCACACAGTTCAAGCCTGCACAACCCTTGATGGCATCATCCTCCTGTTCGCTATAAATCGCTGCTATACTCGAGATTTCTTCACTTGCAGCACTCAATATACAGAGGGCTACACCATGTAATCCCAAACTGATTTATTCTAACCTCAGACAATTTCCAGAAACATGTGTGTTAATACAGACCATCTCACTCCTCTGCAGGCCAACGAAAGCAATTGGCTCACATTAAGTTCTTTGCTTTGGACTGGAGCTCATCCCCCCGCTGAAGCTGTGGAGAAGGACCTGAAGATGTCAGCTCCCTGCCTCCTGCCCATGTGGTTCTGATAAAGAAAGAGGTAATTTCAGGACGTCCAATGACTCTTTTTGCTCTACTTCACTTTCAACAGAAATGTCTGCTCCTTTTTTCCTCTCTCTTTTGCATTAAAGTCATCAGCAACTTGCTAGAATAGCACAACAAAGACACAACAAATGAATCTTGCACCAAGCTGCAGGCTGCCCAAAGCACCGCCAGTGGCTGGAGTCCCGGTGAGATGGGGAGCAGGATTTATGGAGGGGCTGCAAGCTGTCTGCAGCACCCACAAGCATGCAGTGACCCGCACGGTTCCAGGGGCAGCCAGACCCCGAGAGCAGCACAGTGGGGTCACAGCCCCCGCTCAGCTCCCGACACCCCGGCTCCGTCCTGGCCGTGGCTGCAAGCCTTTGTTCTCCTCCTGCACCACGGGAACCACTGCCAGGCTTTCTGAGCCAAGCAGCTATTTATACAGAACCGCAGTACACTTCAGAGTAGATTGCTTTTAAAGGTGCCTAAGCAACTTCCGAATTTTTGTGCTGCTCTATCCCTGCATTGTGCTGGCTGTAACCACCTGCACCACTGAGCACAAAGGTGTGAACATCTACCGAGGGCGCAAAGCCATCAAGAGAAAGCAGCAAAAGATTTTTACCTGGTTTTCAACTCTTTGACCTCTGCAGGAATAAAAGAGGCTTCGTGCTTCCCTCGCAGGCTGGGGTTAATGGAAGAGGGCTCATCACCTGCACCAGGCACACCAGCTGAGCTCCTCAGCTCCAGGGGAGCTGCATGGCATCGGGCGGTGCTGCGAGTTAACCAAGGCCTTGTGGCTTGTGTGGCGATTGGAAAACATTTAAAGAATGACAGCCGTGGTTTTATGGACTTTAACCTAAAAACTTGCGGCAGCGATTCCCGTGTGCCGCCAAAATACTCTGCAAAATCCTCTCCTGCGCTGCCCGCGGGATGCAGAGGCTCTGCAGAGTGAGGGGACAGAGCGGGGAGGCTCGCTGGTGCTCTTATTCCCATCTGTTTGATTTTATTTAGTGGAAATATTTAAATTGCAATTTTTGGCTGCACTGATTCCTGCCTGCAAATTCAAGGCGATCTCAACCTGAAGCAAAACATGGCTTTTATCAGACCACAGAGCCAAGCAGTGACCGACACCCAGTGCAGCTCCAGTGCTGCGCTCAGCCCCGACCCGAGAAAGGGGTTGGGGTGGTGTAAAACAGCCCCCAGTCAGCTGCAGCACTGGCGTGAGACCACCGCTGTCTGCAGCACACAGCCCAGCCCGGCAGCAGAAACCTGCCCAGCGGCAGCGGGGATGGAGCCAGCCTTACAGCTACGGGGCGTCGCGGGCACTCCAGCACTATGCTGAGCATTTGGCAGAGGAGCAACTGCAGATCGTGCGCTCTTTTCTGAGCTTTTACAAGAAAAAGATGTTTACTTCCATCCCTCGGCACAACTGCCTTAATGGGCCCAGCACCGAGCCGTCCTGACGGCAGGATATATATATCCGCGCACACATACATGTGTATTTCTGTCACAAAAGCGCAAAGAACAAAAGCCACCAGTCCCGAGGCAAGGAAGCCAGATCGTGGGGGCTGCTCTGTTGTTACTTTATTTTTGAAGCCATGGTGGGCAGTGGTGCAGCTGGAGCTGGCACCCGCTCTCACCCCCTGCAGCGGCGGCACGGATCCTGCCAGCAGCGCTCCCCGGGGACCTGCCCCTGGGGCTCCCCGAGCAGATCGGGTTTCACCAAGAGAGACCCCGTAATTCGGGCGGGTGCATTCCAACACCGAGCACGCTGTGCGCGTTATGGCAAACGCTGGCTCAGAAGTTTAATGCAAAGCAGGTTTGCAGCGCTCGGAGCCAGCGCCACGGCGCGGGGATGCCCTGACACCCGGACCCCAGCGGGCAGGCTCTGGCGTCACTGCCGCGTGAGCAGGTAAACCAGAAGCACAAAAAACAGGCATTTATTTTAAACGTGAGGCTCCTCCCTGCAGTGTTCCCTTTTACACTTTGGAAATCGTTTCACCTTCTGGGGCTGACCCTTCTGAGAACACCAAAGCATCCCAGTGGTCAATTTTTCCCCAGTTTGCCTCGTGTGTTATTCAGTGAGGCAGAGGTGACAGGATCGCCGTATGCCACCAGGAGAACTACACACTACAAAGGCAATTTTTAGATGAAAGACCACACGCTTACGTGCAAACAGTTGCAACACACAGCCATGAACACAAGCTCACGTGTTCAGTGCTAGAGCACTGGGAATATCTGGCTTTTTTTCTTTATTTGCAACCCTTTTCTCTTGGGTTCTTCCAGTGACATGCACGGCACTCAGTGCCTTGCACCCCACGTGTCCATCTCCCTGAGACTGTGGAGCACGGCCACAGAGAGAGTACAGATGCCAACAGCCTCATGTCCTTGCTGTCCTGGACATGGTGGTGCCCCTTCCCTAGATGTGTTTTTCTGCTCACATCACTGTTCCCAACTGGAGCACACATGCTCACGGTTGTTTTCAGCAAACTTCAGAACGTGACTGCATTCTGAGCAAATCCAACAAATGGTCTTTGAAATACCATCGCCCAGGAATTCTTTCCATTTGTATGAAAATATCCCTCAAAAAAAAAATGAATGTGTCAAATAAAACTGTAAGGGAGAAGTGGTTTAATAAAAACAGCAGCAGATGCTGGAAGGCAGACTCCAAGCTCCACCCCGGTGTCTCCAAAACACTGCTCTGGGGCAAGAAGGCAATGATATTTCAAGAAATCAGCCCAGAAATCAGCCACAGGCCTGACCTGGCATCCAAGTTACAGCGCCTGGACATGCACTGTCCATGCGGGCTGCTGACTCACACCTCAGGGGAGCGGGTTTGGGGATTTTTGTGGCCACAGTTCCACACGTAGCCATGCTCATTTTCTGCTGTTTGTTGCACCTAATGCCTGCCATGCAGACAAGGCAAGCTGGCTGAGGTAAAGACAAAGACTGACTTGAACCTTTGCATTTAAGAGCATCTATTTTATGGATGAGTTTTGCAATTCCATATCCGATGCACCCTGTACTGAAAGTAGACGCACCAAAGCACTGTGAGTTATTTCTCTTGAACCAGAATAGACTGAGGAACTGCAAGAAACCTAAACTGCACATGGCCATTGTGAAGAACAGGAAATATTATGAACCCAGCCAGAGAGATGTATTAAAAAAAACCCTACTGGGATCCTGAGAAATAAAGGAACCGGTAACCCATCACTGCTATATCAAATTTCCTGCTTGGAGGATGGATGCAAGTGCATAAGCCAACATAAACCATTTACGAAAAATTTACAGGTATGAAGAGAGATACAAAGAATTAAACATCTCCAAGAAACTGAACAGACTTTGGCTTACCAATGCAGGTCCTGCCATCTGTGTGCAGGCGAAAGCCTGGTTTGCACTCACAGTAATAAGATCCAAGAGTATTCACACATCTGTGCTGGCAGCCCCCATTGTGAACCTGGCACTCATCAACATCTGCAGAAGAGAAGGGAAAAGGAAAAAAAAATCAGAGAAACGGGCATGACATTATCTGAAGGCAGAATTATTTATTCTCTGTTGAGCGACTCCAGATTTAAGGAATGAATGCAAAAGGAACAAGACTGTGATTTCAATCATGTTTAATCAGCCAAGCTATTTAAGAAATTTCAAGGACAAGCATGCAATCAGAAAAAAATGCATCTTGTTTGTCAATCAGCATAAACCATCCTTCCTCTTGCTCAATTTGCAGCAGTCCCAATTCCCAGATGGAGGCACATCACCCTCTCACCAGGGTAGAGACTGACCGAGCCAACTGCTGCAACGCTTTCCAAGAGGCATTCCCTTTAGGACTATGAATTTATTAATATCTTAATTTCCTTGCTCTTCCTCTGTTGGAGATAGGCCGGGCTAAGTCCATTTGTTACCTAAATACTGACATCAATGGTGGGAGCAAACACCTAACATTAAGGGCTGAAGTGAGGGGCAACACGAAGCAGCAAAGTTTAACAGCTCGGCGCCTCAGCAGCAGATGCTGGGATTCTGCTGAGTCAATCTCCTCCTCTCCCAGCATAAAATCTGCCTTCTCCAGAGCTCAGCGACGTGCTGAAGGTGAGAGCATCCTGCCTCCCCCAGCAGCGCTGAAGTTCGCCCAGGCAATTCCTGCCCTGACGCCCGACATCGAGCATGTAGGCAGCAAATTTGCCAGCTGCCCTCGCACAGTCACACACAAGTAAGTGGTCCGTGGGGTTATATGCACGGTTCTGAAAGCAGAAACTGCTAGCAGGGTGAGATGCAATGTCTGTGTGTTCTGCACTAATGCTCCCCTTCCTCCTTCCTAGTTTTCATGGCTGAATGGAGAACTGAAGAGATGGTGTTTACACGACACGTGAAATGAGCTGACATGTTTCAGGATGAAAGACTGAACTTACGTGTTTTACTATCATGTTTCTCATCTCAGTACTTCCCAGAGCGTTTAACACATCTCACACCACGTGTGATGGGACCTCTCCTACCTGCTGCTGAACCGCAGCAGAACCTGGGCTGTGCGGTGAGGAGCCACGCTCTGTATTGCTCTGTCTTTAGGGATGAGAAAGCAAGTTAACACCTGCATCAAGTCTATGATTAGCAAGGGTTTTATGGTAACGCATTCGTGTTAAGAACACAATGAAGTCCAGTTTGACCCCAAATTATTTTCATTAGAATGCAAAGGTGAGAATCCCAACCAGAGCTCCTCACCCCCCTCCCCAGCTCTGCGCAGCTCCGTGACCAGAAAACTGAGGCACGGCTCCTACAAGAAATCCACTTGGCCAATAAAACTTTGCATGTCTATTTCTATTGTTAAAACTACATGCCCTTGAACAAAAGACAGTCTCTGTGCCAGAAAAGCCTTCTGCCAAATGCTGAGCAATCTTTCAAGAGTTGAAATGGGAACAAGCCCACAAGTTCTTGATAAAAAAAAAAAATAATCCTATTATATTTTATTATCACAGCCCCAAAACCGAGGAGGTGGACAGCAGTTGGTTAGAGAGAGATTAATTCCTGTTTCACAGACCTTGAATTACCCTTAAATACTAGGAATAATGTCCAGAGCTGAGAAGAAATTTACAAATCCGTGGAGCTCCACGCTGCACAGTGCTAAGATGCATATCAAAAGCTTGTCAGAGGCAATCTCAAGTTCCTGAGACGTAAGATTCCCCCATCTGGCTATAATTAGAAATAATGGCAATGTATGTGGTTGTAGCCGTGCAGCTCCTTAATTCCTGCCATGCGGGTGTGCGTGTGTACACATATACATGTGCACTGCTTCTCAAACCAGAGGGGATCAAAGTTCTCCAGACAGATGGAGGAACCAGATCACATTCACAAGAGCAGCCGAAAAGCCAGCCACCGATTCCTTTTTCCACGGAGAGAAAACCTGAGAAGCTTTGGGTCTGTTAACATTTCTGTGCACTTTCTGCACAGAGCAATCTCCGGAGGCTGCTAAGTATCGAGCACAAAGCTCTTTCAATCCAGCCTCTTTGGTCCATGGTGACATTTCTAAACAATGTCATAGCAATACACAGAGTTCAGAAACTGAAGTAAAGGGACTGGGATGGCAACTGACAAAAGGAATGAGATTAGCAACTCACAGGTCTGCAACTCACAGTGGACATCCAGGGTAAGGGCATATATTGCTTGAGTTTATTCAGGGCACTTTAAACAACACAAAAAGCCATTACTGAAGCTAAACCAGAACTGAGACTCTTGCTCAAGGACGCAGCTCTTTGACACCGTGCTGCCAAAGAGCGATTTGAATTTGCCATAACCAAACCCCACATTTTCAGTACTGAAGCTGTCATCCTGCAAGTACAAAGCTCCCAGCCCTGACAGCACCTGGCTGCTCTTTGCACACTCTGTGCCTGCTGAGCTCCCCGGAGCTTTTCGAGCGGTACAGTGATGGAAGGATTAACACAATTAGCGCAGGAGCAGGATTTCTGTGTGCACGGCTGGGAGGTGTCCCAGGTGCAGGAATTAAAGCGGGTGAGGGATGCTGGTTCCTGCAGTGCCCCAGAGCTCCTGGATGGACAGACGGACAGACGGACAGACCTGTGCACGCAGCAGGCACGGCCGCCTCTGGCACAGCGCAGCAGGTTAAGCAAGAGGAGTCGTACAGCTCCGTGCCAAGCAAAAGGACGAGCACATATTTGTCAATGAGAGTTACTAACGAGATAAAGAAACATTTCCCCAGTGAATCATGGCAGGGCGTTGCCTCTAGCTGTGTCTTTGCAAGCAAGAGGTGCAAAAACCTGCTCAGACCTCGCCCCAGCCCCGCGGCTGCGTTTCGGGGCTCCTCGCTCCTTCCTCCCCACGGGCAGCAGCTCTGGGGACACCCAGGGTGTCCAAAACCACAGGAAAAGAATTGCAACCTTGGCTGGAGCCATTGCTGAAATTTTGCCCTAATTACCACCAGGTTATTTGCCAAATGAAATTAAGCTAGCAGCAAACACACCAGGGTAGGGAGGGAGCGGGAGGCCAGGAGGGGAAGGTGGTGGCTGCCCCACTGCGTGCTTGGGAGCCATGTGGGAACAACACAGCCGGTTGTGTCCTCTGAGCACCTTTCAACTGAAGGCTTTGCACTGCTTAGGGCACCTAGGAAGCCCCGAGCAGAAAAGGAGGATAAGGGAAACAGAGGAAACCTGAGGAAATGGAGCCTGTTTGAAGAATGAGTAGACACAAGCAGTTATTGCGAGTTATTGTGAGCTATTATGATTCCCAGAAATCACAGAAGTGTATCTTGAGTAAAAGCAACGCTGCGAATTCTGTTCTGCGGGAAGTATTAAGCACTCGTTTTGTTGGGGACCAACATTTTCTGTTCTAAATTTACTCAAGAACGGGAAAACTGGGGGTTGGGAAGTTTTTATATGGAGTAATAAAATTATTCAAAGGACTGAATTTAAAGGGCTGTTCTACCACTGCCCTTCAACTTAATCTGAAACCACGGAGTTTTACTGTCAGAACAAGTTACTGATGTGTTGAATACACTTCTTACTTTCACCCCATTACTCGTGCTCAGCAATTAGACGTCTCCTCTCTGAACGTCTGCTCTCCTCTTGTGCTTTTCACACCCTGTGCTCACACAGTGCCATGCCCACACTGCCCCTGCCCCTCGCCCCCACCCTGCCCTCGCTCTGCCTCCATCCCATGGCAGCAGCACCGCAGCCACCTCGTATAACCAGGCACGTCCCAGTTTTCCTGCTGGAGTTTCTCATCTCCTTCTACTCTGAGATTTTTGGAGGTACACCACATGGTCGTGAGGCCAGAAACCTCCAGCCCCTCACACCCCTGTCGGGAGGGCAGCGATGCTGTCCCCTAAATGTCCCCTAAATGTCAGGCTTGTGTCTTTAGGATCAGCACCTCAGTGGCTGCAGGTAGGAGGGCGCAGCAGGAGGAGCTGGGGGAGCTGCAGTGAGCCACCAAGCTGCTGCCTCGGAGCACATCCTGGCAGCGAGGACTGGCAAAAGGATGCGAGGCTCCGCACGATGCAGTCTGTGACATGCCGAGGTGATTTTCCTATTGGAGAGCTGACAAAATCTGGTTGAAATTAGCGTGCCAAGGAGGGAAAATGAGAAGCACGCAGGCTTCTCCTCCACACGGGCACTGGGCAGGCTGCAGAGCACTGAGCACTGCCAAAATGCACTGAGGCAGACCCAAAAACCAAACTCAGCAAGAACCTGGAGCGGGACTTGGCACGTGGGGTAGGAAACAGGAGCTCACACTGTCATCTGCACAGGCACAAGGCTCACCAGAGCAGCAGAGGATGCTCTCGTCACCCTCTCCTCTAGCAGAAAGGATCCTTCCCACCTCAAGCAGCAGCCACACCAGCCAACAAGGGTCATGCCGCAGCCTACTGAGGGTAGGCAAGAAGAAAAAAATGCAGGACCAAAAAAACCACAAACCAAAAAAGTCCAAGACCAAAAGAGGCAGAGGGTGTGAGGAGGAGGCTGCGGTGACGCGTGCTATGACCACGCACGGGCCTTTCAGGAAGAAATACTGAGATTTATCTCAAACAAGAACTCTGTCAGAGGAAGGAAAGTGGCAACAGCAGCCCTGCAAATTACTGCGTGTTTTGTGTAGCTGCAGTTTATCTCCTCTGAGAGGCTGAGGAGAGGGAGAGGAATCCCAGCTGTAAGCAGACAGCAGATAGGCTCAAGGGTTTGCTCGATCTGGCTAACCAGGCTCTAACCTTATGGCAATTAGCCTGGATTACCGAGCTGGGCTGCAGGGAAAAGGTTAATTAAAATCTGTTGAGATGAGCACGTGTGGGATTCAGCTCCTTTATCTTTTCAGTACCAGTTCGTTAAAGCTATTTCAGCAGTTTTAGGGAACCGTGTGGCTGGAAGGAGACGACCCCAGCAGGGTGCTGGGGTGCCCCGCAGTGTGGCATGGCCGAGGGGCTGGGAGCACAGCCCCATGCCAGGATGTGTCAGAGTGAAAAAAAAAACTGCATTATTTCACCT